CATCAACTTACATTTGTGATGACAGGCATAGATATCCATTCCATTTTAATGAGGATACATAGAATTCTATATATTACTAATTAATTACAATGATACTGACACTTAATGACAAGTCAGCAGTTTTAAACTACATTACTTCATCTGTAAAAGGAGAATTTCATATTTTCCCCATATCTACCCAAGTTCATTAGTATTACCAACAAATGTTGTTCATTGCCCTGTAATAATACTATAGTCAGAAGCAGCATGTTGGTTCTACTGTAGAACTTCTACATGAACAAATATGGTAATCATAATGGTGTCATAGACATCATAAAAATTCTACAATTGTGAAAACTAGAACACTGATCAGTGTTGATATTGGAAAAAATAAATTCAACAGTAGTTTCAACTCTCTCTTTAAATAACAATTTCAACAACAAATATGGGGAAAAACTGCCATTTAAAACAAATATGCCATTTTACTGCCAATCTTTCGATGAAACTCAGAGATGCACAACACACATTAGTCAAGGATTTGGACAATCAACCAATAACGAAACTGAGACCACATAGAAATATTTCAATGTTTTAGTTTTTGGTTTTTTTTCTGTTTTAACAGATAAAATTTGTGTATACAAATATTTAACAGCACAAACCTTGTCAAAAGCACACTACGATTTCATGGGTAGTGTTCTGTTCAACTTTTCTTCACCCGTTTAGAAAGTGCTCAAACCTTGAGTATGTAACTTTGTAGATTGCCAATAAATTATGAGGTTCATACAAGTTAACAGATTGCCAGGTGTCGCAAAGTAGACAAATACACACCCTCATACTCCTAACTACAAACCACCTCACATCCACCACTACATGCCCATCCTCATACTCACAAAACGGGTGACATAATTAAGCAATTCATTGCTAATTCTGTTCCACCAGAAAAAAAATATTACTAACACACTAAATGGCTACTAGAATGTAGAATTTTACCGATTGTTCTGTCCAACCATAGGAAACCAGAGTGTAGAAATCACTTATTCTGCTCCACAAATGGACAGATATTACATATACTGAATAGCTACAAGAATGTAGTAATTTATCTTTAATTCTGTTTCACCAGAGGAAAGATAACACACTGACACACTTTATGGCTACAAGAATGTAGCAATTTATCTTTAATTCTGTTTCACCAGAGGAAAGATATCACACTGACACACTTAATGGCTACAAGAATGTAGCAATTTATCTTTAATTCTGTTTCACCAGAGGAAAGATATCACACTGACACACTTAATGGCTACAAGAATGTAGCAATTTATCTTTAATTCTGTTTCACCAGAGGAAAGATATCACACTGACACACTTAATGGCTACAAGAATGTAGCAATTTATCTTTAATTCTGTTTCACCAGAGGAAAGATATCACACTGACACACTTAATGGCTACAAGAATGTAGCAATTTATCACTAATTCCACCCCACTAGAGGGAGGAAATGTTCCCTGAGTGATTAACTGGTAACGTCACATGATCCATACACATATACATTCATCACATCCTTATCACATACATTACATCCTTATGACATACATCACATCCCTCTAACATACATCACATCCTTATAACATACATCACATCCCTCTAACATACATCACATCCTTATAACATCACATCACATCCTTATAACATACATCACATCCCTCTAACATACATCACATCCTTATCACATACATTACATCCCTCTCACATACATCACATCCTTATATCATACATCACATTCTTATAACATCACATCCTTCTAACATACATCACATCCCTCTAACATACATCACATCCTTATATCATACATCACATCCTTATAACATACATCACATCCTTATCACATAAATCACATCCTTCTAACATACTTTTACATTATATGCCCAAAACATTACACACATACCAGTAGTCACTCATATCAACATAACACGACACATGGCTATACCAAACACATAAAATCCTCATATCATACATGCATAAAATGCTTGAAACACAAACAAGAAATGTTAAAATCCATACAATCAAATTTCCATACCATGTTACCCACACACATCAAATGTTCATACCATGTTACCCACACACTTATCAAATGTCCATACCATGTTACCCACACACTCATCAAATGTCCATACCATGTTACCCACACACTCATCAAATGTCCATACCATGTTACCCACACACACATCAAATTTCCATACCATGTTACCCACACACACATCAAATGTTCATACCATGTTACCCACACACACATCAAATTTCCATACCATGTTACCCACACACTCATCAAATGTCCATACCATGTCACCCACACACTCATCAAATGTCCATACCATGTTACCCACACACACATCAAATTTCCATACCATGTTACCCACACACTCATCAAATGTTCATACCATGTTACCCACACACTCATCAAATGTCCATACCACGTTACCCACACACACATCAAATGTCCATACCATGTTACCCACACACATCAAATGTCCATACCATGTTACCCACACACAAATCAAATGTCCATACCATGTTACCCACACACTCATCAAATGTCCATACCATGTTACCCACACACACATCAAATGTCCATACCATGTTACCCACACACATCAAATGTCCATTCCAAGTTACCCACACACAAATCAAATGTCCATACCATGTTACCCATACAATTAAATGTTCGAACAACACTAACATCATAACTGATCCGCCATACAACACCCATCTCGAGGTCATAATGTATTAAAATGCATGCACATAAACTATGTTACAACAAATAACACATAACACATTATAACCTAGCAAACTACATAAAATTAAAGTTCAGTCTTGATAAAGATTGTAGAATAATTAATCATCGAGTATAAAATCAAATGAATAATGTTAAGAACTTGACTTGTCAATCATCTAATCCACTTCCTTTGTGACTAGTAAAATACTATGACATATTATCAGTACTAAAATTTCTCTCTTTCCCTATTTCATATACAATGTATATAATATACTCAGGTATGATCACTACAATTAAGCCTAGACTAATCAAAAAACTTTCAATTGGCCACGTTAAAATCCACCATTTTATGCTCAAACGTGAATGAAGCTAGGATGGAGTGAGTGACTGTTCAGTCAGATGAAATCGTATTAAATGGTCCATTCCTGTTCTTCCTTTTCATTCCAGACATTTCCCCATATAACTATTTTTCTATTTAGATATTTCAAAATTTTTTCGTCATAGTATTAGCCAAACATATATTTTTCATTGATGCTTTGTACATTTCCCCCAAGTGAAAAATATCAGTATTTCATACTCTTAAATGCATTAAAAAAGATACCTTTAAATATTCTTCCTATGTATAACCCTGATGACCAAAAGCAATATGCTTTAATTAAGTCTTTTTATAGGTTTGAATGCAATTAAAACAAGACTGGTATTATAGGTGAGCGATAATCATCGCCATTCATGTTTTAGAATCAGAAATGCTTGGTGAAGTCACATATGATGATATGCAAAAAAGTATCAATTTTTTTTCAAATTCTATCATTGAATTCTACATAAACGGATACAATAATGTCCTGTTGACAAGCCCAGAAATTTATAAGCAGTGAGTCAGTTTAGAAGGCTTTATCTTGATAAAGAATACGAATATTTCAATATAAAAAATGGCAATGTTTTAAACAAAATAAACTCTGATATTAAAAATAAAACTAAGAATATAAAACAGTGAGATGGTGTGATGAAGGACGGACATAATTCATCTAGATAAAGGGGAAATTACATGAAAACAAAGATAGAAAGAAAGATAAAGAAGAAAAAGAGAAGACTGAAATATGACAGATCAGGGCTCTCACACCCCATTTTGGGACTGGGGCCCGGGGCCATTAGAATTGGGGAAAATAATGGTGTTTTCCTTAGAATTGGGAAAACTTGGGGTCTAAATTTGGAAAAAAAAAACTATTTTGCATTGGGAATGGGGCCGAATATCGGCTCCAAATCTGGCAGATTGAGAGCCCTGCAGATAGAATACATGTGCAGTAGAAAAAGAAATCTAGTACATTTTATAATTAAATGATATAATCTTAAAAAATCCCTGCACTTATATAAATTGTAACTATACACGAGTATATATACTTACCTTCCACTACCAATATCATTCCACCCCACAACCCACTCCGAGAATATCCATGGATTGTGGTAATGTTATTGGAGTTTGCTGATTGCTATTTGTTTCTGTTTTTAAATTTAAAATATTCATATTTTGATTTAACTTAATATGGATAAAAAAAAATGCTTTAAACTCTAATCAATTATTTCACAATGGAGTTTAACATGAGACTCTAGGATTCTTTTCTACAGATCCTGAACTTGTCGACATCTGGAATTTATGCATAAGTAAAACACTTAACACAATGTGTTTCAACTCTTCATCACCAAGTCTGAATTTCATGTTGATAAAACCTGCATAAAATAAAATTACAGCAATACCATATATAAGATGGTAACACTTAAAAAAAACCCAACAAAACAAAACCCACAAATGTAAAAATTTATGACAAAAAAAGTGATGTTTCTTCCTGGTAAAAAAACTTGACCTAAAATCTTTGTAAAATAAAATATATAATGAAAATTACATTAAATTAATAGACAACTACCCTAATACTATTTAACATGACATAGAAATAATTTATATCTGAATCAAACTCACAAATTGCTATTTAGTGTGAAGTTGACGCTACAATAGATATTTCTAAACATAGTTTATAATCCATGTTGGATGAAAATCAGACTGAGCTTGAGTCAATTTATAGACATATATCAGAAGTACTGTGAAGTAATTATGCATGACTACATTGAGTCTTGGTCTACAACTGCTAGATCTATGGTTGCCTTGGGCATGCCATGGGGACTCTACTGTGTGAAGTACAAACCCTGGGTGTCCCTGTCAAGAACACATGTAGGACAGGAGTCTTTTATATACACCAAAACTAGAGAATGATACACCGTGAAGAGTGTGAGTAAGTTGAGTTCAATTCATTGCTGTCTTGACTGGTGATGGATGTGTTTGCTACATCATTTAAGGTGATGTTGAAGGGCTCATTCTCACTGTCTTCATGAACAGGAATATTATCAATCTTTGTGGACAGCACCTCAGCACGGCGTGCTGGTGTTACTTTCCGTCTAACAACTGGTGTTTTGGGAAGTGCTTTTGGTGTCTTCAGTCTTTTATCACCACTATCATGTGGAGACAGAACAACAACAGATTTACTCTTCACATTTGTAAACCCATGTTCACTGTCACCTGACTTCAGTTTTTTGGAAGCTTGGGGACTCATAATAGCACCATTTGCAGCAGACAGTTTTCTTTTCTTTGCACTCATATTCTGTGTCAGTGATGGTATTTGAGGCTTGAAAACTGGCGTTTCCTTCACTGGTGTTGAAGTAACCTGATTGTTTCCAGGACGTACAGGTGTCTTTGTTTTCAATACAGATGTTTCTGATACTGAGATCTTACTCTTAACAACAGGAGTTTTCACAGTAGAAATCTTTGTTCTTTTCTCAGAAGCTGGTGTTTTTGCTTTACTCTGATTGGCTGCAGATTTTAAAGCAGGAGTCTCCTGATTGACTGAAGTCTTCACCTCATTCTTCACAAATAGTGTTTTTGCCTTATTCTGATTGGCTGCAGTCTCGGTCTTCTTATCAACAACTGGTGTTTTTGCCTTATTCTGACTGGCAGAAGTCTTCGTCTCACTCTTCACAAATATTGTTTTTGCCTTATTCTGATTGGCTGGAGTCTCTGTCTTCTTATCCACAACTGGTGTTTTAGTCTTATTCTGACTGACTGAAGTCTTTGTCTCATTCTTCACAACTGGCTTTTTTGCCTTATTCTGATTGGCTGAAGTCTCAGTCTTCTTATCTGCAGCATGTATTTTTGCCTCATTCTGACTGGCTGATGTCTTCGTTTCATTCTTCAGTACTGGTGTTTTTGCGTTACTCTGATTTACAGGAGTCTTTGTCTCATTTTTCAAAACTTGTGATTTAGCCTTATTCTGATTGGCTAAAGTTTTCGCACCTTGTGCTGTTGCCTTTCTCTGACTGGCTGGTGTTTTAGTAGTTTGTACACTTGTCTTACTTGGAACCACAGGAGTTAATGTGTCTGGTGTGTTTGTTTTCTTGCTCTTTTGGGCCGACATCTTATTGACTGGTGTTGATTTTGTTGCAAGGGAGACCTCATCTTGTACCAGGGAAGTGTTTCCAGATGACCTTGTAGACTTTGCAGGAGTTTTTGATTTTAAAGATCTTGCTTGAGGATTCTTTTTTGTAGACTTGGCAGCAGTTTTTCCACCAGTCTTTCTCTCTGTCAGCTGCTTGACCTTCACACCTGGAACTATTGGACTACTGACTTTGGCCATCTTTGTTTTTGGTGATTTTACTTGGGTCTGAGCTTTCCTCTTCTGTGGTGCTGATCGTGATGTTTTAGCTTCCTCCTGTTTATTGTGAGAATCAACAGAAGATAAGGATTCTTTAGACACTGATTCTTTTCTTCCTTTCTGTGTAACTACTGTTTCCTCTGTGATCTGGTTAAGCTTGACACCATTCTCCTTATGATACATAGACAACTTCCGAGTCCTGGTCGAGACACCCTTTGCAAATGTTGTCTTGGGACTCAATGGCTCAGGAGAAAGTGGAATATCAACCAATTTGAGGGTTGTGCTTCGATAAAAAGATCTTCTTGTGCGTTTAGCAACAGGAGGAGTACCATTTGTAGCCTTACTTTGTGATTCAGAAGTATTTTTCAACGTCTTTGACTGGTACATAGATGACCTAAAAATAAAACAAAATTTAAAATTACTTTAAAATAACTAAACACTGATGTTGCATATAAATTCTGAAAATCAGATTATGTATTAGAGCTTGAGCTGTGCTATGAAAATGTAAAAGCTGAAAATGACCTCATTCATTTTTAAAATCTGATTTTCAAACAAGGCAGAAAACTCACTTGATTTAGAAATGATTTTATCGAATGAAAACATGGTGCACTGTATTCCATAATGTTGAAGATTTTGTAGAACTTGTTGAAAAAGAGCATCAGTGAAACTTATGAATACTCCCCGAAACGAATTTATTGGACACAAAATTTAACAAAAGGGCAATAATTCTGCCATAGATACAATACTGACAGCTGATCCCCTCAGTCTATCAGTGTTTCTGACATTATTCGCACCAGTTCCCCTCAGTGTACCAGTGTTACTGACAATACACACACCTGTTACCCTCAGTCTATCAGTGTTACTGACAATACACACACCTGTTACCCTCAGTCTATCAGTGTTACTGACAATACACACACCTGTTACCCTCAGTCTATCAGTGTTACTGTCAATACACACACCTGTTACCCTCAGTCTGTCAGTGTTACTGACAATACACACACCTGTTACCCTCAGTCTATCAGTGTTACTGACAATACACACACCTGTTACCCTCAGTCTATCAGTGTTACTGACAATACACACACCTGTTCTCCTCAGTCAGTAAGTATTTGTACCAAAACTCTTAACTAAGCCCAAGTCCATGCAATGTTATTCGTATTTCATTACCATTCCTCTCTCGACTTTACAGTGTATGGGAGATAATACAGAGTAACACAATAAACATCATCCGTGTTCTACCTAATAACTGTCAAGCAGGATAGACTTAATTTTTTCAAATCTATAATTGCATGTGTACTCAAAATCTTCATAAGATAACCAAATCCTCAATTCTTTACTATTCCACACAAAAATACCATCTTATGATCATCTTAAAGGGATACCAATTTATGATCATCTTAATGGAATGCCATCTCCATTCTTTTTAAGGGAATACCATCTTATGATCATCTTAATGGAATACTATTTAATGATTTGAAGGCAATACCATCTTATGATCATCTTAATGGAATACTGTTTAATGATTTGAAGGCAATACCATCTTATGATCATCTTAATGGAATACTGTTTAATGATTTGAAGGCAATGCCATCTTATGATCATCTTCATAGAATACCACATTTTGATCATCTTCAGAAAAAACATCTAATGAGCATCTAAATGGAATACATAGTACCATATTCTGAATGTCTCATCAGGGTAATTGATACCTTCACCATCCAAGGCATGGTTCTAACCAGAACAGGGCCTTCAAGCATTTACAAATATAAACCATACAGATTCCAGGTATGGCTATAACTGGAGTGGAATATGTTAAGAATCTCAGATGTCAATCATGGAATGTTCTGGTGATATTTGTAATAACTAATATCACCTGAGTGTATTTTACTGTTTTTAGTTTTAATGTAGATTTACATCCTATTAACAGCCAGGTTCATTTAAGGACATGCCAGGTTTGGGTGGTTGAGGAAAGTTGAAGTTCCCAGAGAAAAGCCACCAACCTACGACCAGTAACTGGTGACTGCTCCATGTACTGTAGGTCTTGAACCCGCAAGCCAGAGTTGAAACGCTAGTGATGAAGATACTCAGACATCTAAACTACTCGACCATTCTGACCCAAATATACTTGTACCAGTTAGATATGTTCCAAGAATAATATTTGGTGAAAAACAAAATCATATAATATTTGTTTAGGAATTAAACAAATGCTTGTTCAAAAAAATGTCCTACTGTAATGCTAAATACAACTATGATTAGCTGAAACAACTTCTTTTACCTGCGAGTCCTAGGTCGCTTTTCAGAAGGAGACTCCGGAGTTTTGAAAACTGCATGCCGTCCTGACATCCATCCAGGTGTTTTTGGACTTAAAGACTTGAAAGTGCTGAAAGATAATGGAATGACTTAAGCTTTAACTCAATATATCATTCAGTGATAATCTTACCCTGTTATAAACCAAGGAAGTGACAGGGTTCACTCAGAGAGTAAGTCAACGGTATCAGAACTCTTTGAGATAATATGAACTTATCCAATCATATTTCATAATACTTGCAGAGCTCTCCTTTGAAACATCAACTTAAAGGTAGAAAAAGATTATTTTTTAACTTAGATGCCACCGAGTTGTGAAAAAATGTTTTAAGGGAATTTAAAGGAATGTTACATCAGTTTTTAAATCAAATCAAACTGACTGCAAAGTAAAATATATAGAAGGCCTTTGGCATGTAATGTCAATTGAGTTAAACTATCAACAATACAGACACCTGTCTGGTGTAATTATGGTGGTGATTGCCATCTGATAGTAATCACTATTTCCTTGTGGCACTCTATAATATCTATGATACTCCACACTTCTAGTGACCTCAGGCATTGCTACTTGTTCTACCTGTAGTCCTTCTAATCCCAGGTAGGTAAAGCTTTAGGCTGCTGGGTACCACTTTTGTTTGATACAGTACTTACAACTAGTATTTATAAGACAAAATATTGAGTCTCAGAACATTTTAGCACTAACAAGGTTGTGTGCGCTTGCATGTTAACATATGGATTTCTTGAAATAATCTGAGAAGAGAACCATAGTAAGTGGTTCCCAGATATTGAAGGTATTTCATTTTTAAAATTTCATCAACTTATTTATATCCTTCTTACGTTTTATCTTCTGTAAATATATACTATCATTAATGTTAAGCTTGTCAAGAGGATAGATGATAAAGCTTATGCTGATATAGTGAATACTCTTAATATGATCACCACATATACTCCTAATGTATAGAGTAAGGTTATAGTGTGTATGTAAACCTGAATATGTAGATGATATCATGTCAAACATATAATTACATTTAAATTACAGAATAGAACACCAAATTTCAATCACACAATTCCACTTTGATAGTATTAATTTCCCCAACACCCCCTCTCCTCCCCTGATAACCAATTAAATGCTATGGCAAGCACATTCATGTGAATGTCGTTATGTTGATTCATTGTTGCCAACTACTTTCTGATCATAATGTCGACCTACCCAATGTTGGTGGGACTTTCTGGATCAGTAGTCAACCGACTGGTTGTCCTCTTGGGCGTTCTTGTTTGTCTCACTGGCATCCTGATGAAACCGTTTCAGAGCCTACAGTAACATAATGACAATATTAGATAATTATGTAAAAAATACTGTGAACAAGCAAATTCATGGAATTTATATCCCCCGCTTTTCAAACATATTGTAAGTACATATTTTAGAGGTTAGCAGTAAACATGTCATAATTCTATGTAGAATGATATATTCTCTTGAGCAATGATGTATTGCTTTAAAGCCAAAGAAAGATGTAAAGGATTATATAGAGAAGACGTTTATTGGACATATCAAATATTAACCAACTCTGGTGCTTAGTTTAATGATAAATTGATAATATTTGTGGGACTTCAAATTACATCTAAAAAGGATTATATTTAGGAAAGTTAGCCCACAAAAACTGACCAACCAATGAAATAAAAGGACACCTAATTAGTATGCATAGATATTAACAGGTGATGCTGATTGCTTAACTCAGTCTTATGTGCCCTAATATGCATCTGCTGACCAAGTTTCATCTAAATCGGATTATATTTAGGGAAGTTGGAGCGCGGAAATAAACCGACCAATGAAATCAAAGAATACCACATTAGTATGCATAACTGTTAACAGATGACACTGATAGTCAAACTCAGCCTTAATGACCCCAACATGCATCTGCTGACCAAGTTTCACCAAAATTGGATGACATCTGGATAAGTTAGAAATGGAAACGAAAGTGTGACAGACAGACAAACCCAAATTAATAGCTCCCGTTTTGGTGAAAGTGGGGATAAAAAAGGAAGTAATGAAGCATTATACAAGTACATTACATTCTTGCCAAATATTCAAACATTGGGAAGATGTGCTCATACCAAACCCTGCATCGTTTTCTCTCAAGATTTAATGTTAGTAATGAAAAAAAAACATTAACATGGCAAATGAAATTCCAAAGCGGTAATTTTTTCAGGCCTTGCAGTCATCTTCAATAAATTGCATTGATGATGTTTTATCAGTCTTTTCACAGACTTGGATATTGACATAAGTCTGTGGTATTCTATAGTAAAAGTAGAACATGTATAATTGTTATTTATTAGCATAAATAATGGACAAAAGCTTGTAGCCTCTATGGCCATATCATTATCAATACATAGCATAATGTAAATAATTCCTCTGTACAATGGCTTAACATAAGTTACTGTAAAGGGTTATTTTTCAAGTGTTCATCTAGCCTTATTGAATATTGTATAACAGATTCAGCATTGACAACATTTTTGGGTAAGCTATTCCATAAATCAACAACTTGATTGCTGAAGAAATGCTCCTTCCATCAAGATGACATAACCTCTTATATGTTTTTTTTTTATGAACTCTGGTCCTATTCATATTGTCCATTTGGAAAAAGTTTCTTGTTACCCTACTATCATATCTATCAGTTAATATTTTGAAAATATTTATCTTATCTCCTCTGGTCCTCCAGTGTTGTAGTGTCAGCAGATTTAAGTTTTGTAACCGTTCTGGATAAGACAGATTTTAAAGTCCAGGGAGTAGTTTTGTAGTCCTTCTCTGCACATTTTCTATGAGTTCTATATCTTTTAGTTTTGACGGGTTCCAGACACTCGAAGGATACTCCAGATGGAGTCTGACAAGTGCTTTAAATAGCATCTTAAGCATGGATTCGTCCAGATATACAAAAGATCTTCTCATTAATAATACTTCACAGTTTGCTTTATTGACCATTAACTGTATGTGCGTAAATCCTCATCTATGATCACTTTCGAGCACAATTCTTTCTCCTCCAGCTCCATCCATATAGTATTTCATCTTTGAGTTGCTTTGAGCGAAAGAACTTTACATTTATAAGGGTGGAATTTTAGTAGCCATTTGTTCAATCACTTGTGTTATGGATTTATCATGGCCACCTTCACAAATTTCAATGTTTTAACCTTAATGATTCAATGCTCTCTAAAAATGTTCAGTATCAACCATTAATCATAGAACGTAGAAACACTTCACTAAATATAAAAAAACAACTAAAAACACAGAAAAAACAAGTCTCCAAGCGGAGGAAACAATGATACAATGTATCTTATTAATTCTTAGATGTGATCATAATACGCTCACACCAACAGTATTTAACTTTACTTATCAGTTCAATCCAGTTCATTCAGAATATATGAACAACGGATGAGAAAAGTTAATAAAAACATTTTTTCTCGTTCCGTTATAAATTGCACGTTGCCCTCAATACACAAAACCTATACCTACTACAGATTTACTACTATGTTTACACACGTGACATAGTACTTGTGAATAAAGAGCAACGATTGGTTGAAATCACAACACCGATATATCACCGTTCAAATTCTTACTCGCACATTCATGTGAAAATCCCCACTTAAAATCGACAACTTTGCCAATCTTAAACTGCTATTGTTGATTATAGATGTCAAAGTAAAGTATAGTATGTGACATAGCTAGGAATTTAAAACGTAAAGTAGGATGACAAATAAACTGTTGTATCTTGAAAACCGTTTGTTTATGAATGATCTCTGACCGTTCTTTAGCCTCGTAGAAATACGACATTATTACTCAAAGAAAATCAACTTTTCCCACACAACGACTTAAGTAAATATATAACTGAATCATAGATTTACTTGACAACATCCCCAATTTATAAAGATAGTAATGTACTTACCCGCCTAAATCATAACATTCCCGACACGACCAACGCCAAATGCAAATTAGGTTTCTAGTCATATTCAATAATAACCTTTGAACTTTTGCATATAAGGCAATAAAAATGGCGGGTGATTTCAATCAACCAATCATTTCACTGTTTTGGACACATTTAAATCGAGCACAAGAAAAAAGAAAGTGTATTAATACGCGCTGTCAATGTTTATGCAGTTGCATTTCAAATATATCATTTTACTAGAAAAAGGTTCTAATCAATAGTTACCATTCGTACTTTGTAAGACGTTGACTTGATTTCTGCTAAAGAGTATTGATGTAATGAGGAATAATTCAATTTCTAATAACACTTCCGGTTATACTTTATTCGGCGGACAGGCTAAATTGACCACATTACCTCCCGTGGGTTTTTTGTATTAGTGTTCGCGCGGAGACATAAACGGGGTACGCGCATCGCGCAATTAATTGCGTAAAACCGCCACCAGGAAGGTAAGGGAATTAACAATTTATATTTAACAAACTAGATTTATGCGATGTATAACAATTTTCTCGTTTTAAAAAATGAATTCGAAATGTGTGTTTTTTTTATTTGTATAAGTGTCTCGCGGTGTTCCGCGGGTAAGTTTGAATATGGCTGTTGCAAATAGAATATAGAATATGGTTTGCAAAGTGGAAACACAGTCGAGATCGTTGTTTATGGTAAATTTCAAATTTATGAAGTGAAGTTTCCATTTCTGTGTAAAGGAATGAAATGAAATCATGCTAAATGCAGGCCTGTACGCCTGGTTTGCAATGAATTACGTATAACTTTAATACATTTGCAACTCCATTGTGCATTCTATCAAACAAAAGCCGTTCATGCCATATTCCTTTGTGGTACAGTGTTGCATCCTGTTTACGATATAATCCACCGAAATAGATTAGCATTGTAAGGTGTATTTTCATTTTTTTACACGGCGATTCAGAGGATAGGCGTTCAATTTCATCTTCAATTGCAGGTGATAATCAAATATATAACTTGTAAAACAAAAGTATTTATTTCAACGGTTTTAATTTTCAAAGACTTCTTTAAGAGACCCATGATAAGGGTTTGACCCGTAAGTCCACGTAATAACACTCTTAAGGGGATATCACTATTAAAGCATGTAGTCAAAGTGGCAGTTGTCCTGAATTTACCGAAACTAGTGGCCTGAATTTGCAAAGTGGACAAAGATCATGTAATCTACAGTCATTGTATACTGATTGAATTTAAAATTGTAAATCACAATGATTAAAAATCAATCCATGGTTAACTTTATAATGACAATGTATGCTTAACCTCGCCTGTCCAAATTGGCCTTTAGTTCAGCACTGTTTGACACCAGAGACTTCTATTTTAAAAAATAGTGAACTGATGCTAGCATGATCTTCTCAGATGTTGTAATAAGCACTTCTTCATGAGTTTTGCAAGTTATGTATGGTAAAATTTTGATTATTTACAGTATGCTGTATGGTAAAATAGTAGTTATCAAACGGACTGGGGCAGATGGGGCACAATTTCCCTTGACAACTTCAGTATGTTTATTTGGAAGGTAAGTTGACATTTGCAGACATGAAATGATATTTTCATAATATTTTCTAAGCATGAGCTGAAGACCTACTTACATGAAGATTGTTGCATATCAGCAAAATTTGCATGAAATCTTGAGTGCCAGTGCTTTTAATATTGATTAAAATGAAAGCATAGTGTCAAGCCAGTGTTTCAAAAAGTGAATAACATCAATGCAAATATACATCCACATGTTCACTCTCCAATATATCTCTTTAATCTGGTGCTTTACATTAAAAAAGTCAGTGATCTTTTTGTCTGATCCTGAAACTATTTATTACATAGAATGTTACATTCAAGTCACTTTGATATCCATCCCTTTAATTAAGCAGAAAAGCTTATCGATACATGAATATCTAAGTTTCAAGAAAAACGAATTTCTTAATGGTTTTTTTTTCATTTTATATGCAAATTCTCTGATGTTTTCAAAGTAAAACTCATAGATAATCTCAATTTTCAATATAGACTTCACTGTTCTGTTTGGATAATATTGTATAGCTATATATTGTATTAAAGTCCCCAATCCATAGCCATAGTGCATTGTGTCCATCTGTCCTTGTGACTGTCCTATCTTGGACAGGTGCTGTCATGTATCAAAAGTAGGTCTAAACTTTGAATTTCATTCTGGCTAATCTCCAATAGTCACTGGAACTTTTTTCACACTTGAGGTATACATTGTTTTCATAATCCTGAAATATCCGTTCTTATGAGCAGGTATTGATTGTGGGGGCAGATATCCCTTTGGTATGTCTTTTTTATGAAAGAAAATACACTTATAGAAATTTAGGGATAAAAATAGGCAAGTTACATATTAAGGTTTTTACTGTATGCATAAGTCAACAACCAGTTGACAACACAAAAGAAAAGTTATTTCTTAACGTTATTGCAGCTTGTGTCTGCAGATTGGTAACTTCTTTAGAAAGTCTATTTTTGTGAGGCACAAGATCATTGTATATTTTAGCATTTAGTATTATAAACAGTTTGTTTAAACACTTTTTTTCCTTCCATTTTTTGGGATTCCAATTATTCTATGCTTCTAAAAAATTAAGAAAACATCAAGCAGTTTATTTACAAAGGGTTGGCAACATATTTCTAATTAAACTAAACATTGGTGGGTTAAATTTTTGAATTATTTTTTTTGCCATTAGAATTTGTCAATTCTAAAACTTCTTTTCAACTTATTTGTGTAAATTTACATACTTTACCAATATTTAAATCTTTTGTTGTTTTTCCAAGATCCAATGAGTGTGACATACGCATCCAGTTACCAAATGTATCCCGGGAACACTGTAAAGTCACTGTGGATGATAAGGGAAAGGTGAGGTCATGAAGGAGTGGATTTTTTTCCATTGTCATTGGTAATATGCTTTTGTAGTTCAGTCTATGAATTGAATGCTGCATCGAAAATTCAATCTTGGTGAATAGAGTTCTTCATATTAAAATTGTCTGGGCATCACCATCTCATATCCTGCGCCATAAATGTATACTATTACCAATGTACTGTTTATATAAATATGAAAAAAGGAAAACAATGAACAAACTTACATTCCATGGTCCAGTAAATACTGTGAATCTGTAAGATTATAAACAAAAGCAAAAAATGAAGAAAAATATTAATCTTCAAAAAAAAAGATAATATATTATCAGGGTTTTCCATAATTTTGTTAGTAGTAGGCTGTGTATTGAAAGTAGGAAGCTGGCCTGTCGTGTACGGAACATTATTACGGAACTGGATTGGTGTAGGCGGCCAAATGATCAAATTGGCCGGCGACCGGCTCTTATGGAAAACCCAGTATTATATAACTTATAATATTTAGAAATTTTAGAAAATTCAAAACTCATATGAGACTTTTATTTATGCATTTATTTCACATTTCAGGTGTTCTTGAGCAACCTGAGCACTATAAACCCAATTAAAGTGAATGACAAAGTTGTTCACGGTGACATCCAGTTGAAGAATAGTGACGTTTTCACAATTATTGATAGGTCTTTTCGCTTTGAATTACCTGAAGGATCTTCAGCCTCTCCAAAGAAAATGAATTCCCCAGCTAAAGTTTCAACCCCCAAGGTTTGTAGTGTTTTCCTGGTGTACCTGATTCCAGAGGAATTTAGAAAATGGATCTTTATGCTGTATTTTGTGGGTTATGAGTCTAATTTTAATGATTTCGATTTGATCCACATATTAGCTTCATGATATAAACCACACATTTTCTTGCAATGCTGACCAAAATTTGTTGATATAACAGACAACGGAAGGTTATCAAGATCGTCAGTGAAACATTTAATATAACAAGTTTGCAAATGAATTAAACACAGATTATCCTTAATTTAATTGATGTGTTTCAAAAATATAAAATAGCAGTTATTGAACTTGGTAGTTTGGGAGCCTTCGAAGATTGTTTACGTAGAGATATAGGGCCTGACATTACATATTTTTTAGTTAACAATATCTCCACCTGTGTCTGTACTGTTTAATATTAGCGAAGGTCCTTGCATGATGACAAAATTCTTATAGTCCCATATTATTTTTTGTTAGTTAGGCGAAGCCATTCTTATCGTAAACAAGTAAAGCGGTTCTAGAATTTGACCCAATAACCTATTAATTCCAGGATGCAACAGGTTATTGTGAACTTCTGCTATGGCTTCAGAAGTAACCACAAAAGTTCAGAAGATATTATTAGGATTATTCAAATCCAAGAAAAAGTTATTTTATTTCAATCCTAAAATCCTCCTACATACATTTGCAAACAACAGCTCTAGTTGATCTGTTTCATTCACAAACATGTGATGGACAGGTACTTGTAAAAAAAAACAAGGTAACAACGTCTTGTACTGGTGAACTGTTGCCCTTGGTTTAGATAACAATTTTTTGATTTTCTGGAAGAGTGACATGTTACTGTAACCAAAATTAGCAAGTTGCGAGGTCACACAGGTTAAAAGTGCATGTGGATTCGCCTTGGCAAAATGGTCATTCTGAAAAGCATAACAGCTTGGAACAGATGTCTAGAAGATGCATATTATTTTATTATTATTTCATTCACCTAAAAGCTGCACTTGTATATAAGCAGCGCACCCAACCAAAGAGGGAAAAAAACAAGCTAATGATTGGGAAAATACAGTATACAGGATAGAAAAATCCTTACCAGCAACACTGCTTTTAACAAGTGTCATTTTTTGTTTTGAATCTGCAGTCTTTGTGTCTGTTTTGTTTCAGTCATGTTTCTATATCATTCAATATAATATGTAATAAAATTGTGGTGTTGAATTATTGTCCATTAATCTCTCTCTTTTTTCAGACAAAGTCTTCATCACCCATTAAGTCTGTTAATCAAAGAAAACCTTTATCCCCATCAAACCGGGAGTTGGATCTCCAGCCAGCTGTTGCACCGAAATCTCCAAGTAAAGTTTCAAAAAAGAATGCCACGCCCAATGCCAAGACACCATCTGGAGCTGTAGCAAGTGTGCCTTCAACACCAAGGGGATCTGGTGATGACTGTCAGCATAAAATTCTAACTCCCAAGGCTAAACCACCCCGGACACCTTCATTAAAAACACCTGTTAGTCAAGGCACTGACAAGTCCGAGAATAGTCATGAAGCAAGAGGCAGAAGCGCAACACCAGCAAAAACTCGAGTTCAGTCACCATCTCCTGCTGCAAGATCAGTAAAGGAGCATACTCCTAGGTCCACTACACCAAAAGCTGTTCAAAAAGCAGCAAAGTCAGCAACGCCTTCTGGATCTCCTAATGGTGCAGCTGTTAAGTCAAAATCGGTGGAAAAGACTCCAAAGATGACACCTAGACCTGCCAGTCCTAAAGCTACTACCCCGAAGGCTACTCCTAGAGCAGTAACCCCAAAAACAACACCTAGACCTGCCAGTCCTAAAGCAGTTACACCGAAAGCAACAGCTAGAGCAGGTACCCCCAAAACAACACCAAGACCTGCCAGTCCTAAAACTGTTACCCCGAAGGCAACTCCTAAATCTGCTACCCCAAAGGCAACTCCTAGAGCTGTTAGCCCAAAAACAACACCTAGACTTCCCAGTCCTAAAGCTGCTACCACGAAGGCAACTCCCAAAGCAGTTTCTCCCAAGGCATCACCTAGAACTGCCAGTCCAAAAGCTGTTACACCGAAGGCAACTCCTAAAGCTGTTTCCCCTAAGGCAACACCTAGAATTGCCAGTCCTAAAGCCTCTACACCGAAGGCAACATCTAGAGCTGCCAGTCCCAAAGCCTCCACACCGAAGGCAACACCAAGAGCTGCCAGTCCTAAAGCCTCTACACCGAAGGCAACACCTAGAGCTGCCAGCCCCAAACCCTCTACACCGAAGGCAACACCTAGAGCTGCCAGTCCTAAAGCCTCTACACCGAAGGCAACACCTAAAGCTGCCAGTCCTAAAGCCTCTACACCGAAGGCAACACCTAAAGCTGCCAGTCCTAAAGCCTCTACACCGAAGGCAACACCTAGAGCTGCCAGTCCTAAAGCCTCTACACCGAAGGCAACACCTAAAGCTGCCAGTCCTAAAGCCTCTACACCGAAGGCAACACCTAGAGCTGCCAGTCCTAAAGCCTCTACACCGAAGGCAACACCTAGAACATCATCTCCAGAGGCAGGAAGTAAGTTTTATTGGCTAATGCTCACATACAAGCTTTTTATCTGCACTTTTCTGGAATGGTATATTTGATTCTGCTCCATGTTCCATATTTTCTACTTCATAGAAGTTATGATAATAATAAAATATTGATCATGATCATGTGAAGGTTGTTAGATAAACAATCCAAAATGCAGTTACTGCAATAGGGAGATGACTGGTGTCTATTGGTCTGTTGATGTAATGAAAAACTCCAAATGTATACATCAATTTATGTGTAAATTGACTGTTATTATGTTTCAGTAAAGAAGACAACTCCCTCCACAGAAGGAAGACGAAAGGTGGTTTAAAATTTTTAAACATACAAGTGATTTTTTTTTCCAACATGAAGCTTTTTGTAGGGTCCAATGATGGGCCCTTTTCGTTGTCAAAACTTGGTCATTTTTAAATGTGGCCTTATTTTTCCAATTGACAGTCTGTATTTACAAAAGAAATGATAGTCTTAACTTAAAAAGATTTTTTCGTGTTAAAATAATGTACATTAGGTATGTTATAGTTTGGTTGCCAAAGATTTTTGAGGGGACGAGGGAATTTTAACTGATAGCTAATCCTGTGCTGATTGAATGGAAAAGATACATCCCAGTAATAATGAATGAATCAAAACTGAAAAAATAAATTGCTTTTAATTTTTCCTTTTCCTTATCTAGCCAGTTGAATAAAACAGGTACTGTACTAAAGTTGTCTGCTCAATTTTAGCGCAAGGTTTTGTTCCTGAAATACCTGGCAACATCCTTGTTTAGATTTGATATTGGCCATTGATAATTGAAAAGACGAGTGTTATTAGCCATATGTTGTAAAGATCAGTATCAATACTTTAGAAATTTCATCTGCTTGATGAATAAAAGTCAATACCAAGAGGTAAACTAGCATCCAGCTAATAAAATAAAGCTACATATATAGTCTGTTTAGTAGTAGTCTGTTTTGGGGAGGGGGGGATTTTGGCATAATATTTCGATTGAAATTATGCTTTTGAATTTTTCTATTTGGTTATTTGTCCCTGGTCAGATGTTCATCTATCTACTGGCTATTGCTGTTGTAAAAAGCTGTTCCAACATACTAAAAGTACAATATAAAAAATGATCAAATTTAATTTAATTTAAAAAAAAAAAAACTAATATCTCTTAAGTATCTCTCATGTTTTTGAGGTTGAAGGTAACTGTTTGAACTTGCTGTCACCATTTTTTAATAAACCCACCATTTCATCATCAACAAATGGTGGGCTGTTGAAATTGCCACTTGGTCCGAAGTTGTGCTCTTTTTGGCAATTGTCTTTAATTTGATTTAATAAAGAGCAAAAAAGAAATCACTTGTTGCCAAAAAACACTGGTTGAGAATGTAGGTGATTTGTTACTATTTTCATGTTTTATAGATCAATATGCTTAACTCCCTTACATGTGATTAATTATTGGATGTAAATTTCTCCTTAGTCAATGCCAGCAGGAAGCCCATATGTTCCTAAAACTGCATCTCTGAAGAAGAATTTATCTGAGCTGAGGCGACGCTCACAACCTGTACTGGAATCAGCCAGCCCAAGACAGTCAGGTTTGTATTTTTAAAAAACTTTGCCACTTATAGATTTCCATGTTCGTAACCTAAAATCATTTGTGTCTAATGGTATTTTAGTGAGGGCATTTCCAAATAGTATCTTGTTTCTCGTATTTCTTCAAAGAACACTAACTTTCTATTTTTTGACCTGGAACCAATGGATATGAGAAATACAGCCCAATGAAAAGAAAGGGAGATAGATGGCCTTCACCAAGGCCAGCATTGGAATTATAATTTCAGAAGGAATCATTTTTAAATGCATCCATAATGTCTCTCAAGGCTCTTAAGAGGGTGTGACAGTTTTTTAGAGCTGAAACGAAGAGCAGATTTTGGTATTCAATTATTCATTCAGTGTATATGTGTATTTAAATATTTGCATGGTAATGCAGACAGTTATGTACCAACATTATGTCTCAAGTTCAATACAAACATTAATTTTTACTCTAACATACCTATACATATTTTGATGAAAATAAGGACAAGGGCTTGACCACCATCCTTGAAAAGATTGAGATACCTAGAGAGTATAAGATGAAATTTGGATACAGAATTTAACTCTCTGCAGTGTGTTGTTTTTAATTTAAATACTGGTAATATATTCATCTATTTTGCTCTTCCATTTTGTTTACATATGAAAAATCGTCAAATGGCTTTCAGATACATATTTTGTAGAAAGTGGCATACTGATATATGCATCATATATCTTTCACAGCCAGTTAAGTGCAAGCATTCATGTTTCCCATTTTCTGCTTTCTTTACTGCAGTTTTAAAAACTTATTTTTCTTACACATGTACATTTTGTTGTATTGCAGGATCACCAAAGACACCAGATAACAGGAAAAGAAAATCAACAGAATCTATTGCACCAAGTTCTAAAAGGAAGCGAGTATCTTTTGGTCCTCAATTGAGTCCAGAACATTTTGACAAGCAATTGCCACCTATTACTCCTGTCAGGAAAGGAGCAACTCCAAGGAGACGCTCGGAACCTCTAAAAAGAACGTCTCCCCAGTCATTGTTAAAACGAAGATCAATTGCACCAAAGACTACTCCAATCAAGGAAGAAAGTCCTGCAAAGTCTCCGAATACATCTAAATCTTCAAAGACTACTACACCATCAACAGCAAAATCTCCTGTAGTATCGCCAAAAGCTGCTTCCCCTAAGGCCACAACACCTGGCAGGGCAAAATCACCTGTAACCTCACCAAAAGCCGTTACCCCCAAGATTGCAACACCAGCAAGAGCAAAATCTCCTGCAGTGTCGCCAAAACCCACTTCCCCCAAGGGGGCAACACCTGACAGGACAAAATCTCCTGTACCGTCACCAAAAGCCTCTACACCCAAGGTTGCAACACCAGCAAGAGCAAAATCTCCTGCAGTGTCGCCAAAACTCACTACCCCCAAGGGGGCAACACCTGGCAGGGCAAAATCTCCTGTAACCTCACCAAAAGCCTCTACACCCAAGGTTGCAACACCAGCAAGAGCAAAATCTCCAGCAGTGTCGCCAAAAGCCGCTACTCCCAAAGCAGCAACACCTGCAAGAGCAAATTCTCCAAAAGTGTCACCAAAAGCCACTACTCCCAAGGCAGCAACACCTGCCAGAGCAAAATCTCCTACAGTGTCACCAAAAGCCAGTACTCCCAAGGCAACATCTCCAGCTACAACACCGGCAAAGAAGAGTTCCTCCAAAGCCTCTAAAAGAAAATCTCAAGGGAGAGGAATCGGTGATGCTTCTTTCACTGGGATAAAGCGTCTATTAAAGACTCCAAAATCAAAAGCTAATGTGTCTGCAGACATCAGTTTCACAGGCATCCAGGAAATGATGATGACACCAACTGTGATGACAAGTACACCTAAAATGTCTAGCAAAAAGAAAAGACGAGTAAGCACTGGTAGTTTGGGATTATCCACAAAGAAACAGCTTTTAACTCCATCGAAGTCTGCAAAGAACAAGACCCTTGACAGGAGTTTTGATTTATTGGAAGCTGTGATGCAAAGTCCAGTTAAATCACCAAAGGCAGATGGGAATGTTTCATCTCCAATTAAGCTCATGACTCCCAAGCAAGATACTCCCACATCAGTTAAGAAAACATCTAAATCCCCCAAGACTCCCAAATCTGGCAAAAAGACCCCCAAAACAGATACACCTAAATCTGCAAAGAAGACGCCCAAAGTTATCAAAAAGACCCCCAAACCAAATACCCCTAAATCTGCAAAGAAGACACCAAAATTGATTAAAAAGACACCCAGAACAACACCTAAGCTTGGAAAGACACCCAGATCAGTATCGAAAAAATCAGCCAAGAAAGGCTCCCCTCCAACTGCTCTTAAAAATGCTGTTGCTTTAAGAGCAATCCATGGTAAGGCTGCAGTGCCAAGTCTGGGAGGAAGTTGGTCCGACATACTCAAGAAAGGAATCATGGAGAAGGGAGTGGCCAGAAAAATGTCTCCAATTCGTCCCAAACCTGTACATGTAAAGAAAACTTCATCTAAAACACTTAAGGTTTGTATATTATAGTCTCTGACCTGCCTTCAACATAGTATAGCATTGGGAATAGATAAGCCCAATGTTGTGCAAACTCTTCCCATAAAAGATGAATGTATAACATTCATGAAAGATAAAATTGTAATGTTCATATTTATGTATTGCTGTTGCAAATTACTAGTGAACTAATGTCGATAAGAAAATCCTCTACCGTTCTGTTTGCTGGTCATCTTTTCAGTATTTGATATTGCTTGATGTCGCGCGCTATTCCTTCATTTCTGTGAAATACATAAGGGATTATATTTTGTATTCATTGTTGTATTTGCTCCATTATCAATTTTATACCAAATTTCCTGTCAAATGCAAAAAAAACTCACAGAAAATGATGTAGATTTTGTAACTTTTAATTCACACATAAATGTCTATTTCAGGCTCCCCCTAAGACTCCCAGAACTATGGCTGCAAAAAAAGCCCCTACAACAGGACATGTCAACTCTCCAGGAACCCTGGTAATTCACAAGAAATCATCAAAAACACCAAAAGTTCTGCCTAAAAAGGGCCGCAAGAGTGTAGCTAGAAAGGTTGTCAAGGTTTGTGTATTTCATAAAGCTTTTGTTTCTATTTGCAGTAAAACACTGATAAATCAAAGTCAACAGGACCAAATGAAATATGTGGCAACGTCACTGAAGCATAAATACACTGTAACAGCATAAACCCCAAAAAAGATTAAAATAGAACATTTCTTTTATGTACATGTACATCCATTAAATGTTTCAATTGTAAACTAATGTGTCGACAAACTGGTGTTTGTATTAATCTGCATAAGCACGATAGTTATCACTTGTTTTTCCTTCTGGTTTCCTTTAGCCAAGTTTGTAAACAGAACACAGATTTATGGTTAAAAGACTACAGTGGGTTTTTTCTCTCTTTTTTTTTTGTTGAATTCTTTTTAAATTCAAACACATGGTTAATGTTCAATGGAAACTTGCAACAGGGCTCAATAACAGGTAAGACTGACCGATTTTACTGGGTTTTCCGACCGAAGCTAGGTAATTTTTCCTGAGAAAAGCTGACACCTAAATGTTTCACACAAAAAAGGAAATTTTGGTAGAATTTAGAAAGGATGGGAAGTCTTACTGTTTGTTAAAAACTTTGTGTTTCCAAAATTTGTTTTGCATAATGCTTTTTTATTTGGTAATTGCGTTTTGGCGAGTTGCCTTAATCTTATTGTTTCTTTTCAGAAAATTGCAGGTGATATGAACGTGACGCTTTCTGGTTTGACTGATCTGTTTGAGTCCCCAAAAAGGACACCAAAATCATCACCAAAAACACCTGCATCTGTAGGTACACCTCATTCCCTGTACTCGGACATCCCAGATACACCAAATGGTCCTGGAGAGATGATTGTGTCACCCATTTCTACTGGAAAGAAACGCAAATCTGCTCCTTCTCCTAAACTTATTGGTGTTAAAAACCTTTTCAACAGGAAAAAATCTCCAAAGGCAGCAAGTCCAACTGGCATAAAAAGATTGATAGCTACTCCAAAACAGAAATCATTGGCAGCCAGTCCATCAGGAATCGCTGACTTATTCAAGGTGTGTTTTAAGATTTATTGTTTCAGATGCTTTTTTCACATCTCAGTTTTGTTGTAAGCCTGATACATTTGTACACATGCACAAAAATGTAATGAGGCTTGTCTATTTTCCTGCTTAATTCTGAGCAATGACTCTTCTTAGAGAAAATCTGTTTCGTGCCGATATGCATAGTATCGCTTGTAGCGAATTTTATCTCTGCTTGCTTTTTTTTATGTGATCATTTCGAATTTATTAATAAGCTGTGCAATAACAAATATAGCTCACTTTCAGACAGAATGCATCGTGAGCATACATTTTCATCTCTTTAATTTTGATACAGACACCCAAGGTTACACCAGCTAAGGCAACGCCCAAGGTTACGCCAGCCAAGGCAACACCCAAGGTTACACCAGCTAGGGCAACACCCAAGGTTACGCCAGCTAAAGCAACACCCAAGGTTACGCCAGCCAAGGCAACACCCAAGGTTACCCCAGCTAAGGCAACACCCAAAGTTACACCAGCCAAGGCTACACCCAAGGTTACACCAGCTAAGGCAACGCCCATGGTTACACCAGCCAATGCTACACCTAAGGTTACACCAGCTAAAGCTACACCCAGCGTCACACCAGCAGCAAAGACACCTCAAGTTGCTTCATCAAGCAGAAAGAACCTGAAGTCAACAAAGAAATCTGCTGCAAAGAAAGTGTCATCACCCAGAAGGTAAGTGATTATACCCACTGCTACAAAGTTTGCTAGTTAAGTCCAAGGGTCTGGGTTGTTAGCTTGAAGATGGAACATGTTTGAAAACTTCAGATCTTTGTAGGCATAAGTCATCTGAACAATGGCTTCATTGCGTTAACATTTGATCCTTGAAAATATCAAACTCGGAATTTCTCTATTTTACCCTAAAGTTTAGGAATGATCCTTTTTCTGCCCCATAAATTTTTACTGGTCATTCAGAATATGTGACTGTATAACTACATTGTTTTTGGTAAGTTTCTAATTTACATATGAGGATTAGATTGCAACTATTTATAAAGTCCATTGACCATGGTACATCTTGAACAATTCATCTCTGCATATTAATGTTCAGTGTGTGCTGGATATCTTTCTCTGAAAGGATAGAAACATCTTTATCTTATTCTGATAGAAAGTTTGCATATTTCTGTCCAATGTGGACGAAACAGATAGCAGACTGAAATTTGCTTCACTTTTCTTTTCTCTGCTGGAAATATAGAAGAAGAAATAACCCACACATTTTAGGACTGAAGGTCAAAGATCAAGTTAAGTTTCTAATTTACAGGGCAGGCAGTTGTTTAAATTTGAATATCAGTATATGTATTTTGAAATGTTAACAAATTATTCAGATTTAATTCCTTAAAGATATTTGCTTATGATATCTTGTTTTTACAGAGGAAGAAAAAGGCCAGCCACAGAAGCTGTATCGCCAGCTGTGCCTAGTAAGGTGGTGAAAACCAATGATGCTGTAGAATCATCCATTCTTCCAAAACAATCCACTCCTACAAAACCATTGTCAAGGTAAAAGTGATTGGAAATATTCTTTCATTTACTCACACCCAAGTACAGGTTGACAAGTGACCTCCATGTGTTCTGTGCAAGCCTTGATTTAACAGACGCTAAGCAACCTGTTATCATTTACTTAATGGGTATCTTCTTCCTTCTGTTGTAGTTCACTTAAATACATTTGAAAATAACCAGCAAATCTGTATTGATGTTTACACATAAAAAAATTTATGGATCAAAAAACTGAAAATGTTACATTGATGTTTTGTTGACACTACTTTGAAAAGCATTTACTATCAGTTGAAATGATACAGGAAAGTTCCTATTTTAGAAATAATTCATGTTAAGATTGAGTGAATTACTCTGGATAGCACTTCACATTTTACGCTATTACAAAAACAAAAACAGTTTTTATAGAACTTAGATGACTGCTATGGCCTTTAGCCTCTTGTTTTAGCTTTAGTTGACAAGGAACAGCTTTGCTTTGTTGGATACTTTAACTTTGTATTCAACTATGATACAGACATCAAGCTAACTGAATTTATAGTTAAGGAGGACTGCTGTTAATCATCCTTTTTTATTTTTGGCCACCCTGCAGATCAAGGAGTGTAAAGAAGTCGCCCACAAAGTCTCCAGCTAAAGGAAGATCAACACGAGGTATACATGGTTTTGCTTATGTGGAACTAGACTTTTTCGGAAATATTTCTGATTGCATTTAGTGCTCAATCAGTGATGTCATGATTTTTACAGATGGAAAATTTTAAAGACTTTTTAGCAAAGATACTGCCTTTCATTTTAATGTCATTGGTGTATTTGTCAAGGTAAGACTGGTATGCCTTTGCTTACATTGAGTGCTAGCCCATCATTATCCTTCAACAAATTCTTACTTTTTATCTATTCCATAATATAGGAGCCCAGTTTTTTTTTATTCCTTCTTAAGTCATTTTCACAGTGTTGTAGTCATCATTAGGTTGTGGACTGTTGAAGTTTGTTATCCCTATTCCTAGTTGTCGTCTTTCCATTTTAGTTTGATTATAAAAGTAGAGCAAAAGTACCTACTTTGGCAACTTGGGTTTTATACAAGTTAGTTGGCATTATTTCTTGATATATTGGATATGACAGATGGGACTTGTTGGATCTTTCTTATAATCCATATTAAAAATTATTGTTGTTGAAATGTCACACAAGTCCTTCTCTTTATTCGATACACTGTTAAAGGCTCAAAAAAGAAGAAAATTGACTATTTGTTATGTTAAACTAACATTTTAGTAAATGTCCATCTTTTTCAGGGAGAAAGGCGGTCGCCAAATCTCCAATCAAAAAGACAACAATTACAACAAAGACAATACCAGAACCAGTTGCAGTTAATTCTCCCAAGGTAGAAGTACAGAGAAGCCGAAGAGGAGGACCTGCAAAGAAAAAGCTCCCAACTCCTAAAAAGGATTCACCAGTAAAAAAGGGAAAGCGGGGAGCTGCTATTGAAAATAAAGCACAGAGTGCAGAGGAAACTAAAGCATCACCTGCAAAAACTGTATTAGTGCCAAGCCCAAAGAAATCTTCTCTTGTGAAGAAGACGAAAAGAGGCACTGCAGTCAAAACACCCTCGCCTGTTAAGAAAACGCCTGCAAAGAGAAGCAGAAGGGGTGCTCCTGTTGAGAAGTCAGTCAAGGCAGATACTCCAAAGGCAGCAACGCCTGTCAAGAAGACAAGAAGAGGTGGTGCAGTTAAACAGACTCCTGATAAACTAGCAGAAGAGAAGGCTGGAACTCCAGTGAAGGTAGCATCGATGAGTACAAAGAAAATTGCTGATAATGTTGAGAAACCCGTCAAGACAACAACACCTGTGAAAAGGACTAGACGGGGTAGCTCAGCTAGACAAACATCTGATAAGACAGCAGAGGTAAAAGTCAAAACTCCAGCAAAGGCAGCACCAACTAGTGGAAAGAAAGCACAAGTCAAGAAGGCATCAGATGTGGATGACAAAACAGCTTCAACAGTATCTCCAGTAAAGAGAAGTAGAAGGGGTGCACCAATAGTAAAATCACCAATTAAGAAAATGAAAGTAAGTAAGAAGGAAGAGGAAAAGGCAAAATCTCCTGCAAAAAAGACACAAAAGAAAGTGGAAAAAGTTGCAACTCCAGCAAAGGTAGCAACTCCAGCAAAGTCTCCTAAAAAGACTCCATTGAAGCGGGGTCGACGTGGAGTAGCAGCTGTTATCACACCTGTTAAAGAAGCTCCAGCAAAGCCTGCGTCAAACCGAGGAACAAAGAGGAAAGCCACTGAGAAACAGGAGAGTCCAGCAAAGGTACCTAAAATTGCAGCTCCAGTTGAGGATAAGAAGCCTTCACCTGTAAAGAAAAGTGGAAGAGGGGCAGCAGCAAAAGCTGCTTCACCAGCCATGGTCAGTCCAGTGAAGGTAAAGCGCACGAGAGGAAAAGTAGTCACACTAGTAAAGGCTGCATCACCAGTAAAGAAGAATGCTGAGAAAGAAAAGGTAGAAAGTCCAGTTAAACCTTCACCTGCTTCTAAACCTAGTAAAGGAAACAAAAGGAAGGCTATTAAGGAAGACACCAAACCTGTTGAAATTGTTTCCCCAGCAAAAGATTCTACAACAAAGAAAGGTAAAAAGGTAGCTACTAAAACAGTCAAAGTTGCTACACCAGCCAAAGATAGTCCAGTTAAAGCAAAACGTGTCACCAGGGGAAAACCGGCCAGTCCAACAAAAAAATCACCGGTGAAAACAAAAACAGTGGCAGCAAAGGCAACGAAAAAGGCAAATTCTGCCAAAAAAGCATCCACTCCTGTCAAACGTACAACAAGGAGTAGGAAGTGAAATCTTTTAAAACTTTCCACACATACCTCTGAAATGTACATATTTTATATAGAAGTATTCTCACTGTAAATATCTAAATGTAATTATATATATTTTTGTAAATGCCTCAACTTAGATGTATCATGTTAAAAACATTTCAATTGATCTCAATTAACATATGTTTTGAAAGTTATCAATAATTGCTCTTTTAAGAAGTTCAGTTTAACTTGGATATCACAAAACTGACAGAGTATATATTCATGCATATTCATGTTTTTTTACATTCTTTATAACACTTCTAAATTTGCATTATTTTCCAATTTCTGTACTTAGTAGACTTTGGGGATTAATTTTAAAAAATGAAAATGTTTTCAAATTTATAGTTTTGTGTAACTGTCTTCTTAAGACCATATATTATAACTATCTGGCATGTTCATTCTGTTTCCGTTGAAATGTTTAAGATTTTACCTCTAAACAATACCTCTGGAATACTAAATAGCATTGAACATGTGTTATGAAAAAATTGTAAAAAATGAAATTTTTATTTTGCTAAGGCTCATCACACATTCACTTTGTTAGTGGAATTGTGTTCTTTTATTTTTCATTCTGTTTCTGTCTTTCTGTACAACTCTCTCATTCTTTGGAAATTTTTGTTTCGTGTATTTAAAAGTTGTGTTTAAAATTTTAATATATAAGCCCTGAACTAAATCAGTCATTGTACATACCATGTATTGTATTGTTGTCTTTATCATTTGCTTTGACCGACATCATTATCATCATCCTCATCAATCATTTCTTTACTGTACATCCATTGCTTAATTGAAATCTTGCATGACATGTATTAAGCTATTGGTCCTTGAGGTGAACAATGTCTTCCTTATCATATGGATTTCTGCAGCATAATTCGTAAATTAACACAAAAGCCATATGTATGGTTTAGAAATTACCAGACTGTAATACTTGAGTGGTTAAAGGTGAACTGAATTCTGTTGTAGTCATGTGTATGCAATGTTCATTATTCTTTGTGCTTTTTAAATTTTTTGTTTTTAATAGTACTTCTTTTTGTATTTCATTACTGGTTGAACTGGTCTAATCTTTTAGCGCTTAACTATGAGGAAAGGAGTTCATTGATACAAAAGTGTAGTCATCAAATTTTGAAGTCTTTCATTTTTACGTATTTTACAGTAGTTTTTTCCCCAAATAGATTTTATGTCAAAGACAATTATAGTCGAATTTTTGGGATGGCATAACTGTTCATTTGTAATAGACTTTGTAATTAAGTTTTATGGAAGATTGATTTTTAACAAGATGAAATATTTTAGATGATAACAACATACTTGGTATGTTGATTTATATACCTTCATACTTATGTTAAGTATCCAGCTACATTTTGAAACTTATCAAGAAGACTTCGTTAATGTTTGGATTTATCACGGTTTTTTTCCCTCTGTATTCAATATGTCGTTGGATGTATACCGTCAGATTCTATGGACGTAAAAGAAGTTGTGTATCAATTAAAATAATCTGAAACATCTCTGTGATTCTTGTTTGTTAATTCACTTACCTGACATCTAAACAAGTGTATGCAAGGTACGTCTCGTGCCAAGCACCAATGGACTTAGAGGAATGCTATTCGGCCAGGAGTGTCTGGATAAAGTACCAAATGGGGATTATATATAAAAAGTAGCAGCACTAACAACTGCAATTCTTCCTGGATTTAGTCAAACGTTTAGGGCAATTCATCAGTTCGATTTTTTTAAAGTTCCAGATAAAAAAAAACTGTTGGTGACCTTTTGTAGTATACTTTGTGTTGTAGCGCCTCTTAATACAAATCTAGAGTGAGATGAAGTAGAGTCAAACGATGCATAAAACTATACAGCTTGTTTGGTCACAGGACTTGTCAGTAAGAAGGGCCTAAATTTGGAAGTCGGGGAGAGGACGGAGGGAAAAAAATGATCGAAAGAAATCGATGTAAACCTGTTATTTTCAAGTGAAGAGTACCTTTTAATATAGAGTTGGATAAAGCAGAGCCAACAAATTATATAAACTATGACTGTCCTAGGAGTCGACGGTGATTAGGCCCTACATTTTGAAGCCGTAGAGGCGACTGGAGAAAATTCAGTCGAAAGGAATGAAAAGTTACCCTGAATCGCGCCACTATTTGAATGAATTCAAACGTGGCATGCAGGTTACGACAAACCTCGGGGGCTAAAAGCAACTTTTGATACAAATTAAGAGTTGGATACCGTTAATAAGTCGGTCATTGCTGTTGATGGGACGTTAATCTTAATCCGATCATCTTCACTAACGGAAACAGTATGGGCTCCCCGCTTTGTGACCCACTAATTAGATACCAATGTTACAACAGATAAGATGCTTATATGAAAAGTAATGTAGGCCAAAGCGAATGCAAAGTTGACAAGCCGCAAGTGTTAAAGAAACCACAAGAAGACCTTGTTTCCTAGAAAGGGTTTTGTCAGAATATTTTCACATATTCTCACCAGGCTTTGAACGATTTGTAGTCGAATGGACTTCCTTTTGATAAAGCATTGATAACAAGAAAGTACTTGTTAATACATAATATATTTTGGAAGGTCACTCCGACCTGTTTTCACTATCATCATGACGAGTGCTAATTCCGAAGATGGTCGTGTAGTCATCGAAACATTACATATAATAAAAATCGTACTTGTGATATTAGAAGTTACATTATGTAGATGTAAGAGCATATGTGGTTTAAACTATACTATTGAAGTTTAATTTTATACCGTTTTACCCTAAATTAATTAATGTTCATATGACGTAAATTCAACAACTGTGGTAGTGTTATATTGTACTACATAAATAGCAAGGGGGCAGAAATCTTGAGGATAATTCTCTATAGTTAGAAAATTTAATCATCAAACCAGAAGTTATGTACATATTGATATAACATATATGTAAAACCACGTGCACTCTGTTAAGGCTAATCGTATACTCGAGTTACGTCCCCTTAACAATTTTCATGAAAGACCTATAAGCTAAAACAACTGTCCTTGGCTTCTCAAACGAAATAAAAGAGTTCATACCACCTAGCCTTTTTATCAGTTTGTGAACAGCATTGAGTGCGTGTTAGGAACCTGCAATATTGTATATTTATGCCGTAATTTTGATATCATTTAGTTAAGTGAAATGGAACTAAATTTTATGGCATTTCTTGTCAGATGAAGAAAAACTAAACAAAAACGAAATTTCAACACATCTTGAAACAAACAACGGTATTTCTTCTTTAGAATTGTTTTGTAAATTTGTAAAGAGAAACTTTTACTCGTGTCCTACGTTGTCCTAGTTGCACTTATTAGAGAAGTGATTTTAAATATTTTTAATATAAAACACTATAATATTGCAAAATGTTTCCCTTTCAAAATAGTTTCCTAAAAGTTGATAAGGAAATGATAATGGTTACCAAGCAGTGACATCTGATAATGATCAAAAATGCAAAACATACATAAAATATATACAAAACTTAGTTATTTACAGACAAAATGACAATTATAAATAATTACTCGTTTATCACTATTCTTGTCTAGTGTTTTCTTTCCGATCTATCCACTATACTCCTTAAGGTACGATGTCACTCAAAACAAAAACCCTAATATAAAGCTCTGACGTTAATCGTTGATTGGTCTTTCGTTCGTCTTACGAAGAGCCGTGAACACTGACGTTCGTCGGTGAGACGACACTCGTACACGAGAGGAGTCACGGAGACGGAAAATCTGTCAATCAATTAATCAATCGATCGATCAATCATTTCCAAAATAAAAATGACCTCTCTTAAAACTAATACACCTCAAGTGAGACGGTACCTGGACACTGGTGGAGTCATGGAGACAGAAAACATATCAAACAATCAATAATTTCTTTGCGTTAGCTTTCACAACATTCAACGCAAGATCCAACCTTCGAGTCGAGAAAATCAGAATGACAATAATTTGTTTTTAATCTCCATATAAACAAGAAGCGAATTTTCACTGAATACGGAAAAATCACCCCTGTAGAAACAATCTTTTATCTGGAATAACAGGCCTTGGAGGGTTATTTTCAATAGGATTAGATCCCTCTTTCCAAGTTGATTAAATAATGCACACAAGGGTAGGTTTCCTCGATAACTATCTCATTTTAAAATTTTCTGTTTCCTGTTGCGGTATGAAATTTTATCAATATGTGTTCGATCCTTGCTATTATTTTCATATCACCATATCACCATTCGAAATTTTAAGGGCTTCCTTTTCAAAGAAGGCGAATAGCAGAAAAAATATTAATTGTTGTGGACTATAATAAAATTGTATGACAAGTGTTATGATTTTGATTTACCTTTCGTGGATTTTAGGTTCTATTTCTGGATAGAACACACCTGCATCCCCAATTTCCTGTGTTTACATGTCGCAACTGATTCGATATCCCCATATTGTAGTATGTTAATATCTGTTCGCAGTATCACGATTCTCGTGCAAGATGTCGGCAGCTGCCAAACTCGTTAGTATACCTAAGATTCATTTGCTGTTTTCCATGTTCCGAGTTATTTGGGAACGTGATCTGATTTCTTACTTATTTTTCCGCGAGTTACATTGCGAGTGTCGTCTATGAAACAGAAAACGATTACCCTTCCGAAACACCTAGTCTTATCATTGTATAGAACTTTGTTCTTTTTCAACAGCCTCTCTGTAAATTTTTCATTGTTCTATATTTGCCATGTTTTCGGCGAATTTGAGTTTGGCGATTCCAAATTCAAATCGTGACATTACTTGGTTTGTTATTGAATACTGATGATGAATTGTTTAGTTGCGTTAAGAAAATAATATGTGCGCAAGGCTATCATCGTCGTTTTCGCCATCATCATCATCATCGAATTTAAAATTCTGTAAGTTGTTTCAGGAAGATTATAATACATTATTGTGCTTCAATGGTTGTGTGAACTGGTATTTCTAGATGATAAACAATTTATATAAAAGGTTTATGAAAGTGTTTTACTTTAAAGGTAAGTATTTTGTATCTATAGTTCGTCCATTGCAAAAGCCGACAGGTCATAATAACGGACGTAAAACTCGTTAAAGAAAAGTGTTCATAGATAATTCGATCTGATAAAATAACGTTATTGTCTTCTCAATATATTTTAATGCTTATGCATCCTTAAAGCTACTTTCGATATTACCCGCCGTTTTCATAGGTTGAATTATTATCGGAATTTCCCGAAGATGTCAGTAGCCAATCATATTCAATTATTTTTCCCGCCGAATATTGCCGAACGCTGCCGACATTACTTGGAGGTAAATCGAAGCATGAAAGAGTATTTCTTCCGGTGGAGCTAAAACAGCTTGCCGCAAATCTCGTATGAAGATTTTGGGGTCTTTTTCATGGTAATCATCATATTTGAAATATTGTACACCATTCTGTATTTGTACTTTTGTAAACTGAACGTTATAATTCTTAATTGACCCCGTTAATATGATAAAATACTATAAGAACTCAACTGGAAGCCATAAGTGCGTTCGTGTACGAGCGGTCTATTGTGCTGTGAAATCTGATGTTTTTTTTCTCACTGGACATTATTTTAGTGTTGTAACGGCTTCTCGACACGTGTTTAGAATTTGTAAGCGTTTCTTAACTTTGTTGAATGCATTTACTATAAAGTTGTTCCATGAACACTTGTAAATAAGATGTTGATCAACAAATGACGTGCATGCATTTTTACACATTATGTTGATTTTCTTCTTGTGTTCTTGGGTTTGTTAAAAAAAATATATACAGTTCACTGCACTACTGGTATTATGATGTAAATCAAAATATGATTCTGGCCAGATGAAGTCGTCAAATGTTTTCAGATAAATGAATATTAATATTTCATATATAAGCCAGGCAGTGTTATGCATGATGGACGACATCATGCATTAGTAACTTAAAATTTACAACGGTAACCACACTATGGAAGAAGAACACAGGATTTCAAAGATGTGATGACCAGCCTTGTGGGTGTATGGGGACTTTCCTGCCAATATGATCGACCCTGAATATACATTGATAAATGATACATACATTGCTGTATGCTGGACGCAAGTCCTTAAACATCTTTATCTAGAATTTCTCCTCCGACATATATTGAAATAAAGATTAAAATAGCACTTCCGACAGAGTTGGAGAAAGTATCATACTGGTTGTATACAGTCATGGAATGGTAAAAGACAGAATCACAGATAGATATTTAAACATAATTTCCACATGCTTTGAAATTCCTAACCTAGGTGGAATATTCATTATCACATTCTCCAGTTACATGAATGTTGCATGTTGCCCTGATATATCTCCAGATAAGTGGTGTTCCAATAATGTCAATGAATCAATGAGTTGTCTCTGGTAATGTTCCTTAAGTAAAGCAGTAATGATTTTTGAACTATTTTGGCCCTGGCAGAAAACTGTTCACATTTGCAAAGTCTTAAAACACACAAAAATCATAATTTTCAAGGCCTCCTCCCATTATCAAGATTTTCATGCAAGAAGTCATCAACTGACAGACTAACCTCGCAACACAGGGTTTTAAAAGATACAGCTTGATGAAAATTATGGAGAAGATTTATGGTTGTCGTAATGATCTTGTTCAGAAATATTCTATTTCTATGTGCAATATGAAGCTGGATGTATTGGTGCTTGTTGGTTTGTCTATTGGTTCCATCTTTATGTACCTTGTTCTCATTTGAAAATGTGACATTACTTTCTTGGATTGACCAAGATATATATGGCAAGTGTTGTTGAAGCAGAAGATGTTTATTCTTCCTGAACACCTGGTCTTATTCTCCTTGTACTTTTTCAGAAATCTGTATGTAGATCCTTCTTTTGTTCTTATTTGCCTCTTTAGTTTGGATTATGATTATGTTGACATGTTGGTATTTCCTAGTTGTTTTTTCAGCTCCAACCCAACTCCAACTTTGCTTGCTTTTCTTCTACAGAATGATGCTAAGTTGCCATCACATCCTGGCACTGTAATCATAATATGTACATGTGATAGAATTACAATACACTGTCCACAAATTTCTTACTTCCATAAAAAATAAATCTGACCGAATTGTTTCTGTTCAATAGGAAAATGACACGACTGACCCCAATATGAACAATGATTCAAAAGGTCATTGCATAAGTCAAAACAAAATGGCAGCCCACATGCATGCAGCTTGCCTTGTAGGCAGGTGATTTGATTTTCTAGATGTAGGAGATTTGAATGGAAGAGCTCACTTTGTGGGCTTGTGCAAGATCACTTGTGGTAATGTTGCTGTCATTGATTCTGATAGATATTAGATACTAACATTGAGAAAACATTGACAAAATACTCTGCCATCTTCTTGTGAGCAGCACAACAGATGGTAGGGGATGTTGAGGTTATTGTGTGACCTAGGAAACTCATACTCACTAATAGGACAATAATACTTAAAAAAGGAGGGTAAGAGGATAAGCTGTTAAAAATTAAATTAGCTAAGGTGTAAATGTGTAGAAGTTATTGCTATGGTAAGAAATTAATCTGGTTTTATAATTTTTATGCAGGTAATCTTGCAACAGTAAGAAAACCATGGATGTGGACATTTCAATTCCGAATCAGAAAGTTGGGGACACGCCTCTTGTGAATGGAGATTGCAAACCACCAGTGGAATTGTCTGATTCTGCCCTTGACTCCCCTAAATCTGTCTCTACTAGTCCTGCCATTGGATTTCGACATCACCTACCACAGATAGCAAACTTGACACGCAACACCAAGATTGCACAGAGCAAGGCCAGTGCTAAGAGGGAGAGTACAGAATGTATACCAAATGTTGAGGCAACTCTACACATAGAGGGCACAGGGAAAGTAGTCAAATTGGACGCAGATTTGAAAACAGAACTATGTGTACAAGAGGCTGGAGATGTTAGTCCAGGTACATCACAGTTGGTTGATAAATGAGTTTCACTTACTGTCTTCAAATGTCTTGCATACACGATATAATAACTGCAGGTAATCTTGCAACAGCTTGGTGGAAAATAATTTTGTCATTACAAGCCAATATTGTTTATATTAACACATTAGTCTTAGACAAAATAATTGTGACAATGATAGGAATTATAATGTGTCATTTTAGATTACGAATAATTTGACATCAAAAATAAAAATCAAAAGCAAAAAACAGAAAAATGCATATAAGGAGATGTCTGTGTATGGTCTGTACTGATATTTGCGGTTTAATAACATGTTCATTTTTCTTAAATTTCTCTTTCTTTTTGTTAGGCACAGGTGATGTGGCAAAAACCGAGGAAGAAACAGAAAAGGAGAAAAGCGATGATACAGGCAAGTCAAAGTCCCGTAGCGGAAAAAAGAGTAGAAAACCTGCTAGTACAATAAAGAAAAATGCAGAAGAATCGCCACAAATTGCAGATAAGAAAACCGAATCCAATCCTTCTCCAGAAAAATTGTCACCATCAAACCAGGTTTATAAGAATATTTTTCAGGAAACTGTTGTATTGGGTAAAAGAAACCGGAAACCTAAAAAAATAGATTTTGAAGAGGAGAAAACATCCCAAAAAGGTACTACAACTACTGTACGAAAAAAAACTCCTGAAATAAAGGAAGAACCGCATACAGAAAGAGTTACTAAGGTGGAGGAAGAGAAACCAGCACAGTGGTTGGTTGGTGATGTTCTGTGGGGGAAAGTGCCTGGACATCCATGGTGGCCATGTATGGTTGCTTACGATCCCTTCCAGGGACTCTATACAAAGTTTAATAGTAAGTACATGATCAAAATTCGTAGAGAGATGTAGCATGAACTATTCTCTGTGCCCATTTTATCCCAACTTGAGGTCTTCATTTCTTTATGGATTTTTGTCAGATTTTGATACAAAGATCAAGTAGCTGAGAATCCATTGGTAAATCTACTTTTGGAATGTTGCCATTTGTAGAAACAGGAATTTTTGACCTATTTTGAAAAAATGGAGAAATTCCAGATGGCCCTTGTAGTCAGAATTCAAAAGAAGATTACTGCAATAAAATATGACTTAATAAAATATGACTATGTTGAGGTTAGACTGATATTTTGTTTTGTTTTTTTCACATGGTTGCATGATCTTGAAAAAATATGTTGAGTAAAATATATTGATGTGCTCTGTTTCGAGGAAAATTTCACCATCAAAAAATATATGGATGACAAAACATACTCCTTAGGAAATACTTCTCTTTTCTGGTTGTAAAATTTGTCTGGAATCTCTGGGATAAGTCCCTGGTTAATTGTTCAAATGTCTTGATCACAGTTGCTATTATAAAATACATGAATATGATTTGATTAAATATGGAAGTGGCAGCAAACACGACATAGACATTTTTCTCATTTTCTTTCAACAATTGGTAACCTCAAAGAAATTTTAAAGGTTTTTCTCAATAATTAGAAAAAAGATACAGTATTTAATGATAAATAAAATTCAATGATCTAATCTTATGAATTATGTTATTTTCAGAACGGGTTCGGTTGTATCATGTGCAGTACTTCGGTCATGAAGAAGAGAGAGGATGGCTTTTCTCTTCCAGCATCATGGAATTTCAAGGCAGGAAACAATATGAAGACCACAAGTCTGAACTTCTTAAAAATGCAAAAAAGCAGGGTAAACAAAGACTTGAGAAACTGTATAAGGTGAGCAACAGTCGTGCAGCAGCATGGAACATAGCTATCAAGGAAGCAGAGGAGGCTCTACCTATGTCTAGGAATGAAAGAAAGCAGCACTACACTTACGTATATGCTTCAAAAGACAGTGAAGACAGTAAAGCCAGTGACAAGACTGTTAGTAAAAGTGACACTAAAACAGAAGCTGATATTGTGAAAGACACAAGAAAAAGAAAGAGGAAATCTGACAAAGATGAGTCGGGAGCTACAGCCACAGCTAAACGAAAAAAACTGGAGACTGCTAATTCCAGTGAACCAGTGGTATCACCAAGACAAGGAAGTGGGGATGGATCGTTTGATGTGTTTTGTCAGAAACATAGAGACAGTGCAAAAGAGGAACATCCTGACTTGGACGAGACAGCATTGGTAGCTTATCTCAAACAACAGTGGTGCATGATGAGTAAAAAGCAGAAGGCTAGATACAGGTCGAAGTTCACATCTGACCAGGGTAAGTTTTCTCCAGTCAAATAGACAGCATTTGAAAGACCTTATTAACTTTCTGTATTTTCCACATTACCGGTTGTCAAGGGGAGTTAATTTAATTGCCTTTGCTGATAATGTCGTTATTCTATCTTTAGCTATGTCAAAATTATGAAACTGGTATACACATAATACACAGAGAATACTTCATCAGTGTCACAACCATACACCATGTTGGTCATTGTGATAATTAGGAAATATGCAGAAACTTTTTTCCATCAAAGTGGAAGGATAAATGTCATGTAGTACAGTTACACTGATGACATTCAGGACAAAAGAATTTGTTTATCCAAAATATTTCAAGAGTTGTGAATTATATAAGATGTTGGTTATGCTTTGCGATAATTTTCCTCTTATTTGGGATTTTTATAATTTTTGAATCAGGGTGTTTTAATTGTGATGTACAGAACCATGTATTTATTTTAGTTTTGTTGATGTGCTGAAGTTTCTTTGTTTCTCAGGTTCTCCTGAGCCACAGAGGAAAATGGCATCAGGCAGAATTTCAAAACCTACTCCTAAATTTCTAGAAATGCTTGAGGAAACGGAGGAGGAAGAATTTTCTGAAACGTCCAATAAAAAAGCCACCCCAAAACCAAAGGTGAGAATAAAATAACAGACAGATAATGTTTTTTGGTGCCTGTATATACAGAGCAATCTTTTAACAGAGGTGGTTGGGAGAGAATATCTGCCTCTTTGCTAACATAGGGCCCTTTGATATTGAAATATACACATTTAAAAGGTGGAGTTTCAGAATGGCCTAAGAAGCAAATACAACAGCATGTATGTGATATTAGAAGCCTCTGTATTTGCATATATTCAAATAGGCATTCATGTCCAAACATTCACAAACACAAGAATATAGGACCCTTTTTGTGCCAAAAATGAAAAAAAATGTATGGTTTTAGGAGAAAATGCTACAATATCATTGCTTCATTTTTGCAAAGAAAACTAAACATGAACATGCTGATAATAACATGTTAGATACTATATATGCAAAGCAAGAAGCAGTTTCAAATACAGGAAACAGGAACAGGAGATAAAAATGTGATGGATTTAAAGAAAGAATGTGCTCTTTTTATGTTAATTTAAATTTTCTGAAGGTCAAAAATGTAATCATGTGCTAACAAATATTTTCAAACAGTATAAAATAAATTGCCAGAAAATAGTAATTAGGAGTTTTGTGCAAAGTAATTAAAATTGATCGACAATATTGCTATGTATTTTTTTAAATGAAAAACAAGCAAAAGGTAAAATCTGTTTTGGATTGTAATTTAAAGTGAACCAAAATAAAATGTTCACACTTGTTTTTATTTGTACAAAGGGACTGTCACCTACACTATATAATCCACTAAAGTGAAATCTCAACTTTCAAAATGGCCGTCATGTTCCCTGATAACCGCAAAAAATTCAAAGTTAGGGTTCTTATCTTTCCCTATGAGATGATGTGAAAAAATATATGAGGACCAAAGATACCACAGCCTGTTGTGAAAGATGAGTTGGTGTTTTGCATGTTTGAGCATTATGGTCATTTTGATTGGAACTCTTCATACAGTGTGCATTTTGTGTGAAAAGACTGGCCATAAAATAGATCATCTATGGACAATAGTGGGATGTTTTGCCATGTATCATCAACACCAATGTTTTGACCTTTAGGTTGTGGCTTGTTTTCTGATCATTCTTAAAACACTTTGCACACATACTAATCTCTAAATCATCAGTGAAGTTATTGCCATCTGCTTTTACAATAACAAACAACCAATTGTACTGGAAAAGTCATATTTCTTGGAGATTTCTTGGTTTTTATCTTTCAACATCTACCTGTTATTGTGAGAACTGTACTGTTAGGTGTTTAAAGTCTCTTTCTTAGTAGAAAATGTAGAAAGTAATGTCAAAAGAACAATTGATGATATTGGGGTATATAAGGTATATGATATATTGTTGGAAGACTTGTATAGTAACTTTTGGTCATAAAATGTATAAGGACATGTCAGCATTCCTTGTATGCATGCTATATATTAGGAAAGGCGCATGTGTACATTAAAGTTTTGAGGGTGGTCTCCTGTCCACTATCACAAGTTATGATCTTTGGCAGGGTTAGGGTAAGAGATATAGCTATCTATATACTAAATCATTTTGAATGAAATGAATATGGAAGATATTCAAAATGTCATTTGTTCACAAAAATTTGAGTTTTCTCACAAAGTGCTTAAAAATTCAATAATATCGGCAGTATACTTACTTATTGTTTTTAATATTTTGATATTTAGTTTATGGTTTGAACTTTCCTATTTCTTTAAGGTAACTTTTTTTTATCTGTTTTGTGACAATTGGCATTCATAATTTAGTAATTTTGCCACATAATTAGTTAATTAGGCAAGTGCATCATCAATTAACTTGGATTGTATGTAAAGCCAAGGAAACCAACTTTGATGACACAAAGCAATGTATCATTAAGTGGTTTTGAAGGATGCAAGAATCTTTAGGCCAACCTCTATGGGAAAACAGCATAGTGGAAATCCCACCTTTGTTGATTTTATTTTTTTTTTTTTAATTTTTCGATGTAACTAAATACTTTATAATTTGTTAGAGATTTTTCCATTTTTTTTCCTCGTTACTCTTGATTTACATATTAAGTATAGATAGATTTATTTGGCTATACTTTGTGTTTATTCACAAAATTGAGAATACATGGTCATTGTCTTAAAATATTAGCTGTGTATAGGTACGGTGAAGAAAGACACAAGTAGTGAATCCATGGGATATAGAGAATACATGGTCATTGTCTTCAAATATTAGCTGTGTATAGGCACGGTGAAGAAAGACACAAGTAGTGAATCCATGGGATATAGAGAATACATGGTCATTGTCTTAAAATATTAGCTGTGTATAGGCACGGTGAAGAAAGACACAAGTAGTGAATCCATGGGATATAGAGAATACATGGTCATTGTCTTCAAATATTAGCTGTGTATAGGCACGGTGAAGAAAGACACAAGTAGTGAATCCATGGGATATAGAGAATACATGGTCATTGTCTTCAAATATTAGCTGTGTATAGGCACGGTGAAGAAAGACACAAGTAGTGAATCCATGGGATATAGAGAATACATGGTCATTGTCTTCAAATATTAGCTGTGTATAGAATCTTTAGGCCAACCTCTATGGGAAAACAGCATAGTGGAAATCCCACCTGTGTATAGGCACGGTGAAGAAAGACACAAGTAGTGAATCCATGGGATATAGAGAATACATGGTCTGTGTCTTAAAATATTAGCTGTGTATAGGCACGGTGAAGAAAGACACAAGTAGTGAATCCATGGGATATAGAGAATACATGGTCAGTGTCTTAAAATATTAGCTGTGTATAGGCACGGTGAAGAAAGACACAAGTAGTGAACCACTTTTGTCTTCCTGTCATGAGCCAAAATGCAGCCTATATTTTAAGACATTGTGTATTATATCTATCCTGCAACACCAATTGAAAATTCAGACAATCAAAATTTCAACAGTTTGTTAGAACTTTGCAGTTATTGTTTACCTGATGTTGACATTATGCTGAATTATGCCTGATGATGCACGTCATAATAATTGCTCTGCAAGTACATATAGTTCTATACTTGAATGGATGAATGGATATATAAAAAGCAATTTTCTGAATTTTTAGGAAATAAACTTCTTTGCTACAATAAACAAGTACCAGTTGCAGGATGAATAGTAAAACTTGTTTTGTTTACTTGTTTAGATTTAATGAGAAACCAAGCATATTAAGAAAATACTGGTTCTGTAGGAATTGGTTGACCTTTGTATGACCCCAACATTCTAATGTGATGACTTTTTATTTGTTTTTTAACAGGCTCCTACCAGGTCTGCGAGACGCCCAGCTACACCAGAATCCCAGTCATCTTTAGAATGTATAATTAACAGTGTGGCAACAGGAGTGATAGGAGTTGAAGAGGTAGGCTAGTACTGATGTCTGACTAGTGAAATATCAGCTGCTTCTTACCAAATAGCTCTGATACATTAGTACCCATGTAGACACTAGGTAAACATATGGTCACAGAATGCTTAAAGCATTTCTTTCAATCAGTTATTATTGTTGTCAGAAAAATTAGAAGACAAGTTTTTTCCTTGAGGTAGAATATGTCAAACTTGGTAAATACTAGAGATAAAGTATATCATCCTTGTAAATACTAGAGGTTGCCTCTAGAGATAGAGTATATATCATCCTTGTAAATACTAGAGGTTACCTCTAGAGATAGAGTATATATCATCCTTGTAAATACTAGAGGTTGCCTCTAGAGATAGAGTATATATCATCCTTGTAAATACTAGAGGTTGCCTCTAGAGATAGAGTATATATCATCCTTGTAAATACTAGAGGTTGCCTCTAGAGATAGAGTATATATCATCCTTGTAAATACTAGAGGTTATATCCTCTAGAGATAGAGTATATATCATCCTTGTAAATACTAGAGGTTGCCTCTAGAGATAGAGTATATATCATCCTTGTAAATACTAGAGGTTGCCTCTAGAGATAGAGTATATATCATCCTTGTAAATACTAGAGGTTACCTCTAGAGATAGAGTATATATCATCCTTGTAAATACTAGAGGTGGATCCTGTTGACCTGATCAGGTAGAATTTTTCTTTAACTTGATCTGATTCAATAGAATATTTCCCTAGCATTCTAGTGGTGAAATCAATAAAATTAATTATCAAAGTTTTATGAACAGAAATTGTGATTTTCACTTCACAATTTCTTGTAAATTTACAAAAATAGAATTGAAATTAAAATTTACAGAAAAAAGAAATAGAGCATAGATGTAGTTAAAGTTTGTTCTTTCTTTGTTACACTTAAGACATCTAAGAAAACAAAATTCAACAATACATAATATTTAGAGTATGAAAATGTTCTTCATTTCCCTCATAGACTACTAATGATACAATGACGGAGGAAACAAAGGAGAATGCTACTTCTACTCCAACAGCACCTGTCAAAGTCAATCGCAGGAGGAAGTCTGCAGCATCCTCAGTCGATACAGACAGCAACACAGACATTCAGGTACAGACATCCTCAGAACAGAAAGTAACATAGTTAACAGTTTTGGTAATGCCAACATATTGATGTAGGGACATCCTTTGTCTACATTATTTGACACAATGACATTTTAGTGTTTTATCTTTCTTTCACTAATTAGCACAATGATGAATTTGTACATAATATTCATAATGATTTACTATATGAACACAATATAGAAACTGCAGTTAGTGTGTTAGTTTAGTGTAGTATAGTCGCTGAAAAAATCACAAAAATAAGATTACAGTGAAAACGTTTGTTTGTAGAAAGGAGGATACTGTTAGTGAAAATTTTGTTAGTCTGTAACATAACCTAAACTGAAACTTGATTTTTTTTTACAGGAGGAAAGCAAACCTGTGATACCAGTACCCAAAGCGGTAGCTAAAGAACCAGAGGAGGAATATGAGTTAGAAATATTTAAATTGTCATCACGTGCACCAACGATGAAGGAAAACTTGTGTGAAATATGTCACAAGGCTGGGGACCTGCTCATATGTGAAGGCCAGTGTCAAGGGAACTTCCATAAGGATTGTCTTGGTCTAAGTGTCAAACCATCCGGAGTCTTCAAGTGTGATGAGTGCATAACAGGTATGCATAGGTTTTCTATGATACTGACCTACACGATATATACTCATGCTTCATTCTACCAGATTTTATAGAAAAATTCCAAACCCTTCCTGCTTTCAGATGTTTCTTTGGAAAACAAATTCTGATGAATTTACTAGCTCTAAGTCTTTCATTCCTGCCAATAGCCTAGTTATATATATATATATAAAGACTTCATCTTTTCTTTTGGACAAAAGGTAAGATATTTCCAGCGATAATTAAAAAAAATTTTATACTTTGAAATTTTTTACAAAATGCAATTGGGATGTAACTAAAATTCCTTGACATTGAATTATGGATCATATCAATTGTGCCTGTTGTTAACTATAACATTAAACTGTATACTGCAATCACCACCAGTAACATCTGTGTTTTATGGTTTTTTTTATGTTGTGTGCCAGGTTACCTTGTCTTCCTCTCTGTTGGTTTGGTTGATTGCGCCAGAAACACTGGTTTCCATATATGACAGTCATTTCTATTGAAGTTCGAGAAATGCCAGAAACACTGGTTTACACATTTTAAGATATTCTTATTCACTGTTTAAGTATCAGAAATATGCATTTTTTTTTTTTTTCTCAATAAATAATGCTAAGTATTTCCTTTTAAATCATTTCAGGAAACCATACATGTTTCTTTTGCAAGAAGGCGGATAAAGATACAAAATGTTGTATTGTGCCTACATGTGGTAAATTTTACCATGAAAACTGTGTGAATAAATGTTTGAATGCACGGACAGAAAGTAAAGGACTTGTGTGTCCCCTACATAGTTGTGCTACCTGTTCTATAGATAATCCAAAGAGTGCCAAGAATAGTAACAGAGGTAAGTTAGAGTGAGCATAGTTAATTCTTTTTAAATGATATGTGATCTATGGAGTCAGCATATTCTCCTTCCTCACACCACTATAATTTGTATTAGATATACAGTGCAACTTTCCCCAACCAATCCTTCTCGAAACTTATCACCTGTTGAAACCGAAGGAAATGGGCATATACGGAATGACATCCTCTTTATTACAGTAATAAAAACCTTCCGAATACCGATCCCTCTTGATTCTGAATTCCGAACCAAATTTGAGTCCAAAATTATGAAAATGTACTGAAAATCACTTGTGAAAACCGGCCTTACCTGAATGGTCACGACCTGAGTTTCTAATAGTAGACCATATAATCAACACCTGTGGTAAGAGTTGTAAGCTTTGCCCCTAGCTTGTACACCTGTCATGGGTATGCATTGTGCACAATACTTACCCTGATTGGAAGGATTATACTAAACAATGTATAGCTATCTATAGACATAGAAACCATGATAAATGAGGCATCATTTCACCGAAGCGAGAAACAGCTACAGATAACATGAAAATAAGTGGTGATGCAGATGTAGAAAGCTGCATTTTCGCATTTAAATTATAGGTAATCAGATTTTGTCATTTCATCACTTATAATATTAATATTAATCCTGTGTTGTTTTAGACAATAATTTTTTTATACTGATCAACGAAAACACATATTCATCAAATATATTAGTTGGTAACAGTTGAAGACAAGCCAACCTTCTGACTGGAGCTATATTGAGGTGTATGTATCATTACTTCAGAGTTCGCCGGTCAACACACAGATTTCTTTTTGACTAAATTTGCATATGGTGTACAAGTATCACTGTTTTCTTCTTTACCGAAATATCACTGTTTTTCCTCTTTACCAAAATCTTTTTACTATATGTAGCTTTTTTATCTCCGCGAAAAGTGTTTGCAGGGTATATTAATTTTGGACTCCATCCATCTGTCTGATGACTTTTCTGGGCTATAACTTCAAAACCGTTTAATTCAACTTCACAAAACTTACTGTATATATTTGGTTAGTGCGCTAGTTGTGCCATTTGCTATTGAAAACATTTCATTTTTTTTTTTCCATTTTTTTGTTACCTTGGAAACGTAGTCAAAAAACACAAAGTTAATGTCAATTTTCTTTCCGGGTTACAACTTCGAAACCATTCCACTCAACTCCACAAAACTTTCTGTATATATTAGCATAGTGCCCTAGTTGTGCCTTACTTAATAAGAACATTTTATTAAATTTTTTTTTTTCTTTTTTCAGTTACTATCATTTTTTTTTTATTTCTTGTGACTACTTGTATTACTCCAGAGCTTATACAGTGTTGCATCAATTTGTTCCTCGACAATACTAAGCTCTATTCAAATATCAACAGTCAAACACACAGGATCTACATCAAGATAAATTCTTACTATAAGGTTGATAAATAAGACTATCCAAAGTGTCCACCTACATGTACATACATACACACAGCTGGGCATGGGGGATAATGCCACACTGTGTGGCTCCTTTTTCTGTATTCAGTTGGGCATGTGCACTGTAAATGCTGAAAGGGAACGAAATGGTTAATGCAATGTACAGAAATGAATCAGTACAGTTATATGAGAGTCTGGACAGGTCAGCTAGCTATACTTCTACAAATCAAACCCTCTCTAAATTGGCCTAATAGTCTTGTCCCTTGCATGGTGGGTTTGGAGAAGTTCCGGTGTATGACAGGATGTATTGTGATTTTGTATGGTTTGTCCTCCTTTCCTGTTGTAAGTTGACCAAAGTCTTTCAAACATTGTTCATCCATACATCATTAATATCTGTTCTTTACCCATGATCAATTGACTATTTTCATATGAACTTGGATAAGTCTTATTGAAGAGATCAAGCAAAATATTAAGTCCATGTGATGATTCAACCTGTTTTCGAATGAAAATCTCATTATTTTCCATGATAATGAATGATTGGAGGCATTGATTCAAGCCTGTATGATCTAAAACCTCAAAAACTAGATGTATCATTGTTTTCCAGCCAACCACAGAATAGTGACACTCATTCACTCCTACCTTCACCTGGGTTTCAAGCAAATGACTTCATGTATGGCTGTATGAAAGTTCGGGCTGTCTTGACCCACAAAAATATTTGAATGACTCTTATCTTGACTCAAGTGATGGAAATTTGATTCGGTAAATTGGTACATGTAATATTTATTTGACACAACACTGAACAGTGTTTGAGACATCTGTGTTAAAAGTTCAGAACTGAACGAAGCATTTAAATTATTGTCTGTATTTAATGTTTTTGACACAAATTAGTTGTACTGAACAGTATATGCTACTAACTAAAGATGTCATTTAATCTCTGAATGACACATTTTTTTGCCAGGTAAACTGTTGCGCTGTGTTCAGTGTCCAACAGCGTATCATGCAGGAGAGTTTTGTATAGCAGCAGGTAGTGAGGTTCTGCCAGGGTATAATATCCTTTGTAGTAAACACTTCCAGCCTCTTCCATCCCAACGACACCATAGTCATGTGAACCTCAGCTGGTGCTTTGTCTGCAACAGAGGTAAACCTTTAGACTGAGAAATGTTACAGGAATATTTTCTGGACATTGTCAAGGTTGTTGTTTGTAGTTTTAGTAATATAGAATCTGTAATCATGTGAAAACTGAATTTTTAGGATTTTGTCTGTAGGCATTTAACTGTTCTTATGACTATTTTATTTTTCCATTGATAAATCATGAATGTTTTGGGTTTAAAAAAAACTGAAGTACATCTACATAAAATTTTCAGCCACAAGATCACTAAACTTAATTGGATTCAATTTTGTTTTTAAATTTTTATCTGCTCTATGTCTTGGGCATTGACTGAATTCCTGAATCGTTACAGTTCGCAAAAGAATTATTCGATATCTGAATCCTGCTGAATAGCAAGAGGTTAAGTAATTTGTGTGTTCCCAAGGATGTTCTAACTGTTGTATGTGATTTCTACCCTATGTAACTTACAGGAGGATCCTTGCTGTGTTGTGAAAGTTGCCCAGCAGCTTTCCATGCAGAGTGCCTGAAGATGGATCATACTCCAGAAGGCAGTTGGTACTGTCATGACTGTTCTCAAGGCAAAAGACCATTGTATGGAGATATTATTTGGGTGAAACTTGGCAACTATAGGTACATTAATCTTTGATTGTTTAAAATTTCTTGAAAGAATGTTCAAGACCAAGCATAAACTTTTAAAAGCACTCATTGTTGGACTTGTGGCCTTGTTAAAATTACTCATCCAGATGTGGAATTCACCAATCTGGAAAATTATTAGGGCCCCGCATCGCGATGCAGGTGCCCTATAGTAATCACCTTGTCCGTCTGTCCGTCCGTCTGTCTGTCCGTCTGTCTGTCCGTTTCACTTTCCGCACGATATCTTGAGAAGGAATGATGAGATTTCGATGAAACTTGCTTATGATACTTGGTACATAAGTCCCTCGCTCAAGTTCGATGTTCGCCAAATTCCGCGCATATTTAATGAGGCTGCTGCAATCTGATTGGCTGAATGTTTTACATGTCTGTCGGTTTCGCTTTCCGCGCGATATCTTGAGAAGGAACGATGGGATTTCGATGAAACATGCTTATGATACTTGGTACATAAGTCCCTTGCTTAATTTAGATGTTCGCTGAATTCCGCGCATATTTAATGAGGCTGCTGCAATCTGATTGGCTGAATGTTTTACATGTCTGTCGGTTTCGCTTTCCGCGCGATATCTTGAGAAGGAATGATGGGATTTCGATGAAACTTGCTTATGATACTTGGTACATAAGTCCCTCGCTCAAGTTCGATGTTTGCCGAATTCCGCGCATATTTAATGAGGCTGCTGCAATCTGATTGGCTGAATGTTTTACAGAGAATATCTTCTGAAGGAATGATTTGGGATTTCTTTAAAACTTGCTTTGTGATACTTGGTACATAAGCCCCTCATTCGAGTTCAATGTTCACCCTGTCCGTCTGTCTGTCCGTCCGTTTCCCTGTCTGTCGATCCATATATCTGTCCATCTGTCCATTTTCATTGGATTTTGATGAAAGTTGCTTTCAATACTTGACACCTGTCCATATATTTCTTAATATTAAGAAACTCAATCATAAGGGGTAGGTATTATGCGGGGCCCTTCCTCGACATTGGTCTAGTATCAGAAATGCATAGAGTGCTCACACATCATGTATTACCTTAAACTCAGTCAAATGCAGTTGCTAATATTAGGATTAAAGAGCATCCGATGCCATAGCTAGTGTAAGCTTCACTGAGTAGGTGATCTATTGTGACAAATTATGACAGGACCGGTAGAAAACAATGCTGAATGCAAAAGATTATTTTTGATTACGTTTTTCTTTGAAGTCAGGTATCATGACAAATGTCTTTGTTTTTCTTTTGTTGATGAGTACAAATGTTATTTTTGAGCCATTTCTATTCAGATAACACCAGATATGGCCCTTAAAGTTACTGTTAACTTGGAAGACGCTAGTTGCCAATAAAATTAGCTCATCTGTCGCCAAAAGCCACTCTTTGTGACAAGTGCTTTGCTTGGTCCTGAATGTTGCATTTGGGATGCTTGAAAACAAATACAGTTGAAATTTAAACTTCCCAAAGTGGTACTATTTTTTTGGACCGAAATAGAAACATCAATTGCACTGCTACATATGATTGATATTGTTGTCCATTAATCATTAATGTACACTACCAAAAGTCTGTGTAAATCAGAGATCACGTATTTTATCATAAAAGACGGGCATTTCCAACATTTTCTGTTAAGACAGTTTAGTTAAACATGTTCAGATGATTTCCTTGTCAATGATGAGTGTGCTGATATTTGTACAGATGTTTTTGTGAAATGACATTAATGTTATTCAGTCTCGTATCCTTACTTATAAACATGTATTACTATTGTACAGATGGTGGCCAGGTGAGATTTGCTGTCCACATAATGTGCCTTTAAATATACAAGAGAAGAATCACCAGGTTGGAGAGTTTCCTGTTCGATTCTTTGGTTCACATGATTATTTTTGGATTCACATGGGAAGGTAAGCCTGCAAAGACAACTTGGAGGATAGATTTAACAGAATTATATAGAAATTGGCCGAGATGTAGCTCAGAATTTGGAAATCTCTATATCAGACCAAACAGCAATAAGCTGCAGTTTTAGGACCTGCTGTAAACCATAATTTATTTTGAGACCCAGATGTTCTTTGAATTGTTTAACTTGATATATAGTGAGCATATTGAAATTATCTTGTTTTGACAACCAGATTAATCTGTTAATTAAGAAAGCCCTTATGTTATGTTGGCCACTTTAGGAATCATGCACATGACTTGGCTTTGGAGAAAAATGTACAACAAAATTTGTAATTGGTTGGGGGGAAGTAACAAAAACACACATTTTATTATCTTATATGTTCATGTCTGTCATGTATAGTTTGTACACTTTGCTGAAGCAAATACACCACCACCTGAACAAAGAGCTATCAGCAAATTATACATTGAATAGCACCATACAGCTTTTTTGATAGTTTGTTGAAACTACCATTATTTTTGGAAATGTGTTTGAATCGGAAAAATAATTAAGGTTTTGTTATCAGGAACAGTGCCAAAATATGTCCCTAAATCCAGCAGGTAAAAGCCTTGGCAAGTTTCCATTGGTCCTCTTGGTAGTTGCTATAGACACATTTGCCAGTGATTTGTGTGTCCTTGAAGCAGATGTTGAGTCATTCTCGTTTAATGGACGGAATACATTTTTTTTTTATTCTTTTCAGGGTATTTTCATTCCAAGAAGGGGACAAGGGTAGCAGAGAGTCCAGCCTTGGGAAACACCTGGCTAAGGTGTTCTCCAATGGTAAGTGATGACAAAAGTTGGGGAGATAGGCAATACAGTTGGAGGTAATCAATATAAGCCATTGTCTTCTTTGATGTGAGTTAGGGGGATCTCAACCTGAGAAGAAAGATTCTTACAACCAAGTTATCAAACACAATACTTGAATGATTAGTTTTCTCTTGAAGTACTGGCCTTAAATAATGGATATCATTGGGAATGCTGTTATCTCAATGTTTGACATTATTTGAGGTGATGTCAAGCAGTTGAAATGATGGAGGTATTGAGGAGTTGATGTGATGTCATGTAATTGTAATGATGGAGGAGTCCCCCTGTCCAGGGAGAGAAAACTACAGCTTACAGTGAGAAAGATTCTATAGTTTAGCATTGTGAAAGAGGAACGAGTTATATAATTATAGTGTAATGTGAATCCAATTCCAGTGTAATAGGAAACCTATTTAAGTTAACATATGGTAGATATTGCTATAAGACAGCTTCATGAAATGTCATCTCATTCAATGATGTAAAAATGTAATCTTTTTTTTCTGTCAAGGTGTAAAAGAGGCTATGGAAGCCTACAAATTGTGGAAAAAGGCCAAGGAGAACAAAGAACAAATTGAACAGCAGAAATCTGATAGAAAGCCAGCACCTTATAAGTTTATTAAAGTAAGTCTTGTACTAACCCAGGAATAATTATCTTCTGCGAAATTTATCACTTTGCCTACTGGTTGTATTGTTACCTATTCAGGTGGTTTTATTGGTGTCAAACATCTACTAGTTGTCATTGATTAAAATTTCTGTATGGATTTTTGCAGCTGTCATGTATCGATTTAAAGATGTGTTTTCATTTCATTTCCTTGTTCTTTTTCAACTGTTCAGAATCTTTTAATCAATATTTATGATAAAACTACAGTGTTGTGTAAACTTATTTTTCAGACAAATATTCCTCTGGGTAATGTACAGATCTATAAGGCAGATTTGTCAGAAATCCCGCGGTGTGAGTGTCGGACAGATCAGGAAAATCCCTGCAGCAGTGAGACAGACTGTCTCAATCGAATGTTGATGTATGAGTGTAATCCCAATGTCTGTCCTGCTGGTGAAAAATGTCAGAACCAACGCTTCCAGAAACGGTCCTATCCAGACTCAGTACCATTTAAAACTGCTGAGGGTAGGGGCTGGGGACTAAAAACCTTAGTCAATATTAAAAAGGTACTGATTGTTTAAAGTGATTATTGATAATCTAAGGACAAGGAACTGAAGACTAAAAACCTCAATCAATATTAAAAAGGCATTGGCTTTGATGATATCTGAGGGTAGGGGCCTATAAATTTGATGAATTTTGAAATGAATTTGATTGTTTTTGTAATTATTGATGATCTGATTCTGCTGGTGGGTGGGGGCTGGGGACCAAAAACTTTAGCCAAAGGTCAAGAGGTATTTGTTCTTATCAGTAATAATTGATGATCTTTAGTCAATGTAAAAAAGTTATATGTTGTTTATGTCATTTTTAATAGTCTTAGGTTAAGGGCTTTGGACGAAATAGTCTTAGGTTAAGGGCTTTGGACGAAATAGTCTTAGGTTAAGGGCTTTGGACGAAAACTCAATATTATGTTAAAAGTATAGAGGTTATTTACTGTAAACATAAATAGTTTAATGATTGCTAGAAGAGGCCTTAGACATGTTTACACAATATATATTACTTATGGACAATACTCTAAAGGTTGTCTTCTAGATACTTTGAAAATAATCTTCAGTCAGAGGAGGAAGCTATTGTCTGTTTCTTGTTATTGAAATATCGTAAAAGCATATTTGACGGTATTCTTTCCCCACTGTGGTCATAGTAAAGCTGAATTTTGAAAAGGATTTTATTTTTCTTTGTACATGTGTATTGGTGTTCAAAACTGTTTTGTCATAATTTCATTTAATTATTTATTTTTTTAATTTAATTAGTCTTTTGTTTGATATTTATGAAATCATATTGACTTTACAGGGCCAGTTTGTGAATGAGTATGTTGGAGACTTGATTGACGAACTAGAGGTGAAAAAGAGAATTGATGACGCTCATGAGAACAATATTTGTAATTTCTACATGTTAACTTTGGACAAAAACAGGTGGGTAAAATGTATTGTAGACATAATCTTCTGAATTGATGAAAGCCAGAGCACCTAAAACAAAATTACAATATCAGTTTATATGTCTACAACCAATATTTTCTGTCTTGTAGAATTATAGATGCTGGGCCAAAAGGTAATCTGTCTCGGTTCATGAATCACTGTTGCAATCCGAATTGTGAGACACAGAAGTGGACTGTCAATGGTGATGTACGTGTAGGCCTTTTTGCCCTAAACGACATACCAGCAGGTTGGTGTCTTCATTGAACTCAACATTCAATTGTAGTTTTAACCAGTATATCGGACATGAAGGCATTTAAATGACCCAATATCTTGGATGAAACTATGTAAACTGCATTTGTTTTATTGTTGTTTAGCATCACTTCCATCAAATTGAATAGAGACGAAGACATATTGTACAGTTACCAGTTTTCTTTTGTGGTGTCATGTTTATCAAAGCGCCAAAAATGTTTACCTGCAATATCATACCTCCTGAGCAATTTTTTCACCCCAAAAAATATCCCTGAAAATATTGTAAAAGACCATCAAACTTCCAAATTTAAAAATGTTTTCCATCGTTCTGCATTGGAATTTATGTAAAATAACCTTTTGACCTTTAGTTATATAAATGATGTTTTTAAGACACTTATTTGCTCAATACTTTATATTTAGTTCAGATGTTTTAAGTTATTTGCATTGAATAAGAACTTGACAGTGTTGGAGAGTTTTATCAGAATGTTCTGTTTATGCCTATTGCCAGGTTCTGAACTGACATTCAACTACAATCTAGAATGCCTTGGTAATGATAAGACAGCTTGTTGTTGTGGAGCTCCCAATTGCAGTGGGTTTCTAGGAGTACGACCTAAGGTAAGCCAATTGTTTCAGATTTGCTTGGCATGTATTGTTTAAGACTGTAAAGGATATACAAACTGTTGGTTTCAATGACTACAATGATGATATAGGAATACTTGATTTGTAGGCTTGGGTTTCATTTGATTATTGATTGGATCTCTTGCGAGAATACGATCTTTATGTCATTAATATTCTTGTGTTGATTCAGTAGATTATATTATCAATGTATGGTTGTGTGATTGTAGACAGCCGCTGCTGTGGCTAATGAGCGAAGAGCTAAGGAAGCATTAGAAGCAAAGAAGAAGAAAAGGAAACCCAAGAAGATAAAAACTGATGTTAAGAAAGAGCATGAAGATGAGTGTTTTAGATGTGGGGAAGGTGGTGAGCTTGTCATGTGTGACAAGGCTGGTTGTCCCAAAGTCTACCACCTCCAGTGTCTCAAGCTCAACAGACCTCCACATGGTAAATGTCCCAGAAGCAATTCCCAAAGTTATCTCTTGAGAGCCTTACTAGCTATAAAATGAAAAGTTACGGCTTGCTCAAGACATAAATTTAAGATTTCAAATAATTTTTAGGATTCTTTACCCACAAGTCTTTAGTAGACGGAAATTTTGCCAGATTCACGAATTTGTCAATAGGGCGAAAATTATTGGTTCTGATTTCAAATTGAAATATATATGCTTTTATTGTTTTATCTCAAATTTAACTCAAGTAAAAAATAAACAGTTTAGGCAACTGGGGAAAAGCCCTGGGCAAATATTTCCCATAGACAGTGATAGCTTACCTTCCAATCTCACCAAGACATTAACATACAGGGGCTATCAAGTTAGATCAAATTAATCACTTTTACATACTTTATAGTCATAGGGGTCCATCTGTTAATATCTTAAAAACGTTTTCTGATCAAATGTCCTATTTTGCCAAAAGCATCCTGTGATGGATGACCCGAGTTTACAAATTTTTTTGAAAAATTGTCTCAGCAGTAAAGGCTGCAATTACTTGTTCTTTGATTTGCACATTTATCTTTATATTACAGGGAGCTGGTATTGCCCTTGGCATCACTGTGACACTTGTGGTAAAATGGCAGTCAAGATGTGCCAGGAATGTCCAAACTCATTCTGTCAGAACCACACAGAGGACAATCTGATCGAGGTTAATGGAATTCTCTTGTGCTTGGAACATGAAGATACTGAGGTGACCTCGTCCAGTTGTGCATCCTCAGTTGTTTCAGACAGCCAATCAGATGCCGGGGAGGCAAATGATACGCTAACAGAGAATACGAGACAAAACAGTAATCATTCAGCTGTGGACAGTCATGCTGAGAATGGCAAGAATGATTCCTCAAAAACGCTGGATATAAGAAAATCAGGAAAGGCTGTCACAAAAAATCTGCCAAGTGTAAACATTCCTCATAAAGCTATCACCAATCTTGATAGAAAACGCAGCTTAAACAAAAAGGACAGTAGGAGAAAGCGACAACTGGGAAGTGCGGTGATCCCAGAGGCAGGTGGTAAGAAAGGTCGCAAGGCAGATTGTGTCGAGGGTCGGAAAGTCCAAGGTGGTAAGGGGGATCCCCTGGCTGTGGCACCGATGTTCGACGACAGTGATGATGATGGCTTCTCTGACCTCGTCATAGACATACCACAGATCAATTAGTCAAGCCAAGATGACTTCAGAACTGTTTTAAGATAAACATATTTTAATTTTTATTTCTAAATTTGAATTTACCACAAATTCGAAAGGTGTATTTTAAAATGAAAACAGTTCTCACTTGTTTGTAAAGCATGAATATCTTATGAAGTTGTGTTTCTCAGTTGTATTTTTTAACTGTTTCAAAACAGAAAATTTAGTAAATTATTAAAGCTATGCAATATTACACAAAGGATATTTATAAATCTTTTTCCTATCATTTTCCCCCTTTCCTTTACACTGAACAAAAGGTAATTGATAAATATGATTTTTTTTGGGGGGGGGGGTGGTTGCAGTTAATTATAGAAAATAGTTTCAATCTAAGAACTTTTGAATTGTTTGCAAAACAAAAAGTGATGACTGATTTGAACAATTTGTCTGAATTGCTTCAGTGTTTATGCATTTTATATTTTTATCTCATTCTGTTTTAATTGATCATATCGGTTTTTTTTTATTTCTCCTTTGCTGCAACCTCTGATTTGCAATTCTTTCTGTGAGGTACATGTGTATAGGAAATACCAATAATATATAGCAAAGAGGCAGAATACTACAACACTGCTTTAAAGTCTTATATGAATATTTTAATTTGTAAATAAAAAATGTTGTAAATATGTACAAACTTTCTCAATAGAAGAAACTACTGATATAACAAAAACTAATATGGATAAAAGTGAATGATGTCCATTGATTTTATGTGTTCCTGTAGGAATCTCCTCAGAGCCATAATGGCATTGTCAATTACATTTAAAGAGGAAATAATATGAAATAAGGTTTGTAACTTTTTTTTGTGTCATAGAAACCTCATTCATCAAACCAAGCTTCCCAAACTGGGTAAAAGTGTCATCTCTTTAAATTCATGGTTTATGGACATGAAATTGGACATGGCATAGATGTTGCAGGAATGTACAAGTGCTATGTCGTAAGGATAAAATTCACTGTTCCTGGTATATGTGTGTATTTATCATGAACTTTGTCATTATTCGGTCCAATAATTATGTACATCTCCTCTATGGGGTCTGTATGTACACTGTCCATTGTGGTAGTTATATATATCGTCTGTGAATCAATCAACTATAGAACCAATCAGGGAGGATTTGTCAGCAGACTGACTCGATGCTTTACAGATCCAGATATGTCCAGTATATTCCCATTTAGAGAAGAAGTAAGCAGGTGCCCTTTATCAGTCAGCAGCTACTGGAGCCACAATTTATATCTTCATCTCATATGTACATATTAATGAGCATTAAGGTTCAGGATTTGTGTAGTTTTGTTCTATGTGGTAGTGTTATCAGGTCTGTAATCACTAGTCTGATAAAAAATATTTCTGGTTATAAACCTTAAACAGCATATTCATGCCTTTCACCGAGTGACTGTAGTAACTGTCCAGGATTAAGTTACCTATGCTTCCCATATGAGTATGTTTTCATCAGTAGTTGATGAAAGAGAAGTAATTGGAGGTCAACACAACCAATCATTCTGCCTCAAACATACTTTAAAATTTCTCGGAAAGATTTTGATTGGAAGACAAATTGATTAATAAATGTAAAAACAAATTAATTTTGTTCTCGAATATTGGTCATGTTCATTTATCAAGTGATTTGACTGAACATTTTGTTATTTTTGAAGATTAATCATTAAATTCTTTTTTGTATGTATGGGTTTTTTTAATGTTGTTTTCCCATAGTTAGTAGAGTTTGAACCAGGGAGCTATAATGTTATATAATCATGGTGATTCAATTTGAAAGTAAATGTCCATTCTTCATGTCATTACAACATTACATTACATTATAAAATATTTTGTGAATGTAGAGAAACCATTGTCTGGAGCAGCAGGGCAAATATATATGATGGGAATTTGTAGATGTAAATTTTTATCATATGCATAGACTTTTATTATCTGGCATCATTCTGTGTATACATATTTCTTCAACATAATAAAAGTATGTTTTCATTGATGTTTTTCTTGGTTTCTTATTTAAAGCCCATCACCACACAGTGGGTTGTTTAAATTGCCAGGCGGTCTATCAACTAGAAAGAACGAAGTAACTGATAGTTCACAGTAACTGATCAGAATTCAAGATAACAAATGTAAATTCTTTTTTGTAGTTGCAGTCTGACAGAAAAGGACATGTAGCTATTTTCATTATGTCATTTTATCTGTTTCTATATTTGCAGAAGTGTTCGAAATGAGAATTTTCTGATGTACACAGCATTTCTGATAGACAAGTTTCAGGTAGTTTCAACAAATTCTTCACATTTGTAATGTCAATAAAATAAGTTCAGATCTAAGTGTGACATTTCCATGACAACAGTCACTTTCGTCAGACAAATGACCACTGTGAAGCCTACTAGCTAACGAGATCGGACACAATCGACCAATTATTATGAATATAGCGTGACAAATGGTAAAAAGGTTGCCGAAAAAACTTGCACCAGGTGGTAACAATGTGACAAAGTCTGTAATTGGTAATCTGCTTTAAATTCACATTTATGCTTATTTTCTCCAGATTTTTTCGGGATTGTCGAGTGTTCAGTTTTGTGTAGTGGTTTTGAACGTTTTTAGTGAGTGTTGCAAAACAAGAAGAAGAAATGAAAGAAACTTTCAATTGCAATAAATGTTTAAAAAAAAAAAAGATGTCCGCAATTTTTTCAAGTTCGGTTTTGTTGTGTTCAGAGTAACTCTTGCATAAAAAAAACAGTATTCTCCAGAGAAAATGTGCTGCTGGTACTAAGCTATCTTGTGGATGCATTCGAAATCATGGTCGAAGGGAAAAGCTGGTGATGGATGAAACCCCAAAAGAACATATACCGCACAGTTATGGCTTTAAAATATATATGAAATATATTACAAGGATTACCTGAGCCAAATGAAAATAAAATAACTCCATTATGTATTGCAAAGTGATGCATATTTATTTCTTCAGTTACATGCACATCCACACATGACATGATCCCTAACAATTCTGTGAAAAGTTGAAATTGGTCTACAACTTTAGGAGATCTTCTCTGAACAAGATGTGTCTACAGACAGACACATAGACAATCTTTCTTGATTCCAGTGCCCATAACTTTGTCTTTATAATTACCTTTTTTTACAAATAGATTTACCAGACTTCGATTTTAATGCAATATCATTCATTAAGAGTCTTCTGATAATCAAATATGATTTGTTTTCCAATTCACAACTTTACTTAAAATGCATTTCCTCTGATGTGGGTCACAGTGACCTATTTAACTAACTTTGACATTGACTACTAATAGTATGATTTTAATATATTTAACACAAATTTCACAATAACTTATATATATATGTGTGTAAATTGTCTTTTACAATATTTTTGAAATGAAAAAAATCATTCTGTAAATCAGGGATGGACAGGATGACTGTTGGATGCATATAAATGCACCTGATTGACACACTGTTGTTCAGCTTCAATTTGCTACTTACTGTCGTAGTACAGTGCATACATACATCACTGAAGACAACTCCTGTACTGCCAGATAATAATACTTGGCTAACACATAGTTCATTCTGATGTGATCAATAAATGTTTGACTCTTCCACAACATGGAAACAAATAAAATTAATTTTAGAAACAAAACACAACAATAAAATAACATTTATTATAACAACCAAAATGAAACTGAAGTTGAGCCATTATTTCCTTCCTGATTACATGTTTACTTCTGTTATTTCATCAAATACCCAGAGTGAGTTTTACATATCTTAAGTTCAATTTTATCAATCTAAAATGAGTATACTGTTAAGACAGATTAACAAGATGATTCTTGTATACTTCTGACTTACTTAATTTTATTAGGGTAAGCAGTGTAAAGTACTGTTGTGTTGATAGAAGACAACATATCATAATCAAAATTCAAAGGAACCCTTGATGTCTAAAATTATATCTTATTTTAACTTGTCCAAGTCAGATAGTATTTTATTTATACCACACCTCATCACTAATGAATTGATCATGAGTTCAAGAGAATTTATTCACAGGAATATAGTTCTGGGATTTTGAGTAATAGACCGCCCACCCACCCCACTCCACCTCATAATATCAGTTATGACAACATTAAAATACTGAATAGACAATGACATTTTAGGTGCTGTTAATGTTCAGGTGGATATATCTATTCAGTATTTTAATGTTGTTGTTATTAACTGACAATATATGAAAATTACCAGTAATATACAAGTTTAAAATGTTAACTGGTTACCCCAAAGGTGATAAGGTTGACCAGAAGCATCTTTGTGAGTTCTACCCGATTCTGCCCGATCCTGTTTATCGTCGTTCGGTCTTGCGCGACTAACACATATATGAGTGTTTTATGTAATACGTCTTCATTTTTCCTTTCTATGTAATACGTCTTCATTTTTCATTCAAAATTGGTCATAATGTTTAACATATGCTGGTATTAATGCAAAAGAAATGCATTGAAATTAATAAAACGGCACTATTATACCCTGATTCTGCCCGATCCTGCCCGATCCTGTAGATCGTCTGACCCATTACCTCCCGTACGGAGAATTCTTTATTTGAAGGGACGGAAATGAACACGAGAATGTATCAAAACAAAAAAGTAATGTTCTGTAATTAGTTCGTGATTAAGAAGCATGACACTTGTCGGTAATGGCTGTTCTAATGCATTTTCAAAAACAAATGGAAGACAGAGAACGTTTTATCCTTGGCGCTGGCAGGACAGACGGCAGCTTGGCTTTCCTCATAATCTAGGCGAATCGAGCCAAGTGACAGCTGGGTTATATTCGTGCATCAAACCTCTTCACACTTGGGAGTCATCAGACAGCTCTCTCAACACTCACCAAGGAGGCATATTCAACTTCGATTTTTCTCCTGACGGGTATGCTTCTTTCTGATAATATATATTGTATAACCAGGTATCACACAATCACCTCTCTAGGTAATTCTGAATTCTCGGTACATCCTCTCGAATGGGAGGATAACGCTTTTTTTAAACTCGTGTGTTCAGTTAAATAACGCCATGTTTCTGTTCATTATGACGTTCATCGACGTCACAGCGGTATAGAAAAGAAATCGTTATGACTAACTACAATAACCACAAAAACACGTACATTCGACATGCTATATGTAAAACATAGTTATTACATTACAGGAATCACTATTTTAAAGCAATATAATAACTTTATTTCACATATAGAACATCCGATTCCAATGCTGAATAGCCGTAATGTACTGGCATTTCAATGTCTCTTCTAGGGACCAAATTCCTGTATGATGCTCAACTAGAGCTCAAGAGAAATTTTCTTCGGCCAAGCTGTATATTACAGCTAGTATTTACCAGGGTTACATAATGTTAGCTTTAACCAAAAAATTGAATAAAATTGTGTTGTCAAATTTGCATGTACAACTTGACACTGTACAATTAAAAAAGACAACATTGTATGTTAGCTTTGTTGAATATTCAAGATAGGTCACAAGAACAAGTTTATCACTGCTATTTCACAAGCATGAAACCCTCGGGCTTGATAATTGTGGAGCATGAGTATACCATATTCTGAGCTTGATTCAGCTTTCAGGATTCAAAAGTTGAATTATGGAAAATTGATTGTTGAAATTTGTCAAAACTATATCTTGTGAAACTTCTTGATTGTTGGACATTCCAATAATGCTTTTGGTTTATTGTGAAGGCAACATTGTCATTCAAGGTCAACCATAATTAAGATAAAGGTAATACTTGATATCATGCACTGCAAATTTGATGTGATGAAATATTGTAGAACTAAGTAACAGAGCACTATTGTAGAATGATAAGGACTTTTCATTTAAGAAAGCTAAAGGTCAATTTCCTTTATAGGCTGTTTAATATTTTCCATTAATTTGTTAGTTGGTGAGTTATTTATCTACAATTTGGATAGTGACCCATGTTTTTTTTATTCATTTTATGTCATATAGTATATTCACTAACCACATTGTTGCCTTGTGTTAATATAAAGTGATCATGTGGTGTCAGATTAATGTGATGAAATGCCATATCAGATACTCATAGGCAGCATTGTGATGTAGCATTGGAGACAGTAGATAACAAGTCCAATTTACTTCTGCACTATTTATCTGAATTATCCTTTGTTTGATAAAAAAAAAACTTTAATTCATTTCCATGTGATTTATGAAACTTATCACAAAGTTTTCTTTTGAGCTACCCAACACTTTTTTCCTGTATATATGTATTGCAATTGATAATTCAACATGTTACACACATATAACATTCTAATCAAAGTAAAGCTGTCGTATCCAGAAAGTAAGATATAAAGAATGTTTTAAGTGTCTGTTCTATATGTTTATATATTATTTACAGATCTGTGTTAGCAGCTGCTTGTGAAGGAAAAAGCATCCTGCTCTTTGATCCCTTTAATGGAAAACTGTCTGGTCATAAAGAAAAAGCTCACCTTGACTGTGTCAACTGTGTTAAGTATGTGATTTTGTCCCCTTTAGTTACATTAGGGCTATCAAATCACCACAAGGACAGTAGTACAATAATGGACAGAAGTTGGTTGGTACAGATAATACTCTATATAATGTTTTATACCAATAGTTTATATATATTATGGTCCTACTACTACTGCTTCTGCTAATACTACAAAACGGATAACAACAACAACATTGAAAATGATATGATCAACTATGTTCCTGATATATTTTTCTGGTTTATACATGTATCGGTATATTTGGAACTATAAAGTATGGTAGAATGAAATCTATTGTTCATATAATATGTGACAGCAAAACATAATAATATTTTCAGAAAGTTTTGCTGTCACAAACTATATGAAAGATACCAGTAAAAGAGTTTCATTATCTCTGAAAAAATATCTCATTCATTTTGGTGTTTGGTACACCTGAAGATCCTCACAAATAACATTTTATAACAATTCTTAACTAAGGATTTGTAGTTTCTTTTTGGGAGTTAACACTATGAGGTTTATTTTGACCTGGTTCCATTTCAGCACTTTAGAATTCATACCAAATTTGATTTCCAGTAAGGTTGCTTCCAACCTAAACATTTTTCCTTTGATTCATTAAGGTATTCTACACTTTAATAGGGTTAATGATGCAAGGAAACCGTCTGCCTGTGATAGATGCCTCTGTTCATTCCATTTAGGAGAAGTTTTTCATTGATTTCAAGTACTAGTAAACATCTATGTCTAAATCTGTCATCATAGAAAAAAGTATCAAACTACTACTCTTTGGCTCCTGTCAGTGAAATGAACCTTGCTTTTTTTTTTAAGTGTTAAGATTTCACTTGTTACAAACTGTAGAATTTCTTGGTACCAGGGTTTAAGACAAGTTTGCAATCCCAAAGGGGCTGTATGGAGATAAGAACATTAAATTTTGATGTTAAAAATGTTGAGTCAACATCAGTTCCATGTGTTGATCTGTGGGGCATTGCTGTTTCAGATTCTTAGACACACGAGTTTTAGCCACTTGTTCAGATGATAGTACTATAGCCTTGTGGGATACCCGCTACTTAAAGTACAAACTTCAGAATTTGAATGGTCACTCAAGTTGGGTAAAGAATGTGGAGTATGCCAGCAATAAGGATCTTCTGTTGTCCTCAGGATTTGATGGCAGTATATTCACCTGGGATATCAACAGGTAAATAACTAATCATATGCATTGTATAATAAAGAAGATATATATGGGTAAAGTATGGTGATTGATCACAGCCAAAGTTCATGTTTACAATTGCTACCAACAGAAAATTGCTTTCAAAATTTATAGAATTCTTACTTACTAAAAATGCTGGTTTAGAGGTGTGTTTCAGGTTTTCTATGTAAAGTCATAGTAATGTAAGGGAAATGTCTGTTTCCACACAATAAGTCAAGTTCCTCAGAATTTATCAGGTTAAAACTTCATGACATGAAAGACTTTTTGACATTGTTTTCTAGAAGTCAAGGCAACTGTTATTTTGAAAGGAAAACATTTTGGCAGCACAACTTTCACAGTGCTACCTTATAGAACTTGCTGGCATTAAATTGCTCGATAGTCAGACTTAAAATTTTTATTTCTCTATGTTTTCACCTGATGGAAGGATGAAATGCATTTTCATTTAAGATTAGAAAATCTAGAAGAAGATAATAGCTTTTGATCTACTCTTGTTGCAGTTACTCTGAAGATGGAACGAAGGGAAAGAAAGTATTTAACTATAAGCCACTAATGAGGTCAAAGTTGAGCCCAGATGGAACAAAGCTTTTTGTGTCAACAGACAATGGAAATATACTTTTAATTCACAACCTTGACCTTTCAACTTTAGCCGAGGACCTTGTTATATTTTCACCCTATCAGTTTAGACAGCTGATTGAAAATCATGCCGCAGCAGGATCGGATAAAAAAAGAAATCGGGTAGAGGTCATTAATGATTGGCCAATGGGAAATAAGGCCAGTGTAATTGCATCACTGCAGGTGAGTCCTGAAGTATGGTATGTGATTGTATCTTAAAACATGTGGTGTGTCAATTACTGAATTGGCTAGTGAATTGCCTGTGGCAGTATATATGTTTCTTCTGATGTCTTGATTTCCCTCATAATCCCAGCTCCCATTTTCTCTCTGTCATTGGACAATATTGAAATAAGAAAGAATTTAAATTAATTTCTTTTACACTCTTTCTACTACACCCGTTTGATGTAATTAGATTTTCATATGATGAGGTAGTCCTGGACTCTTAACATAAATATTGCATTTTGATATCAAAGTCTATGTTTGATCTATTGGACATTTCAGGTGCATCCTCAGGGTTGGTGTGTACTTTCTAGGAATACAAGCAGGGACAGAAACTCAGAGGTAGGTTAATGCAAAGAGAAACTCCCAAGAAAATTTGTGTATTTTGTCTTCAAATGAAAGCAAGAACAGAAATTTTTAGTACATCCTATCCTAAAATACAAGCAGGGACAGAAACTCTGAGGCAAGTTAATGCATCCTGTCCTCAACTACTAGGGTGATTGATAAGTTGTGGATGTTGTATTGAAGAAGTTAAGCAGGGATGTCCTTTTTCACCTCTCCTATTCTCTGACTATTTAAGAGTGTGCACCGAAGACTGGTGTCATTTGATCAGTTTATGTCAAAGAGGTAACACTCTAAAATGAACAAGGCAAGTGACTTTTGCAAAATGGGCAATAGCACTGAAAGAGCAGTGATTCAGTATTTGAATATGTAAAGGTTTAGCACCAAAGGTTATCCTAATAGATATGAAAGCAACACTAGAGAATGATGCCCCTTCATATGCTACAGTGAAAAGATGGGTGGTGGAATTTAAGCATGGCAGGCAAAGCCTTGGGGTGACACCTGTCCTGGAAGGCCTGTCACTTGCAACCCCAGAATCGGTCATTAAAGTCCATGATAATGATATGGCTTACTGGTGAGTTACAGACAGATATATAGCCAGTACAGTTGGAATTTCACAGGAAAGAGTACATTCAATTCATACGGAAGATCTTGCAACGAGAAAGCTCTCAGCATGTTGGTTATCAAGACTTCTGACAGTTGATCAGAAGCACACCATGTGGACTATGTGGCATGCTAATCTGAACCTTTTAGAGGCAGATCCAGCTAATTTTCTGCAGAGGTTTTTGACAAAGATGAAACGTTGATCCATCATTGCACCCCAGAGGCCAAACAACAGTCATAACAAAAGACTGAAGGGGATTATTTTGAAAATAATGCAGTATGTCTGCCAAAAGTCAACCCTTCATTATGAGTCCCACAACTTATCAATCTGCCCTCGTATAAGCAGGGATAGAAACTTGGATACAACTCAGTACATTTATCCTAAAATACAAATAGGGACAGATGCTTAAAGGTAAGTAAGTATCTATTGGTCCCCTTAGTCAAGTCAGGATGGAAGTCCTCTATTGAGTCTGTTATCTACAAAATGGTATGAGATGTATGTGAATTGAGAGTAATTTTGTTGGTTTGCTTAAGTGCAATGAAGAGGAAGACTATCAGGCACTAAAAATAATAAGTTGGACTAGAATATTTCTTCTGCTTATTATTGTATGTACATTCATTGAAATTCTTTCTTAATTAAAATGGATAAAATTATGAAAAATACCTGGTAATAATTATTTAAAAATTAAATGCATTTTCAATTTCATTGTAGTGGACTTGTATACATGATGTGCAGGATACAAAAGAAGATACAGAAGATTCAAGTGATAAAGAACCCCCAATACGTCATTCATCAAGTCCTTCCCCATCACCAGTACGCCCCAGGACATCAAGGGGGAGGCCATCAAATAACCGCGCAATACCCCACCTCCAAAGGCGTGGGGCAATGAACTATGAATCAGATCATTCTGGGGCGGACATTCCTGTTAGGACTCGCTTACACATCACAAATTCCCATTCTAGGAGTAATGTTAACGTATCAGGTACAGGAATTTCAACCCATATTTCTACACCGAATTTGACCAATTCCAGACGGATATCAAATTTTCCACAGAATTCAGGGTCTCCAGGATCACCATTATCCGATACAGACAGTGATGTTGGAGATACAGTGGTGATCAGGATGGATCAAGATAGAGAGAGACCACCATACGGACAAGAGGATGGGGAGGTCTCTGATCCAGACGTGGATGAAAACAGTCATTTAAGTGATTCTCTGAATACAGACAGTCCAGACGAGCTGGAAGCAAGACGAGCCATAAGTGACATTCTCACTATTGTGTTTGGATCAGGCTCAAGAAGACAAGTATTCCAGTTCAATCACAGTGAGGGTCTTAATGACTTAATGGAAGAAGAAAGTCCATTACAGTTTCCATGTAAAAAACGTTTATTATATTATGCTGATGAACCCAATGTTGGACGTGGTTTCATTAAGGAGTTGTGTTTTAGTTCCAATGGACGAATGGTGTGTTCACCGTTTGGTTTTGGTGTTCGATTGCTAACGTTCGACTCTCAATGCAGTGAGTTATGCGAGGTGGTGCCTAAGGCTCCGGTAAAACTTTATGAGTTGGGGTCCAGTATGTCCCATACCAACAATGTACTGACTTGTAAATTTTCACCTACCCATCCCCTGCTGGTCACGGGCTGCCTTAGTGGCAGAGTGGTGTTTCACCAACCTGTTCTTTGATCACTCCTCTTCACAATATCTTGTTTCCATTAATTCTGAGAGACGGAGTAACATCAGCTCTTTATATACAGGATAAGGGAATACATTAGGAGACAAAACTTAGGAGACTTTTAGTTCTTGGTCAAAATACATTTATCTCAAGCATTTTCATTTCTCTAAAAATTGAAAATAGATTTACACTGAATAGTATTTTCAAATTTTAAATATCCTTGTTTAATAATAATAGTTCTTAACAGAAGAACTGGTGTTTATAGATTTGTAATTTTTTTTTTCAAAATAAGAATTGATTTAATATTTAAATAAAATGTAAGTAGAATCTGATTTTTTGAAAAGAAGGTTAGTTTTTTAGGGTAAAAGAATAAGGAAATAGTAATTATACATTGTACATATGAAATTTTTACTGGACAGGACATCTCTTCACTGTTAAAATTTGGGGTGGCATTTAAAAGGGCACATCAAAGTTACAATGTCAATTCACTATTGATCTTAATAGGTTCCTTGAATATCAGGTATTTGTAACTTTTTTTGGTGTGTGTTTATATGTGCATATGGTAATTAAATATATAATAGAATATGTTTTCAGTTTTTTTGCAAATACATCTTCTCATGGTCGTGGCATTAATATAGCATTCACACTACACTAATGATGACATTCAACATGGCCACCATCTGGAAAAAATTGTTGTCACTGTTTCCCTCAAAAGTCTATTAGAGAAAGGAATTTTCTCCTGAATTGTATATGGTCAAAAGACGGCCCTAAATGCAATATGGACTTTTTTCAGGACCAGTCAGAAAGGTCTCCAGCAATCAAATAGAAATGAAATTTGTAGTCATGTAACATCACATAATGTTAAAACACTGGTAGAGTACCAGTTCTCTCTGGAACATTAATATGACAGAAATGAATCATGTTACCTGTAGGTCAACACTGTCAAGACTTCATTCAGTTCTGTTTACCTAACAGATAGGAAATGGTTCTGTTTCCACCACAGCAAGGAAGGGAGTGGTCAGTTTCTACCACAGCTAGGGGATGGTCTATTTCTACCACAGCTTGGGAGTGGTCTGTTTCCCCCACAGTGGGAAAATGATCTGTTACCCCCACAGGAGGGGAGTGGTCTGTTTTCACCACAGCTGGGGAGTGGTCCGTTTCTACTACAGCTGGGGATGGTCCGTTTCAACCACAGCTAGGTGATGGTCTGTTTCTACTACTGCTAGGGAATGGTCTGTTTCTACCAAAGCTGGGGAAGTGGTCTGTTTCTACCACAGCTGGGGAAGTGGTCTGTTTCTATCACAGCTAGGGAATGGTCTGTTTCTACTACTGCTGGGGAATGGTCTGTTTCTACCACAGCTAGGGAATGGTCTGTTTCTACTACTGCTGGGGAATGGTCTGTTTCTACCAAAGCTGGGGAAGTGGTCTGTTTCTATCACAGCGAGGGAATGGTCTGTTTCTACTACTGCTAGGGAATGGTCTGTTTCTACTACTGCTAGGGAATGGTCTGTTTCTACCACAGCTGGGGAAGTGGTCTGTTTCTATCACAGCTAGGGAATGGTCTGTTTCTACTACTGCTGGGGAATGGTCTGTTTCTACCAAAGCTGGGGAAGTGGTCTGTTTCTATCACAGCGAGGGAATGGTCTGTTTCTACTACTGCTAGGGAATGGTCTGTTTCTACTACTGCTAGGGAATGGTCTGTTTCTACCACAGCTGGGGAAGTGGTCTGTTTCTACTACTGCTAGGGAATGGTCTGTTTCTACTACTGCTAGGGAATGGTCTGTTTCTACTACTGCTAGGGAATGGTCTGTTTCTACCACAGCTGGGGAATGGTCTGTTTCTACTACTGCTAGGGAATGGTCTGTTTCTACTACTGCTAGGGAATGGTCTGTTTCTACCACAGCTGGGGAATGGTCTGTTTCTACCACAGCTGGGGAATGGTCTGTTTCTACCACAGCTGGGGAATGGTCTGTTTCTCCCATTATACCAGGTTATGTTTTGGTTTCTATTTAACTTCAATAGGAACATTTTTATGTGCTTGATATAGAAATTTCTTATTATATATTGGAATGAAATGGATTCTAAAGACTTTTATATTTCTCTCTCTTTTTTAACTTGTTGCCTTTTTGTTGTTTTACTGTGTTCTGATAATCATTCAGATATTCAGAAGGAGGTCGTTCAAATGCAATCAGTGGTGATGAAAATCCTCCAACTCATCCACTACTTAACATCTCATGATAGATTACATATGCATATATGCAGATTAATTCTTAGGGACGCAATTGTAAAAGTAATACAATTTATTGTAATTTTTCTACACTTTGCAGATGTGTTTCTGTGTATGCTGGAGAAATATCAATGTAGGGATGTGGTAGCTTGAACACACTTTCCTTCTAAACTGTTGTCTCTTTCAATAATAATGTGTCATCATCTGATGGTATGTTTAATCTGCTATTTGTAAATGCCTGATGTACAACCATCAAAGCTTACAGTACTTAAAGAAAGGAGAGTGTCTTACAGTACTTAAAGAAAGGAGAGTGTGGAAGAAAATGATGATTTAATCTTAACTACAATATATCTGTTACACTGTTTTGGGGTGATTTAGGAGTCCTGATTTGTTCTTGAAGGCACATTTCCCTTGATCAAACAAAGAATCACACGGATGAAAAAGAAGGCAATCTTTTTCCTCTGAACAATGTTGGCCTTGAGAGCGTGATCAACTGCCCCAAATCACTTTGCGAAGGAACACTCACAGCTGTTTCACAGTTTGTTCATCATTTTTAGGTGATCTGACCGAAGGGTCATCGGTCAGATGACCTATTGCGATCGCCTTTTGTCCGGCGTTGTCTGTCGTCCATCATAGGTCGTCTGTCATAAACATTTTCAACTTCTTCTCAAGTTCTACATGTCTCATTAAGCTGAAACTTACCAGAAATGATCATGACATGATCCTGACCAAAGTTTGTTAATTTCGGGTTGGTCCGAAATCCAACATTGCCGCCATGGCAGCCATCTTGAAAACACATTTTCAACTTCTTCTCAAGTTCAAAATTTGAAATCTTGTATTTTATGTCAGTTGACCGTTAAGGCCCATGGGCCTCTTTTTGTTTCTATGTTGTTGAGATATTTTTTTCTAAATATTCTGTCTTTGTTTTGTGTAAATTACTTTTATGTATTACAAAGACATGACCAGCGAAGTTTCCCTGTGATTGATGTATCAGTATATAAATAGAAACGTCAGATGATCCGTATCCATGGAAGATTTTGTTTTGTCAAACAAAACAGACCAGTGTGTGCTGTTGTGGTTGTGTTCTTTGACAATACACTTCATGCCTAATAACTCTGGATGCACCAAGTTCAGGGCCTCTAATGGCAGATACAGGTGCCCTATAGTAATGATGAACTTGGTGGAGAATGCACATAAATAACCATAAACAACGGATATCATTAAATGACTTACAATACATAACTAGAAACCAATAAAACACAAGCTATTAGACACAAAGGTGTAATCAGTACAATAAAGGTTTCCTGATCAAGACAAGAACAAATGGAGAAACTCATAGGTCAACAGAGGAACTGATGAAACATACACATAGCATAGCATGTGTATTTGAGTGTAGATCAATGTTGATGAGGTACTAGTAACTTTGCCAGGCATATATTTAAAACAAATTTGCAATATGTTTACCAATGGAACATATATCAAGATCTGTTATCAACTGGGTGTTTGAATAATGTTGAATACAATGTGGCATTTTTAATTCTCATGCGTAAACTTCATGTACAGTAACTTTGTGATTCCTGTATTGATGGAGAGTTGTGATTGATTTTTTTTACCCAGAAATATATTAAAACTTGCCAAGCATTCTCATATTCCTGTATTCAGAATTTTCTGAGGGCTGCATTGAAAAATTAGATAAAATATTCCTAAAAGTGTGATGTTTTGTAGACTCACATCGTAGTACATGAATATTTTGCTTCTCTGCTACTGTTTTTGAAGCCCAAATGTTACATCATCCTAAGCAATATGGACAAATGATCTATTGAGGAATAGGATGAGGGGGTGCAGAGGTGGGGGGTCGATATAAAACCACACGACAGGGCCCTTTCTGACCTGTCAGTGTTCTAATTCAGTGAGGTAGCCACTTGTCAGTATTGATTATAACCAACACTAAATTCTGTTGACGATCACTTACAAGATCTTGACACAGATCCAAACCATTCTGTCTGGAGAAGGTGTGTTACGTTATTGTGTTGAAGTTAGGAGTACTAGTTGTCTTACTAGCCTCAGCTAGTGGGAATTTCCAATGGAAGGATGTTTTTATTGCTCCTTCCTATTACAATTGTATATGCTTATGGTACACAAGACACAAACTGTGAGGGTTGAGCTATGTGTACCTGTAGCATATCTTAGAGATTCAATCTTCATTCTGTATCAAGTAAGATTATGTGGTGGAAAGAAGATATGAGAAGCATCATACTGGATGTAGTCTAGTCAAGTCCCTGTAGGGGGGGGGGGGGGTCATTAAATGTCAAAGGGAAATAACTCTTAGTTGGATACAAACAGACCTGTACATTGACCAAGTGCAAACAAGTGTCAAGTCTTTAATTGTTGAGGGATCCAGGTTTGGTCATTTTTCCATGATTGATAGTTAAGACCGAAGCAGAAAGTGCCTGAATTTTTAAAATTGACACGGGCCATGAATAATTAGCCGTCCGTGCTTATTTTTTCGGTAAGACATATTTGCTTTTCAAACAGCAGTTTTTCTTGAACTGTATTTTGATACCTCTATTGTACACAAATCTGCTGCTGCCTTGTTTAGAACTTGCACAGTTAGCATACTGACAAGGACCAGATATCTTTGTTGGCAGGTAATTAGTTACATTGACAAAAACTTTCATACATTTATGTATTGCCTTTTTTAAAAAAAAAATTTTTAATTCTGTCATTGTTCAGGACATTTCATGTTTATTATCTCATATTTACATAGACACGATATACATCTGTCAGTTTATCAAAATTAGCAATATGATTGAATATGATTAAATGAGATCATATTGAGCTAAATTTTCTATCTGTCACTGGTTTTTTCATGCATATGGTTTTATTACAACATTATTTAATACTTTTGTTTTACAATGTGTAAGAGAGTATAGCACATCCAACCTATTCTGCAATCTAAGAAGGGTTCCTGAATAAAGCAATATAAAAAGCAAAATACAGAAAGGTCTTTTTGTAATTGAATGACGTTTATTCTATTTATGATAAAACCTTATTCCTGATGTGAAGCGGAGAATAAAACATTACAAAATCAGTCCGGGATCAATCTCGAACACATAGTTGGTGGTATTTTCCCTACATATTTACAATAGTTCTGTATTATTTCAAGTCCCTGATTCCTTCATTTTGAGAAGGTTGTATGGTCAGCTAGGTAGAAAAACATGCAAAGTCTTTATAAATTATCAATGGATTCCACAGGGTTAACTCCCTTTAAGTAATGCAGTGAATGATATCGGATTGGTAGTGGAGGTGATAGAGGAGATCAATGAGTTTAGTAACGAGTAGCTTGTGATGGTTTTGTCTGATGTGATCAATTTAATGAAGAGCAGTTACTGAGATTTCTTTGTCTGGTGTTGATAAACGGAAGTACCCATGTCATTTGTTCAGTGGAGTAAATATGACTGATCAGTCAGGGTTCTGTTAAATAACAGTGACAAATATTATTGCAATTTTGTTCAAATTATGGCTGTAATATTGGATCACAAGTTAAACAGGGAAATGTAGCCCCAGAAATCTTCATCTTCAGAAATACTGTATCCGACTTATATTTCTAAACTGTCTAGTGACTTTAATTGGAGATTTGGGTACATTTGAATCATTTTGCTAGCTTGGTTTAAGTAAAATCTAAATATCAACAATGGAATTTACTCCCCTCCTCCCAAATGAAAATGGTAAGATATGTGCAATTCAACACAACAATCCTATGCACTTGTTTTTCTGAACACCTGTGACAGTTGTCAACATATTGCACATTTCACCTTTGAAAATAACCAACAATACACAAAAGACTTTTGATATATGCTGAAAAACGATTAACATTCCAGAATACAGCTGCTAAATGTTCACCATACAAAACACTTGAGGGGATTCTATGGGGCCAACGCACGGAAATCTAGAAGGATCATTTCTGTATAAAAGAATATAAAATAAAAATGTGGATAAATTCCATCAGATAATCAAATTAATTATTCTAATACTTTGGCCTTAATGCTAACCAGTCAATAAGATTAAGAGAAAATATACAGGATGGCGTATACAAAACATAGCGACGACATGTACATTCAATCATGCATTTGGTTTTGTGAATTTTTTCTTAATTGATTAATTATGTATATATATATTTTCCCCAGACAACACAGCTCTTTGACATTTTCTATTCTAAATAACTGAATCAATTTAAACACAGATGAAATTTTCTAATAGTAATTTTATGTACTTTTTCTTAATCTTTTTATGAACATTATATTCCAGAATAAAATGGTAGTAGTCTCTATACATTGTCTTGTGGTGCACATACTAAAGATTCGTCTAGATACTGGGGTACTATGGTATCTTTAACTAATAAATGATATGGGGATATACATTTTTTAGTTATACATATTGTTCTTTTAATATAATTAGTTCAATGAAATGGTAAATAACATTATAAATAAAATATTTATAAATATGACATTTTGATGATGACAGATAAATGTTGTAGATGTTGTCAGCCTTGGTCATAAATTCGTTATAAGAAGTAATCCAGTGTATTCGCTATCTCATTTCCCCATATATGTCCAAACCAAGTGAAAATGCCAATTTTAACCCAATATTAACAGGAAATAAAATGGTATAGGGCGGTAGGAAACGGGAAATTTAACTGACATTCGATATTAGGACGAAATTTTAAGATCAGTGACCAATTTAGAATTCTAAGGTATCATAGCATTTCCGACAGGATGACGCGCCTGCGCAAACCAGTTACGACTTTCTTGCCGGAGAAAAAAACGAATCGCCCGATTTGTCACCAGTTGAGCACGTTTTGGATGTTCTTGACCACCGAGTTATAGAACATCAGAATGAGCTGTCAAACTTGCAGGAGCTGACCCAATCATTGAACAGTGAATCGGAATTATTTGCCGGTGTAAAAGTTACGTGCTGCAACGCTGTTTACGGTGGTGTTACCAGTAACTAATGGTGTTACATTTGAAATTGACCAGAACGCGAAGCAACGCCTAATGAATGCAGCGTTTTGCCATGACCGCAGTCTCCCCCCCGAATTGATCAATGCTTTACATATATAACCGATAAAAATAATTGATCTAATTGTGTATGATATGTGCAACTGCTATATAATATACACATGGTTTGTTTTGTTTGAAAGACTACTTTCCATACATAATGGTCTTTCCATTTCGGAGGAATTCTTGGAGACTCTTCAGAGTAATATTCAGATTAAGTTTCGTCAAAATTATTTCGCTCAGTCACGCGTATAACGTGAAACGAGATATAGCGAGTCGTTTGCTTAAGTGAAAATTACCTGCGTTCGTGTCATAAACTAATGTGGACTGTGGAGATGCTTGTAATACTGAACAAGGGTTACAAGTATTCAAAATCACAATTTGGTTATCGTCACTTTACGTCTTAATAACGGGGTTCCCGCCAGGTACTGATCCGCAGTACCCGGCGACTGCCCTACTGAGGCCTCGAACCCGCGCTCCAGAGGTGAAGGGCTAGTGATGAAGACGTTCAAATGTCTTAATCACTTGACCAGAGCTGACCCCTTCAAAATCACGACAGATCTAAGAATGAAATACGCATTTTGGCCACATTTGCCGAACTGTATTAATATTATGATTATATATATAGTCACGGTTTCCTTATAGGTAATTATTATGTAGAGAAGAATAACTTTGATTTTAAGATGAATAGATATGAGACTGTCAACAATTTGAAATCAGATATCAGATAAATCAATGTCAAACATGAGATCAATTCTTGCCACTCGGTTATATTTGCGTTGTCTATTTCTAAAGAGTGAGCCGTAGATTTATTGCTTTTCACCAAGCAATAAAACAACAATTCGCATATAACTGTATACTTGTCTCGCTGTCGTTTCCTAGCATATCAGTAAGTTATCTTCCGTGATACAAGATGCCTGAACAGCTAAATCCAGAGGGATCTTAAAACGTACATGTAATAACACGGAAGAAACACGGTGAATAGTGGCACAGTGGTCCCCTAACTTCTTAAATGATTTCGAATAGTTGATGACTTTTGTGAAACTTGCCACCATTAGCAAGGTTTTAATATGTTTATTATAATGCAAATGATGAACAATAATACTACACTTACACAAGAATTTATTGGTGAGAAGAGTATTAACCTAGTAACGTAAACACAGGAAGGGGATCGATATATGTCTGTTCATCCTTCCAATTTTGTAATATTAAATTATCACTGTCAAAAACTAAACGTAAAAGCAAAATGATGGATTTTAGACATGTACAACATTATTTGATTGCCATTTCTGATAAGTAGGCGTGGGTGAAATGTTGCATTTTGAATGTCTAAATTTAGTGACTGTTTTAACAGCAGTGCTACTTTTCTAAACACTGGTCATTTGTTTGAAGAAGGTGACCATGTAGTCATAGAAACGTCACTCTCTAATCTTCTACTGGTTGTGTTATAAGAACTTCTATTCTACTGACATTACCAACCCGAAGAAAATGTTAAGAAACAGGTGAGTTTGAGGGCATGTTGGGCGTTGTGTTTTCTTAGTTGTATAGCTGTGCAGAAGTAGACTCGTCAAGAGGAAATACATGGCAGGGTTGGACTAATAGGACAGACCATGATACACGACATCAGCAGAGGATTTCTAAAAGATAATCATGGCCATAAATAAGAACACTTTGTTGGTTTGTGAAGTAGAACATTGACCACGGTCATCTGAAAAGATAGAAATAACGTTATATAGATCTATAGAACAAATAGAACTATCCTTATATTAATGTTAAGATGAATAGTAGTGGTTATCTGTGAGATGACTTGGGTGAGCAAATTTGAAGCCGAACTTCAATCGAGTTTTTTAATTGTATACCCTTGTACAGCACCTTAAATACAGTTCCTGAAAAGAGACAATATAAATTCATCGACATGCTCATAACAAACGTGAAATTAACATCCGGGCCGAATTGCACACCTGCATGATGCATGTATAAAGCGCTTGCTATCAGCCACCTAACGTGTAATAAATTGAGATAAAATACGTCAACAATACTGTTATCAGGACGTAGATTGACCCCTGACCCTGTCCAGCTTTATCAGTCGCTGGGATATATATAACACTCAAAACAGTCTATCAGGACACATTCGTAGTTAGAAAGCAGAAGCGAGAATATCGTATACAAATGGTGTAATCAGGGAAATAACAACTCAGTGTGGATCTGTTGCAAGGTCCTTATCACGATGGGTAGGAGACGAGACAAAACAGCGGTTAATCCGCTCACCAAGTATTTCCTGTTCTTTGAAAATTTCATCATATGGGTAAGTAGGTTTACAGAAATCTATTTTGGATTATGATATAACAGTAACGATTTTTTGATAAGATTAAGCCGCTGACTTACCTTTAAATCATTCCATTGGATCTAAGTTCTGTGGATTTGCTATCTAAGCCCGGTTAGCTTGAGGCCGTTCCTTTAAATTGATACTAGTAGATGACTCATCGATCTAGAAGTTCTACTCTGATATTTAACTGTATCACAATCGTCTTGTCTCTGTCATGACTCGGAACAAGAATAAGGAAATATAACAGGAATTACTGTAAAATCATATATCTTAGTGGGGCTTAATATTCGTGGTTAAACAAAAATTCCAATTCGTGAAGACTTGATTCCATGAATAATAATAGCCCAATAAGTCGACCTATAATTATATAATGTATATGGTAACACTGTTGACGAAGGAAGACATTTTTTACTTGTTCCCTATCCGGACCTTGAACTAATAATCTACGGCATCAAATTACCTAGCCAATATTCATGCAACTGCCTAATCATCACACCACCACAACTTCCCCAAAAAAGGATGTTTGGAAGTTGTACTGATAGAGAGCTGGAAATATTCGAGATGGCCATAGTGGCAAATAGTTTATTACGTGGTATGGTCACCTGGATCGCAATGCACATAATAATTTACATGGATCCGAATTATAAAAGGAAAACGTAACATCCACGATATATATATAAACATTGAATTCGTAGATTGAAAGTGTACGAAAATAAAGTCCCAACGAAAATAAATTATTTCACAGTATTTCAGCATATTATAGTGTTAGATAGCGAGGTCGAAATTGAACAGAAGTAGTCTTTATTGCTGAGGGTTATGTTGTATATCGCGCATGTTAATGGGGTTCTTGTTAACTTTTTATTCCACTTCAGTATTACGATTAAGTTATATCTGTATTCAATCGGTTATGTCACTATTAGATATTGCCTATTTGGCGACATCACTATAATGGATAGGTGTTGTCACTTGGGAGTCATTTGGGAATATCACTTATTCATTGTGGAGATATCACTTATTCATTGTGGTGATATCACCTGTTCATAGTGGAGATATTACCTATTCATTGTGGAGATATCACTTATTCATTGTGGAGATATCACCTGTTCATTGTGGAGATATCACTTATTCATTGTGGTGATATCACCTGTTCATTGTGGAGATATTACCTATTCATTGTGGAGATATCACTTATTCATTGTGGAGATATTACCTATACATTGTGGAGATATCACTTATTCATTGTGCAGATATTACATATTCATTGTGGAGATATCACTTATTCATTCTGGAGGTATCATCTGTTCATTGTGGAGATATCACCTGTTCATTGTGGAGATATCACCTGTTCATTGTGGTGATATTCCCTATTCATGGTGGAGATATCACCTGTTCATTGTGGAGATATCACCTGTTCATTGTGGTGATATCACCTATTCATTGTGGTGATATCACCTATTCATTGTGGTGATATTCCCTATTCATGGTGGAGATATCACCTGTTCATTGTGGAGATATCACTTATTCATTGTGGAGATATCACCTGTTCATTGTGGAGATATCACCTGTTCATTGTGGAGATATCACTTGTTCATTGTGGAGATATCACCTATTCATTGTGGAGATATCACCTGTTCATTGTGGTGATATTCCCTATTCATGGTGGAGATATCACCTGTTCACTGTGGAGATATCACCCGTTCATTGTGGTGATATCACCTATTCATTGTGGTGATATCACCTATTCATTGTGGTTATATTCCCTATTCATGGTGGAGATATCACCTGTTCATTGTGGAGATATCACCCGTTCATTGTGGTGATATCACCTATTCATTGTGGTGATATCACCTATTCATTGTGGAGATATCACCTATTCATTGTGGAGATATCACTTGTTCATTGTGGAGATATCACCTATTCATTGTGGTGATATCACCTATTCATTGTGGAGATATCACCTATTCATTGTGGAGATATCACTTGTTCATTGTGGAGATATCACCTATTCATTGTGGTGATATCACCTATTCATTGTGGAGATATCACCTATTCATTGTGGAGATATCACTTGTTCATTGTGGAGATATCACCCGTTCATTGTGGTGATATCACCTATTCATTGTGGAGATATCACCTGTTCATTGTGGATCACCTGTTCATTGTGGAGATATCACCCGTTCATTGTGGTGATATCACCTATTCATTGTGGAGATATCACCTGTTCATTGTGGTGATATCACCTATTCATTGTGGAGATATCACCTGTTCATTGTTTTTGATATCACTACAATAAATAGGTAATATTGCCATAATGAAAAATGACATCACCTTATCGTTTCAGTGATTATAAGAAACTAAAAAAAGTAAGTTTCGTGTAATAAAACATGTGTCTGGTATGGGACCAAAAGGAATGAAAATGTATGTACATCATGGACGAGTTTTACAAGTTTCTATTCTAAATTTGTATTGGTACTATTTACCAATATTTTGTAGGTTTGGGATTGCTGTTGGTAGACACTGCTGGTGGGCTTTTGGCCCCGAAGTATGTCATAATCTACATGCCACTTTTTATATCATACATATCTGACATTCATTTAAAACCATTCAGCATTTGAAAGTATGCAATATATTGAATTTTGGGGGTAAATGCACCTTACTCCCCAGTCTGAACAATATTTGTACCTTCTCACCCTTTACGTAAACCAGAGTGAATTTAACAGTATCATACAGCTGTTTCATCCTTCTAGAATCCATCGGTAAAGGCGAGAGTCCAAAGTGTTGACACCTGAGTGGCGAGTAATGAAAAATGATAAAAATGATCGAAAGAAACGACAAAATTAGATTTGGAGTGTCACTGACAAAAAATCAATAAATTTAGGATTTTTCAGATGTGGTGATTTCAAAATAAAGTTCATATCTAGAAAATAATTTTAAAATATACAAAAATGTACTCAACACTGCTCTAAAAAATATCCCTAGGAAAACCACCAAATGCAATACAAACACGTCGCATGTTTTTAAACAGACAATGCGAGAATTTGATTGAATATACACTATTTACGAAACATTGCTGGGTTTGCCTCTCTAACAAATGCCAAAGAATGATGAGATAACGGAAACATGTGTTTTGTGAGAACTCAATTAAGATGTACAACAAGAAACAATTCACAACTTTTAGGCTTATAGAAGGTGTGCATCGACCATCTTGACGTCCCCGATGACACGAGTTTCTTCTAATCCCTATGCCATGTATTAGACAGATGTCCGATGTGAAGCTTAATACCATACTTAAAATATCCAACGCTTGTGATCTGTCACAGAAAATCAATTGTTTCAGCAGTTTTGCATGAAAACAAATGCCATTTTGTTTTGTTTCACTTACGTTTAATTTTACGTGTGTTCAAGAGCAGACGTAGACTTAACATTATAAGCGTAACTCTACGTCACGTAATGTTTCGACTTTCAGTGAAAAAATGTCTCACAACTGATATTAAGAGCTTAATGAAACGAAGGGTAATGGTCCCACAACTTTTGACAGGAAAAATAAATATGTAGCTGAAAAACAAATAGCGAGTTTTGTGTACAATCTGACTTTAAAACAATTTCTGCTGAAAAATAGTGTCTACAATATCATATAATGCTGGGGACATATGACGTATATTGTCAGATTGGCGGACTGGCCATTACAGGACTAGGTGCTTACGTGTTGTGGGTTAAACAAAAAGTGGTCAAGGATGCGTTCGACTTCTTCCTGGATCCAGCAACAATCATGGTGACAGCTGGCTCGATCGTCGTCTTCATTTCGTTCTTCGGCTGTATGGGTGCACTCAGGGAGAATATGTGTTTTCTTAAAACAGTAAGAAATTTTAATTCCATTTATAATACTTATAAAAACGATAGTTGATTTCCATACTTACGTAAAATGAGGTACAGAAATAAGCATAACGACAAACCGAAAGAAATCGTCCACTTTCCCTACAACGTCACGTGAATCCTATTTCAGTGATACTTGACATTTTTATTGTAACTGTTTTCTGATCGTCACGTTCTTCGGGGAATTGGCTTTTATCATTTTTAACGCATTTTTGTCTTTAGAAAATTTTGGTTTTGATAAACTGGTACTAGCTTTCTCTTCTTTTATTTTGAAAACAATGAATGTATTCTCCGATTGTTATGATCTGTGGAATACGAGCAGTGCACATTTCCCCTATCGTGATTTCTAGGGTAATGACGCCGCATGTTTTCTAGAAACTCGAGTAGGAAATTGGAACGGTATTGTTACATACTAGCGATGCTATATTTCTACATTTTTTAATTAACCCTGTCAAAATGAAAACTTATCATATTCTAACATATTTATTTTCAGTATAACATTATTCTGTCCATCATGTTTTTTGGGGAGTTAGCGCTTGTCATCTTCGTTTTCGTGTTCTACTTTGTCCCGGATGCCCGTGAACAGCTTGGACTGTTTCCCGGGGACAGTATGAGGAACGCTATCCAGAAGTATGGCATCGTGGATGACGAGGATATGGTGAACCTTATAGACAACATTCAGAAAACGGTAATACCCCAAAACATATATCGGTGATATCGCCATAGGTAGCAAACGATGATAGTTCACCATGGTCTGTTACAGATACATGGTTGTGGTCTGTTACAGATACATGGTTGTGGTCTGTTACAGATACATGGTTGTGGTCTGTTACAGATACATGGTTGTGGTCTGTTACAGATTCATGGTTGTGGTCTGTTACAGATACATGGTTGTGGTCTGTTACAGATACATGGTTGTGGTCTGTTACAGATACATGGTTGTGGTCTGTTACAGATACATGGTTGTGTGGTCTGTTACAGATACATGGTTGTGGTCTGTTACAGATACATGGTTGTGGTCTGTTACAGATACATGGTTGTGGTCTGTTACAGATACATGGTTGTGATCTGTTACAGATACATGGTTGTGGTCTGTTACAGATACATGGTTGTGGTCTGTTACAGATACATGGTTGTGATCTGTTACAGATACATGGTTGTGGTCTGTTACAGATACATGGTTGTGGTCTGTTACAGATACATGGTTGTGGTCTGTTACAGATACATGGTTGTGGTCTGTTACAGATACATGGTTGTGGTCTGTTACAGATACATGGTTGTGGTCTGTTACAGATACATGGTTGTGGTCTGTTACAGATACATTGTTGTGGTCTGTTACAGATACATTGTTGTGGTTTGTTACAGATACATTGTTGTTATCTGTTAGAGAAATATTGTTGTGGTCTTTTTCAGCTACATTGTTATGGTATGTTATATCTACATTGTTATGGTCTGTTACAGCTACATTGTTGTGGTCTAAGTGACAACGAGGACGGCTATAAAGACTGGAATAACAACGAGTATTTCAACTGTACTGTGTCAGGCTTAAGTCCAGAGAAGTGCTCTGTACCGCCGTCCTGTTGCAAATTAAAACCGGTAAGACTGTATTCAGCCACGTTTTAATTGCATCTTGCAACAAGATGCCCATAGGGTCTGCATCGCTCACCCGGTTTAGTTTATTGAAATGGATTGATTTCACTAAAGTATAAAACATTTAAGACACTTGCTATTTTTCCACTTTTAAGCCCTGCCCCTTTGCACAAGAAGGCTAGATGCACTGTTTAATCAAAACTAAATCATTTTCACCACAGGATGCTTCAGACCAAATTCGGACAAAATTAAACCATTCCTACAGATAAAGACTATCAACAAATTTTCCGTACTTCCACTATTGGATTGGATCTTGCCCATCTGGCGCCCGATGGCGGGGTTGGGTGGTGGGGGCGAAACCTACTCTTGATACAACATCGATCACCTTCACAAAGGCATGCCTCAGACCAAATTTCCATTCCAACAGAAGAAGAATGATTCTAAAGAATATGCCCTATTTCCCAAATCGGGGCTCGCCTCTCCCGTCCCTGAGAATCATTGTTTATGCATCATTTAGCCCTTTCATCCAAAGTTCATACAAAACATATTTCCGTTTACACAATGACGCTTCAGATCAAATTTGGGCAAAATCTATTAAGTTGTTCATGAACAGTACCAACTTGTTGCAAAATTTGACGGACGGACGAGGGAAGTCGCGGTATGCCATAATTTCATTTGTTTACATGTGATGTAAGAATGTGTTGTAGACTACATCAGAATGCTGATAGTGGAGATATATCTATCCAGTCGTCTAGTTAAAATCACAAAGGCGCAATGATATAACATCTGAGCTTGTGTGTTTTAGGGGAGAACATAGTGTTGTATTTAAAGTGGAGGGGGCGTGACCATCACACGATTGTAAACACGCCCGAGACTTTATATCAATACACGTACACCGTATCATTTTGTTTTAGGGGAGAAAACTGATATCATATGATTTTGTTTTAGGGCGAGGACACTGATATCATATAATTTTGTTTTAGGGGGGAGAACACTGACATCATATGATTTTGTTTTAGGGGAGAACACTGACATGATATGATTTTGTTTTAGGGGAGAACACTGACATGATATGATTTTGTTTTAGGGGAGAACACTGACATGATATGATTTTGTTTTAGGGGAGAACACTGACATGATATGATTTTGTTTTAGGGGAGAACACTGACATGATATGATTTTGTTTTAGGGGAGAACACTGACATGATATGATTTTGTTTTAGGGGAGAACACTGACATGATATGATTTTGTTTTAGGGGAGAACACTGACATCATATGATTTTGTTTTAGGGGAGAACACAGACATCATATGATTTTGTTTTAGGGGAGAACACTGACATGATATGATTTTGTTTTAGGGGAGAACACTGACATCATATGATTTTGTTTTAGGGGAGAACACTGACATGATATGATTTTGTTTTAGGGGAGAACACTGACATGATATGATTTTGTTTTAGGGGAGAACACAGACATCATATGATTTTGTTTTAGGGGAGAACACTGACATGATATGATTTTGTTTTAGGGGAGAACACAGACATCATATGATTTTGTTTTAGGGGAGAACACTGACATCATATGATTTTGTTATAGGGGAGAACACTGACATGATATGATTTTGTAATAGGGGAGAACACTGACATCATATGATTTTGTTTTAGGGGAGAACACTGACATCATATGATTTTGTTTTAGGGGAGAACACAGACATCATATGATTTTGTTTTAGGGGTGAACACAGACATCATATGATTTTGTTTTAGAAGAAGAACACTGATATCATATGATTTTATTTTAGGGGAGAACACTGACATCATATGGTTTTATTTTAGGGGAGAACACTGACATAATATGATTTTGTTTTAGGGGAGAACACTGACATAATATGATTTTGTTTTAGGGGAGAACACTGACATAATATGATTTTGTTTTAGGGGAGAACACTGATATCATATAATTTTGTTTTAGGGGTAAACACAGACATCATATGATTTTATTTTCGGGGAGAACACTTATATCATATGGTTTTGTTTTAAGGGAGAACAATGACATGATATGATTTTGTTTTAGGGGAGAACACTGACATCATATGATTTTATTTTCGGGGAGAACACTTATATCATATGGTTTTGTTTTAAGGGAGAACAATGACATGATATGATTTTGTTTTAGGGGAGAACACTGACATCATATGATTTTATTTTCGGGGAGAACACTTATATCATATGGTTTTGTTTTAAGGGAGAACAATGACATGATATGATTTTGTTTTAGGGGAGAACACTGATATCATATAATTTTGTTTTAGGGGTGAACACAGACATCATATGATTTTATTTTGGGGGAGAACACTTATATCATATGGTTTTGTTTTAAGGGAGAACAATGACATGATATGATTTTGTTTTAGGGGAGAACACTGACATCATATGATTTTATTTATTCTATCTGTCTTTTTAATTTTATTTTTTAGGGGAGGGGGTGGGAGGGTACATTGATATCATCCGATTGTAAACATGCTCTAGATTTTTTGGAGTACATTAACATATGATTTTGTTTTAGGGGGAGTACATTAACATCCTCTGTGGTCGTGGAGTGATGAAACCAACAGAAGCGGTAAGGCATCCTGATCATGTTACAACTAGCGTATATATACATGTGATATACACTACTTCTGATCGAGATAAAGTTACTAGGATATTATAAAAACGCTTCATAAAATCATTCCATTGCCTTTATTGTTTTTGTTGCTCCTTACATGGTGTTGAAAAACAAATTTCTAATATCAAGGGAGGCAGTCTTACTCTCGTGGAAACGGACAAAACTTTAGGGATTTATAAGGTTGGTTGTCTCCGGGCTCTAGGAGAATGGATTAACGACAACGCCCTCGTCCTCGGCGGTATTATACTGGGAATTCTCATCCCGCAGGTAAATACACCGTTAGGCACAAGTTGATCAAAGCTCTGTTAGAATTTACAAGTGATTAATGAATTTGTTTTAAAACAGTGAAGAGAAATTGGTAACATTCTAAGTCATTTTAGAACTCTGAACTTGTTCAGACAGGTCAGAATAATATTAGTGTAATTTTTAACGTCCTGTATTTTAATTGGAAACTTTAATTTTTCACTATCCACTGAAAATAATCAATATGATTACCAGACGTTTGAACATTGTGTAAATATTAACTTTGTGTCGAAGTACTCCAACAATGTTAGAGAGATTCGCCGGTGCAATCAGGAGGACTAAGACTTCTAAGACCTGAATAGTGTAGAAGTATCGTGTTGAAAGTTTCATATCATGATTGAGTAAATCACCTTAGCAGAAAAAGAGTTATATGCAGTAATTAATCATGATGTTACTTTTTTCAGATATTCATAATGTGTTTGGCGAGATCCCTAAGAGACCAAATCAAACTACAGAAACTAAAATGGCGTCGTTATCGCCCATCAAATGACGATCATTTCAGCAAATGACGTGGACGACTTGATAAATGATAATAATTTTAAAAGAACAATATATACCTGTGTTGGCAGATCGTTTTAAAAACGGGATATTTACTTTCCGCCAACACGGCGCCATATCCGTGGCTTCTGTATTTTTTTTCTAATAAACATTCATTGAGGGATATCGTGCACATAACTTTAAGCAGTATAACGTTTATTTAGTGTCCCACACATTCCATTTAGTACGAGTTTTCAAGCAAAAGTAGAAACTTAATTATGAGGTTCTCTATTGGCCACGAAAAATCACATGCGTGTAGGACAGCAACCAGAACGAATATGTGGTTTTACTGCATAAAGAAATTTCTATTTTTGTGTGCTTGTGTGTGTAAATTCCAATTAATTATCTGACGAAATAATGACTCGACATTTAACAATTTATCAAAACGTGTTTACAAGGATAAAAACAATGTAGAAAGGGTTTCCTTAACAAAAACAACACATTTGTGTGGTATTGAATCTTAAGTAGTGCAAACATTTCAATTGTAATAAAACACGTTTCACTATCTCGATCGTCCAATATAGTTAATTTTGAGTAAATAAGGATACACATCGATTTCTGGACAACACTGACCAATGTACTGTAAATGAGGAATAGGACAGATGTGATGCTGATGGACATCTCCCTGGATTAAGATTATTGCATCTTTTGGTTGTTTTGTGCAAGTAAAAATAGATCAAGCTGGTCTGGAGAAGTTTGTATCTTTTTATTGCAAGTTCTTATCTAGAGGGTACATCCGGTGTTTAAAGACAATGCTTTCTTGACATACAAAGTATATCAAAAGATGAAATTACTAAGGTTGTGTTTTCTGTGGCGATAAAATAGCTCTTCGTTAAGTTCAACTTGGTGTGGAAAAAACACGATCTCAATTCCCATATGTTGGACGATCTTTTCGGCATTATTAGATATTTCTATGTATTACAACATAGTACAATTACGTTTCAAATTTAAAAGGAGCAAGCGTTCCTATTTTGTAAGGAAATGAAGATGTTCCCAACCTATCCAAAATTTTGCGGATGAAAATGGCCGGTTGAGGATTTCAGAAACTATGTTGATCGCACATTTACCTGTCATGATAAATCTGCTTCACACCCGCCATTCTACAAACACTGCTTTTGTGAGAACAAACAAGAATGACACAAACACATCTAGTGCTACAGGAATATTCTGCGTCTGATATCGTCACGTTAAAGTAAACCTATTGTCCACGTTTTACTTAATTCGAACAGTGGCATTTTCAGAATACACAAATATTTTTTTGAAGTTAAGGCATATCAACAATTGTGTAATTTATTGAAGTTTTGGGGTAGCGAAAGTCCTCATCTCTAAAGGGACGAAACGTGTATGATGTAGTTTAATTCATTATCTAGCTCTGCTGTATCTAATTTTGAATTTTATTAAAGGGTGTTTATCACTTGCGTGCCTCCTGTTCAATCTTTCTCACGTGTTTTGTACATCGAGATTTACTTATAATTCACCTCTGAGTAGCTACAGTATGTGCACCGCCAGTTCAAGTGCTGGCTGTGAACAGTATATATTCACAGTGTAGATAAAAAAATTTAAACAAGGGGTCCTACAGGCCTGCATCTCTTACCTGTTTTTTTTTAGTTATCACTTCAAAGCAGTTTTATTCAAAAATATATCAATATATTTTTCCTAAATGATGAGGAATTTTAAATATTCAAACTTAATTGGGTCAAAAATGCATAAACACATAAAATTAAGTCCCGAATTGGGCTCTGCCCCTCAGGTACCTGAGGGACGAGACAAAATTGAGTGTCTTCCACCCTAGGATGCTTCAGACGACCTCTAGACAAAATGCTGTCATTGCTACAGAAGAAAAATTTGAAAGAATTTATTTATATCATGTTTTATGGCCTGCCCCTCAGGTCCCATGAAAATCATCCCCCATATTTGTACAATTTTTAATCTACCCTGAATGCTTCAAAGCAAATATGAGTGATACCCAGTCCATAGTTCTACAAAATGAAGTTGTCTATAACAATATTGCCAAATTCCCCCCTTTTAGCCTCGCCCCTCAGCTTCTGGGGTTGTGGTCATCCCAGCAAGTTGTTAAAATTTTAATACCTTCCACTTAAGTATGATTCCGGTCACACTAAATTCAATTTCCATCAATGATTAAGCGTACTTGTTTGAAGAAATTGTTGATGCTGCGAACAGTGCAGTATGGCATAAGTTCACGCGATCCTTCCGGCCAAGTAAGCTAAAAATACTAATCAGATTCTCCAGAACATTGGTTTTGTATACTCTAATTCTTCATTTGTTATTCTGTCATACTGACATTGATATATTTCTATATTAAGATGTATATATATATAAAGATAGAATCTAGTAAGTAATATCGACAGTATGGTCCAATATTGGTACTGGATCCTAACAAACAAACGTTTGTTGGAAGCGCATTACTGGAATAGATATATGACCAATGAAGTAACAGCCCTACTGTTGCTAATATTTCATTGGTCATATATCTATAAAAAGACATACAAAATTTTCCTCACTCTAGACATACCTAGTGGCAAAATATGCAAGAAAAAAACAAAACATAAAAAGAATAATTTAGGATTTTATTTATCCATCATTCACTTTAAACTGTAAATATAATTTATCACAATATTCTTCATTATTGAATGAAGCTGATCCAATGAACACAGATAGTATAGATCTCAATAATTAACTAGAGATTTGTTTAGTGAACAGAAATATACGTCCCCCTTTTCAAGCAAATTTGTATATCTCCTAGTAGCTTATGTGGTAGGATGGGTGTGCATGAAAAAAAAAGTTAATATTCTAAATCTTGAATTTTCATTTTACATTGTGCTACTGTTAATAATGTTGGGAAGTTTTGGTGCTTTTGGTGTAGATAAATATATGTACTAAATACAGTACTTCTTGCATATATAATTACAGTATGGTTCTTTGTCAGAATGGTTTAGTGATATAAGAAAAAAAAGCAAGCAGGATATCAAATATTAATTCACATTTTTACATATTTGATGAACAAGTGTTTTGACTTATCCTCTCTCAATGATCATGTATCTATAGAACATTTACTGCTACTGAAATTCTTAAAAAGGACTATACATGTAATACTTTGGCTGGAGTTCATCAGTGTTCCAAACTGGGTCATGCCTTGAATAAATATTCTGGTCATTAACACAGCAGCTTTAGGTAATAAAGGTGTACACCAACTTTCAGTAAGATATTTTCAGCACGTTGAAAGTTATTGCCAAAATAATGAGAAAAAGAACCAGAAGAAGTAGTACTAAAACAATAGAAAACAATATGTCTTCATCCCATCATTCCAAGGGGAGACATAATTAAGCAAGGAAAGCACCATATACTTTAACCCAAATTAGATACAATTTCTTACCTTACTGATACTGATGCTAAGTGCTGTCATTTTATATCCAGCATTTTGCACCCAGTAACACTATGTCTACCATTTATACCTAAAGCTGCAACAGGATGTAGAATAAGAGAACTATGGACCTGAATTTCTACTGCTATGGTCCTACACAGTCACCTCCCTACCTATGACCATTCCCCAGAAAAGATAAAATCCATTCAAATTTTTAACTCATCATTCTGGGCAATTTCCTATCCTCTTTGTCTACTAGGGTCCAAGTATTCCTAATGGTATCAAACTAATTTTATTTTCCCCTTCTACCACATACAACCTATTTATCTTTATAGAAAATGAACTACTATTTGATCAGAGATTCATTTTAAATAAGATATGAAGTCAAACCTCTACATGAAAATATTGTCGTGATATGAATTCATTTTATTCTAACCAAGCTTTGCCAATGGGCCAAATTACACTGGGTGTGGTAAAAGTCTACAGAGACGTTTTGAATAAAAGTCTTTCAATTAAAAATCTAAGGCATAATCATGATTTCCTTTAAGCTAGTTATCTGACAAGGTAAAAACTAGTGGAAATCATTAAATGGTTTGATATCCATCAGCACAATCAACTGTCATGACCAACTGGCATCTCTGTGCCCTTGTGTAGCATCAGAAGAGTCAAACTGTGTGTCTTGTTGTCCATAGTTTTGTTGTGTAGTATCTCAATGTCCATGCCCTAGTGTAGCATCGGAAGAGTCAAATTGTGTGTCCTGTTGTCCTTGGTTTTGTTGTGTAGTATTTCAATGTCCATGCCCTAGTGTAGCATCGGAAGAGTCAAATTGTGTGTCCTGTTGTCCTTGGTTTTGTTGTGTAGTATCTCAATGTCCATGCCCTAGTGTAGCATCGGAAGAGTCAAATTGTGTGTCCTGTTGTCCTTGGTTTTGTTGTGTAGTATCTTGTCCATGCCCTAGTGTAGCATCGGAAGAGTCAAATTGTGTGTCCTGTTGTCCTTGGTTTTGTTGTGTAGTATCTCAATGTCCATGCCCTAGTGTAGCATCGGAAGAGTCAAATTGTGTGTCCTGTTGTCCTTGGTTTTGTTGTGTAGTATCTCAATGTCCATGCCCTAGTGTAGCATCGGAAGTCAAATTGTGTGTCTTGTTGTCCATAGTTTTGTTGTGTAGTATCTCAATGTCCATGCCCTAGTGTAGCATTGGAAGAGTCAAACTGTGTGTCCTGTTGTCCTTGGTTTTGTTGTGTAGTATCTCAATGTCCATGCCCTAGTGTAGCATCGGAAGAGTCAAATTGTGTGTCCTGTTGTCCTTGGTTTTGTTGTGTAGTATCTCAATGTCCATGCCCTAGTGTAGCATCGGAAGAGTCAAATTGTGAGTCCTGCTGTCCATGGATTTGTTGTGTAGTATCTTGATGTCCATGGCCTTGTAATGCAGTATTGGGTCTGTCAGTTTCTCTTTCTTGGTGACTGTTATTATCTTGACTATGTCTTGATTGGTCATTGTATCTACTTGTATACCTACCACTGTGAGGTCTGTCTGAAGCTTTACGACTTTGATGTAGGTCCAACCCTTTGTGATCTCTTGAACTGAAAGAGTTATACCCGTGGTGAGATTGTTGACCACTGTTTGAATTGCGCCAGTTTCCACGGGGTGACCTTGCATATTCTTGACCTCTGTAGTCCTGTCTTTGTCTTTCATAACCCATATCATGATCTCTAGTGCCATAGTCTCTATTGTATCTACCTCCATAGCGCTGACCTTGACCTCTAGAGTCATAACTTTGACCTCTATAATGTTGACCTTGACCTCTATAGCCATCACCTTTGCCTCTATAGTCCTGACCCCAGGATGTATCATGGTAAATGTGGTATCCATGACTCAGATGTAGATTGTGATCACCATCATTGTGCCCCCAGGAGTTGCCATGGTGGCTGTGATAATTTGAATATTCACTTGGCATGTCTCTCCGTCCTTCTTCAATCTCGTATGTGTATTCACCATAGTGATATCTATCAGCATTGGATGGGTCATATCTGGCATTGTCATGGTAACTGTTACTATGGAAACCTCTACTCTGGCTACCACTACTACCCAAATCTTGGTTATAACGACTCCGGTCATCTCTATAATGGCTACCAGCATGTTGGTCATAACGACCATGTTCTTTAGTTTGACTACTAGAACGCTCTGACCTATATCTCTTCTCAACAGGTTTATGTGAATCATTCCAGTTGGGCTTCTTCTGTTCAAGTGTGTGCCTTCCTTCATTCTTGTAGCCTTCCAAACTGAAAATACCCAAAACAGATGTGTATATTTACATCATCAAATGATAATTCATTACAGGTGATAAGATAATCTATCACACCTGTGATATTAACTCTGTAATGTATGACAGTTACATGTAGTATTTTTTCAGATATTTGGTTTATACAGGTAAGAATAAAAGGTATACATATATTTGGTTATAAACTGAAAAAGAAGTGACCTGTATAGACAGATATTTCCTTTAAAATGCTGCAGTTAAGACTTTCATATAATAAAAAACATTTTAGACAGGTATTTACATAGAGAGGTACACAGAAGTAACTATTATAGACAGGTATTGCTATAGAGAGGTACACAGAAGTAACTATTATAGACAGGTATTTCTATAGAGAGGTACACAGAAGTAACTATTATAGACAGGTATTGCTATAGAGAGGTACACAGAAGTAACTATTATAGACAGGTATTTCTATAGAGAGGTACACAGAAGTAACTATTATAGACAGGTATTTCTATAGAAAGGCTATAGCTGGTCATTCTGCGCCACTGGTGTTTACTATGTTGATCATGAGTTATTTCCCTTAGTGGAATGCTTGTATGTTTTCTGTTATTGTACAGACTCTGGTTGAGTAAAGATCGGTCTGATCTCACCGAACTGTTAGACGTTCGTCCCATTAATTATTGGCGTGGTGGCAGCGGTTTGAACTTACATACGCCCCTACAACAATGTGACGAGTTGTAAGCGATCGAAGCATAACAGGGCAGTTTATTCAATAGCTGTAAGTAGGTGAAATCTTGCACCGGATATACCAGTTGTGAAATTGAAAGTAACTGTACTATATCCCAGGTAGTGGCTTGAGATTATTGAACATAAATCGGAAGTAAAGCTACAGTTTGAATAATTTTTCATCACTTTAAAAAAAAAAAAAAAATCTGTGTGTGTTATCCCGGTCCAGACAACCTATTGTATGTACTCTACGTAATTATAGGCCTACAGTGTGCCCAAGTTATATGAAGATGGCTTCAACTCGTGCTCCAAAACAATGGTCTCTAACTAAAAATGAAACTATCACTTCTTTTGAAGCATGGAGACAGAATTTACAATATACCCTCTCACTAGACCCAAACTTCGCTATATTCCTCATTGATGGGTCAGTATGGACCAAGAAAAGTGCTACCAACCCAACTTGTGGCCTCACCAACGATAACGATAGAGTCCCAGAAGCTTCACGTCGCACAGCCGCTTAAAAAGTTGCCCACCTTGAATTAATGCTAGGGCAAATCGCAAATTATTGTCCAATTATCTCGCGAAGCACAGTAGTCAAACAGTCTACGTCAATACAGTCAATCTGGCAAGCTATCCGTACTCACTTCAGATTTCAATCCACCGGCACACACTTTCTGGACTTTGATACAATTAAGCTGGAGCCGGGGGAGCGTCCCGAAGACTTGTACCAGAGGTTAAACAGCTTCATTGAAGACGACCTTCTGCAGGTAGGAGGGGGGATAACCCATCATGGCACAACTCCTGAGTCCAATGAGGAAAGCTCGCCCTCTCTCGAAAACCTTGTCACGTTAACATGGTTGCGGCTCGTAAACAAGGACTTGCCATCCTCAGTAAAACGCTACGGCCCAGAGCTGCGGGCTAAGCCATTAGCCAGTCTCAAGCCAGAGATCTCACAGGCTTTAGATAGCTTATTATTGGAAATCCGCTCTAATAATGACGCAAAGGTACTTTGCACTGCCTTCAAAACAAAGGGTCACACATCGCCTGGTGGTTCGATAACGCGGACACAGATGAGCCCTGGAAAAATGTGCCCTCTTTGCAAGCAAGCAGGCAGGCCAAGGTTTGACCATTATCTAAGCGTGTGTAAATATTTGCCATCTGAGGACAAACAGTTTATGAGTCATGCTAGGCAATCTATCGCTGTTGACAAGATCATCTCTGACTGCGAAGACACTGCACCGGACCAGCACAAGAACTTTGAGATTGATGAGTCCGTACCTACTTCCCGTCGTGTTAGTATTAAACAGTCACCGCAGATGAAAGCCTACTTTGGCCAACGTGTCTTGTGTATTACACTAGACAGTGGCGCTGAAATCAGTATGATTAAAGCATCAACAGCAGACCATCTTGGTGTCAACATTCAGCCTACCAATCAAAATGCTTTACAGGCCGACGGTAGTACTCCTCTAGAAATTGTTTGAGAGACACATTTTGATGTAACCAGGGACAACACCGTTCGTCATATAGAAGCCCTTGTCGTCAAAGATCTTGATGTTGACGTTCTTGCCGGTATTCCGTTCTTGTCAAGCAATGACATCAGCATTCGGCCCGCTCGTCATGAAATTATGGTAGGCGACTCCTATGTCATTAAATACAATGTTCCATAACGACTCAGCCAACATAATTGTGTACGCCGCACACAAGCCTTTGTCCTGAGAACCCCCTCCACCACCATATGGCCAGGGGAACATATTGATCTCGGACTGCCAGAGGACCTACCGCCCAAAGGTATTGTTGCAATTGAACCTCGAATGGTAAGCTGTTCTTCTGTCGGTATGTGGCTGGAACCAAATATTGTTGATGCAGTAGGCGGAAAGGTACGAGTAGTAAACAATACCAATGAACCGCAACGTCTCAAGAAGAGCAACCATTTTTGCCAAGTGTTGCTGACGAAACCTGTACCTCATCACACTTTACCAAACGCGCATGTACCTACAGCTGTCAAAACTGGTCATAATAAAAGACCTTCCAGCAACTCCTACCACTCCGACTCTGTCAGAGTTGATCCGGATGACATCCTTTCCGAAGATCATAGGCTAAAATTTCGAAGTCTCCTCCGTGAACATGATTCGCTTTTTGACCCTAACTTTAAAGGATACAACGGCGCTGCTGGAAGATTTGAGGCCAACATAAACATGGGCCCCACACAACCTCCTCAGAGAAAAGGGCGTCTCCCTCGGTACTCAAAGGAGAAGCAACTTCTTTTGCAACAGAAATGCGATGAGCTAGAGTCTCTCGTGGTATTGAAGAAACCAGAAGACCTCGGAATAACAGTTGAGTATCTCAATCCTTCTTTCTTAGTGTCCAAGTCCAATGGTGGACATAGACTTGTCACCGCGTTCTAGGATGTTGGTCGTTACTCAAAACCCCAACCTTCCTTAATGCCAGATGTGGACTCCACTTTGCGTAGGATTGGCCAATGGAAGTATCTGATTGTTACCGATTTAACCAAAGCCTTTCACCAGATTCCTCTGTCTAGACAATCTCTAGAAGTATTGCGGCATCGTAACTCCGTACAAGGGCGTTCGCGTTTATACGCAGTGTGCAATGGGAATGCCGGGTTCTGAAACCATGTTGGAGGAGCTCATGTGTCGCGTGTTAGGTGACCAGTTACAGGCTGGTATTGTCGTGAAGCTAGCAGACGACCTGTATTGTGGTGGCAATACTCCAGACGAACTTTTTAACAATTGGTCGACGGTAATGAATGTTATCAACAGTTGCGGTCTCCGTCTGTCTTCGGCAAAGACCATCATTTGTCCCCGCTCCACGACAATCCTAGGATGGATATGGTCACAAGGACGACTTTCTGCAAGCCCTCACTAAATCTCTGTGCTCACGTCATGTAAGTCACCGGAATCTGTTCATGGGCTCCGTTCGTTCATTGGAGCGTATAAAGTCCTTGCTCGCGTTCTTCGAAGTTGCTCACAAAACATTGCTCCCTTGAAGATGCTATCTGTGGACTTCAGTCAAAAGACAAGATTATTTGGACAGATGAACTCTCAGAATATTTCCAGGTTGCTCAAACTGAACTCCTCGGTGCCAAAGAAATCATTATACTGTGTGAAAACGATCAGATCTGGATAGTTACAGATGGATCAGTCAGCAAGTCTGGCATTGGGGCAATTCTCTATGTGAGGCGTGACAAAAACATTCCACTTGCTGGATTCTTTAGCGCCAAACTTAGTTACATGGCTACCCTGCGAGGTTGAGGCTTTGTGCATAGCAGCCGCAATCAAGCATTTCAGCCCCTTTATCATACAGTCACGCCATACCGCGTGTGTCTTGACAGACAGCAAACCGTGTGTGTGCAGGCCATACAAAAGCTCCGTCGAGGTGAATTCTCTGCAAGCCCCAGGGTAACATCATTTCTATCTACTGCGAGCCGATACCAAGTCGACTTACAACACCTCGCTGGATCTGCCAATTTACCATCTGATTTTGCGAGCTGGAATGCAGCCGACTGCAATGACCCGTCTTGTCAGATCTGCAATTTTATCATACAGACAGAGGACTCCGTGGTTCGCAACACAAAGTCTCAGGATCCACTTGCCACAATTCAATCTCTACCATTCACAACTCGTTCCGCCTGGATCAGTATTCAGTCCGAATGTCCAGACTTGAGACGGGTTCATGCTCATCTCAAACAAGGAACCAGACCCTCCAGAAAGCTCACAAACATTCGAGATGTTAAACATTACTTAAATGTAGCCACTATCTCGAGGGATGGCCTACTCATAGTTCGTCAAAATGTCCCACTGCAGTCTTTGACAGAGCTCATTATTGTCCCACATAGTGTCTTAGACGGCTTAGTCACAGCTATGCATATTCGTCTTGACCACCCAACAAAGCATCAAATGCTCGTCCTCATGAAACACAGCTTTTACGCGCTTGATATGTCTACATCGATTGAGCATGTGTGCGACTCGTGTCATACCTGTTCATCGTTACGAAAGTTGCCTAAAGCATACACTGACCAAACTTCAGAGCCGCCACCTGATGCAGTTGGTGTTAAATTTGCCGCGGACGTTATGAAGCGTAATCGTCAAATGATATTTGTTCTGCGCGAGTCTGTAACAGCTTTTACCACCGCCCTCATAATCAGCGATGAAAAGTCAGAAACATTGTGTGATGCTTTACTTAGACTCTGCATGGAACTTCATCCACTCGATGGGCCCCACGCTGTTGTCCGAGTCGACCCGGCACCTGGATTTATGTCAATACGCGACGACATTCTTCTTGAGCGTTTCCGTATAAACCTAGAAATTGGCCGTGTCAAAAACCCCAACAAGAATCCTGTCGCTGAGAAGGCAGTGGCAGAGCTTGAGGAGGAGCTTTTGAGGCAAGAGCCTGGAGGTGGACCTGTATCTCCGCTGACCTTATCAATTGCTGTAGCCCGCCTCAACTCTCGCATCAGGAGTGCTGGGCTATCCGCTCGTGAATTATATACCCAACACAACCAGTTCAACCATGAGCAGTTGCCATTTGTCGACAAAGACATCATACAACACACTATCGATCGCCGTGAGTCTAATCACACGAGTAGTGCTCTGTCTAAGTCAGGAACAAAAGGCCCATATTCGCAGCCTTCGTTATCCATAGGAGATATTAACTACCTGTATTCCGATAAGGATAAGACAAGGGCACGCCCAAGATACATTGTAGTATCAATATCTGATGACTGGTGTTATGTCAAAAAATTCGCGGGGAGACAGCTGCGATCCGGTTCTTATAAAGTGAAGGCGAATGAATGTTTCCGCATACCTCCCGAGCTTTCCGTATCTGTGAACCTGTCAAAGTGTGAAGACGGCACAGAGGATGTTATAGAAACTACATTAATAACCCCACATAGTGAACAGAGCATCGAAAACAGGACCGAGACCCCAATCCCTCATATGGCTTCAACGGAACCATGTTCTATGCCCGCGCCCGTAGTACTATCTACTCCACCCGAATTGTTACATACAAGTAGTCCACCAGCAATGCGCGAGGACAACGAAACTGACGATGACCAAACTGATGTAGTTGACAGGCACACTCAACCTCGACCACAGAGGGAGCGCCGGCTGCCAACACACCTGAAAGACTATGTGGTCTATTAATAGTGATTTCTATCTGTGCCAGAAAGACATGTTTCAGTGTTTTATAACTCTTATGTTATAAATGACGTATTATGACATTTTCTTATATCATAAGATAATTCTTTTGATATTCTGAAGGTGAAAAAGATGAAAGGAATCACGCCACTGGTGTTTACTATGTTGATCATGAGTTATTTCCCTTAGTGGAACGCTTGTATGTTTTCTGTTATTGTACAGACTCTGGTTGAGTAAAAATCGGTCTGATCTCACCGAACTGTTAGACGTTCGTCCCATTAATTATTGGCGCTGTACTAAGTGACAACTTACAATGTTTTGGTGTGCAGGTCGGCCAGGTAGTTCTCTCTTTCAATGTCATGACCTCGTGCTGCATTGAAAGCTAAAAAGACATAAAAAAAAAGAGTTGTAACAATGAATTATACCTGTTACAAGATAAACAGTTTTACAGAATCCTACAATGAAGGTAAAATAATATCAAATAATGAGTGAAGGAGGGAAAGTCCAAACCAACACTGAATAATCAAGGGCTGTAACTACAGAGTATTCCACTTCAGTACATGTTAGATTAATTGATAAATGTTTGATTTAAGAATGTGTTAAGATTAAATCCTTACAAATGTGTTATTTCCTGTAAACTGCTACTGAAACATCAGTGTGGTTATTGAAAAATGTTTGATAAAGTATGAAAATTTGTGTGTGATCAACAAGTATATTTCCTCCAGTATATAAAACCAGTAAAGTGTATCCATGCCCTCCTGCATCTCTTACTACAAGACTGATAACTATCTGTTACATAAAAGTTACACATTTGATAACCAAGATTTTTCTTCAAAAGACTTGCCTGATATGGCTTCCTCTGGCTTAAAGGCTAGCCGTTCTATCATGTACCTGTAGGAAAAAAATCCATGTACGTATCTCATTCGGTGGTTTAGTTAACATCAAATACAGTGTTAGTGTTGGACTAACCAGATACACATGATCATTCATAATGATTTTGGAAACAGGTTAGATATTCCAAAGAATAAATAAACAGTTTAAGAAAAAGTTAAGAAAAATCACTGTACAAATTAGAAAACAAAGCAGATTTAGAGATTCTGGTCTTCCAACCAATTCTGTAAGAAACAAGTCAGTTTGGTGCATCAGAAAGTTAACTTCCAGGTTCAGATGTCCAAAAAACTTGTAAACTGTTTATGTCACATTCCACTTATTATCACATTTTACCTTGATAAATGGAGCATGATATTATGCAGATTTCACTATAATATAATCAGAAGAGAAAAAGAAATCAATAATCAGGTCAAATCTGAAATACTCTAATTAATCACATTCTAATATATTAGTGACATCAGCAAAGAGCTTCCAAAAATGTCCTCTCTCTTTGTTTTAACCATATTTTTACATAACCCAAGAAAAGTTTTCTAGTAGTACATGACAGGAAACCATCACTGAATACTCTCTCATAGTACATAAAGCACTTTGTTACAATTTTGTTGAATGTGGAATTAAACAGCAACTATAAAATGTGACTATTCACATTTATAAATATTATGTGACTTACCTACACACCATGTAGCCTGTCCTGTTAATACCATGGGTACAGTGCACTCCTACCACATCACCTGAAATTCGCAATTTTGTTTTTATTTATTTATCATTTGTGTTATCCTTCATTAACTTTCTATTTACTTTGTCAGTGCCTTACACTTTATTTCTGTAAACACTGACAAAATATGACATACATGGACTTGTAACCAATAGTCACACTACAAAAAAATATCCTACAACTAGACACATGAATATATATATGATACTTTGGCATACTTTGAAACATATGGCCTTGACACTTTTGAGACATATTTACATATAGACATATTAACTTACCAGTAGATATAAGAATTTCACAAAAATATATTAACAAAGTCAACAGCTTAGAAGGCATTAAATGATAGATGCATTTTTTATGTAACAATTTTTTTGCAATCAAAGGGAGTTAATTAATATGTGGAAGACTATTTTTTTTTGAAGTCATGAACCTTGACTTTTAACCTTCTAACCCTATAATGGCATCACCTTCCATAGTTCATAATTTCAAAGTAACACACAATATCAGACACCAGAAGAAGCAGAAGTGTTACCTTTTTCACTCATAGCTTTATTGGTTTCGATAGCATCATAAAACCTAAAAACAAACAAAACCAAACAGTTTATCATCTTTATTTGTCAGATAAATCTAAGGTATATCTTGTCACAATTCATCATTATTCAAAGAGTTATATCATTACAATAAACAAACATAATAAACTTACAGTTGTTACCATGAACATGCATCACCACATGTGATATTGTCATTACACTATAATGAACACAAGGTATTAAATGTAATTACTGACCTGTGAACCACATCATCGTGAGGTATCACATGTCCTTCTGTAAATATTTTAAGGTACTTGACTCCATTTTTCGTAAATTCCTGTAAATAAAAATGACAGGAATTCAGAAATCTAATATGGACACCGAAGTCAACAGAAAAGAATTGCCTGTTCTGCTCCTGCTACTTCATGGTGGGACAAAATTTACCATGATTCCCCATGGTTATAATTCTTTAAGACATGACTATGCAATGTCTTTAATTTTTGTTCTACTTGCTCTGTTCAAGGTATAATTTTCTTAACAAAACAAGACACGATGAGTTGTTCTTTTGTTACTGAGATCATGCTTCATTGTTTAAAAAGTTGACTCTGAACTTTGTATGCAGTGTTAAGTCTGTACATACTGATCCATCATAAAACAATGTGTCATCCTTACCATTAAACCATACTTACATCTTTAAAGTAGTATTTTGTAGTGAAGGTAAGATCTATGACCAATTTTAATTTATGCTGTTCCTTCTCAACATGATCAATCAATTGTTTCGGGGTGAACCTGTCAAAAAAAAGTGTGAAATCATCAACTTTACAAATAGATATTTGGAAAACTTTGTTTTTAGACTATGCTAACATATTTCAGCTCAGAATAAAACCTGCCATTGTCATAAAGCTGGGAAAGTCAGTTCTTTAACATGTTTTTACCTGGGTAACACAGTTTGATACTTACCACAAATCTGGTGGTACTTGTCTCAAAAGTCCCTTTAAAATGAGAAATAAACAGTGATTTGTTTTAAAATTGACATCACAACAACTGAATTGTATCATACCTCCTTGATTCTACCAATATAACAATCATTATTAAAAAAAAGGGGGGGAGATAAATCTATACCAGATATTTTGTAACCGACTGATCTCTATAGAAAGACTGGAGTTATTGGCTAAAAACACAAGCTTACCATTATAATTTTAGAGTCTTGGGTCATTATGGATGTACAAAATGTACCATTCAGTTGTTCATTAAGCAACATACCACTTGTCACATTGTAAAAGTGTTTCAATTCCTGTAAATCTTAAGCAATACCAGCTGATTCAGAACAAGGTGTCAAGATAAAGGACTTTATTCTGACAGTTCCTCCTTCAATCAGAGTTATTGAAATGAAAAGTTTAATAACGAGTTTTTATGTCGTAACAATAAAGATCTGGACATGTGGTCATGGGTCAGATAGTACTGTCCAGCAGTGATGGACACAAGACATGTCTGGAAACATAATTATTATTATATAACCATCCTTTTCAGGTATGTGATACTCGTGTAATAAATATCATAGATACAGGTAAAATAACACTATTGTAATGTTGTATATAAATGAATAAATATTAGTATGCCCCCTCTGTCTCAAAAATCTACCATCTTATGAGAAACATATGAGGGATTTCTGTTACACTATATTTGCTAATCAATTTGAGTCATATTATGAATATTATGAGTTTTGGGCATGTCATAATGAATTTATCAAACTTGTTTAGTAATATAACATTTGCCTCATGTGTTATGTTGTCAAATGATTGAACTCATTTAATAAATTCAATATGACATGACCACTCATGTAAAGTCTTGTAAAGGTAAGAGAAAGTTTGACATCCTACATCAACAGATTATGTCATTCTTATGAAGAATGAAGTACATTTTACAGAGATGAAAAGAAGCTTAAATTTTGGGTTATATGAAGTAGATGTGAAAAGTTCCTTACATTTTTCAGTGGTACTTTGAAGCACAAAATGTTAGTTCCTGGAATAACTTTTCCAACATTGGAATAATCAAGCCATCTGTAATGAAAACATAACCAGCACTAAATGTTTTCTTTATTTTTCAAAACAACACTTATGTAACCAAACATCAGTATATTACACAAAGTGTTTACAGTCTAATTGCTAAATAGACAATCCATTTAAATTTGTGTAACTGTATATATACTTTACCTTCCACAAATAAAAACTATGTATAGCAAAATTTTGACTAAATATAGCAAGATCAGCAGGGTTTTCTCTGAATTTGTGAACAAGAGTCTCAACTAGCAGGCCTACAGTCCAAGTTTAACAGTTTATAAATCAACAACAGGCCCATGGACCTGAATGGTCAGCTGACTATGAAGACCTATGTATGAAAAAGGGCAAATAGACCAATAAATTACTCAACTACCCTCCAGCTTACAAAGAACTTTGTAGCCATTCATCTCAACAGGCTACAGTCCCAACAAGTCTAATATCAGCAGCATGGACCTTGGTAGCCCTGCATCCCAGCATCATATAGATCCAATATCAGCACACTGAGAATTTTGGTTATTGAGAAGAAGTTGTTTAAAAGATCTTAAGATATTTGAGCTCTGTGACCTTGAAAGTATGTCAAGGTAATTCCTTTTAACAAACTTGGTAGCCCTTCATCCCATCATGCTACAGGCCAAATATCCAGATCTTGGACATTTTGGTTATTGAGAAGTCATTCGAATGGAAAGCTTAGGCATGGCAGACAGCTGACGATGACGGACGAAACACAATGGCTATAGATCATCCTGACCCTTCAGGTCAGATGACCTAACTTCTTAGAAGGCCTACAGTCCCCTCCTTCCCCACCCCAAATTCTCTGTGGGGGAAATCACTTCAAAGGATATTAGGTATTCTGCATTGACAAGAAATGTTTACCATTACCAAACCCTTCAACACCCCAGAAAAAGTATTCTGAATTTCTACTGATCTAATCATTCCCAATGAAACTCATTACACGTATGCTTTCATGATCAATTCAATATGTGTTGTCAGTATGACTGTTTTAATGAAAGCATTGGGTTTTAAGCTTTGGATCACTCTTTTCTAGAACATGGATTCCAACCAGACACCACAGAAGATGGTGTCAGATGTCTATTGAGTTACATCCCTACAAGATATCATGTTGCTTTTTCCTTGTGGGTTTTACTTTACCATTCAAAGGAGCATTTATTCCCTCTGCAGCATAGTAGTAAAAGCCTATAAATGACATTCATTAAACTTTCACTTTCATTTCCATTTAAAGGTAAAACAATGAGTTGTGATTTTAGAACGTGAGTATCTGTATTCTACCAAGTATATATACATGTATAGTCACATTATATTCCGACACACTATGTGTGAACTATGTTTACTGTAAACTATAGATAATAAAACAGGAACAATCTCATATGAAAATATTACTTTATATCGAAATAATCTGTAAGTGTTGAACGTTTTTGCTAGAAGCTACTTTGCTAGTTTTAGAACGAAGGCATTTTATATATTACCATTTAAATATATTTGTCAGTTTGTCTTGGAACACAAGAGACAACATACGGTTATTCGTTGTAGATTTCCCTCGCGTAAAAGATGGCCTTTGAATTTAATGATCTAGATAACACTAGTAGAGTGTTATATTCTCAATACGCTGAGTTCAATGTGAAACTGTGAGTCGACAATTGCGTCAGTTTATTTACACATACTTTTCAATCTGAATAAACTAATATCGAAATTAACAGACTAAGCTCTCGCCTTCACATCCATGTAAAATCACCACGACATCATTACAATGTACCAAAGTGAGACATGGTTTTCTTACCGATCTGGGGGTGGCATATTTTGACGGTATATCGTAGATTTGTTCGATGACGAAGACAAATACACAATTTTATCAACACTTTCAATTACTCTCTTTCGCAGAAGTTGGACATGCTGTAAAATCTTCATCTTTCAGAAGCTTGAGTTTCGGGAGCGTTCGATGACGAATACATCCAGTGTAAATGTACCTACCAGAGTTGTCATTCCTTAAGCGACTGCTATGGACAGAGATTGTAAATGAAATCGACCAGTACATAATATCTGGTCAGTCAAAAAAACTAAAAACAAAAAAGTCTCTCTTGTTCAGCTGTATACAAATTGATGTAAATCTGAATCCAGAGTTAACAAATATTCCCATAAAATATATGTTGTACAATAGTCAGGAGATGTTAGTGAATTAATAATAACCTAACAGTTTTGCCATAAAGATAAGTAAGAAAATCAAAATAAGGAATTAAAAAATGATCAATTCCTTATCATAAACAATACAAAACAATATTCAAGTTGTCTTGATTTAAACATTCATATTTATTGATATACTTCAACTTTCCAACATAAACATGGTAAATTATGTAACATAAAACAATAATATAAATATCCTTTTATTCTCTGAAGGATACAACTTACAAATGGCAGGGTATATTTCCTCAACAATTGATCATTATGTTTACTAATAAATCAGTCAGATAACAGAAAGTTGTAAAAAGCATTCCCCTCCCCCCCTCCCCCCCCCCAATCCACCGAAAAAAAAAAAAAAAAAAACATTGAACTTGGGCAGCAGCATCATCATGATATTCAGAAAAAGGATTTCATGTGTCAATCAGTTCTGATTCAAAACAAAAATCAATGCATAGCAAAACCACTTTATGTTGATATCAAGGTTCATCTTGGGAACAATGGTGAATGTCACCAGAACACCGATATTCATGGATGAGTCAACACATAGACATAGAAAGATACATAGGTATATGGATCAGATACGGAAAAATGGTCACCAGCTAACCAACCATGGTGGACACAATCTCTGTCAAATCCCTCACCAAAGTTTCTACACATTACATTATCAGAAAAACATCCTTATTGCCTGTCAGTAATGACCCTTGGTACATGTTGGAAGTGTTCATATAGAATTACAAGTGCAGCAATAATTACCTCTACTGATGACTAAAATGTTGTTTTATTTTTAGTCATAACTAAAATTTATTTGTGAAAAAGTAATGAAGTCTTGGAACTACATGTATTTAAACCTCTTTGATTTCAAAACAACTATAAAAGTACATTCTAAATTCCTCCTGCTTTACAGATGTGACCACTATTTATAATGTTGTTTCCTTCTGTCTTTGTCCTGCTTTACAGATGTAACCACTATTTGTAAAGTTATTTCCTTCTGTCTTTGTAATGCTTTACTGATGTGACCACTATTTGTAATGTTGTTTCCTTCTGTCTTTGTAATGCTTTACAGATGTGACCACTATTTGTAAAGTTATTTTCTTCTGTCTTTGTCCTGCTTTACAGATGTGACCACTATTTGTAAAGTTATTTCCTTCTGTCTTTGTCCTGCTTTACAATTGTGACCACTATTTGTAAAGTTATTTCCTTCTGTCTTTGTAATGCTTTACTGATGTGACCACTATTTGTAATGTTGTTTCCTTCTGTCTTTGTCCTGCTTTACAGATGTAACCACTATTTGTAAAGTTATTTCCTTCTGTCTTTGTCCTGCTTTACAGATGTGACCACTATTTGTAAAGTTATTTCCTTCTGTCTTTGTCCTGCTTTACAGATGTGACCACTATTTGTAAAGTTGTTTCCTTCTGTCTTTGTAATGCTTTACTGATGTGACCACTATTTGTAATGTTGTTTCCTTCTGTCTTTGTCCTGCTTTACAGATGTAACCACTATTTGTAAAGTTGTTTCCTTCTGTCTTTGTCCTGCTTTACAGATGTGACCACTATTTGTAAAGTTATTTCCTTCTGTCTTTGTCCTGCTTTACAGATGTGACCACTATTTGTAAAGTTATTTCCTTCTGTCTTTGTAATGCTTTACTGATGTGACCACTATTTGTAATGTTGTTTCCTTCTGTCTTTGTCCTGCTTTACAGATGTAACCACTATTTGTTAAGTTATTTCCTTCTGTCTTTGTCCTGCTTTACAGATGTGACCACTATTGGTAAAGTTATTTCCTTCTGTCTTTGTCCTGCTTTACAGATGTGACCACTATTTGTAAAGTTATTTCCTTCTGTCTTTGTCCTGCTTTACAGATGTAACAAACAAATTGTATTGGTAATATAATTTCCTTCAATATTTAATGTTTCTGTATGTCCTCTTGCTTTAACCCCCACAGTTATCAACTTTCCCCAACAGCCAGACCTGCCATACCATTAGACATGTTGACAATGGAGCCAGACTCAGTGGAATCTGCACTGTTTTCAGTTTTGGTTGTCGTCGCCTTTTTTTTTACTTCTCTTGATCCAAATATCGTACTGCCAACACGTACATTAGTGCTGCCCAATTCAATCTAAAAAGAATTGTATTTATATATTTAACTTATTATGTGAAGTAATTATTGTTATCTGTAAAGTGATGTAAAGCAGGCAAAAAATAGGCTCTATCATCTTACAATGTGTTTTTTTGTAAATGCTAGTACTTCAAACTTAACTTCAGGGATTTGTTAGGGTAAAACATTCAATAAAAAGCCATGTCACTTTTTTAATCTTTAATTCAGACAATTCTATTTTCATTATTCATAAGATGTCTGCAAGAGAGTCTTTAAGAAAAACTTATATTGAGTATAAAATATTAAAGGCATGAAAATGTCGAGATATAACAACTTACAGCATGTTCAAAGTCAGCAGACATGCCCATACTCAGCTCTAGTTGACCGACATTCATTCCCAGCTGTTTACATAAATCTTCTCGACATTGAAACAATGACTGTTTGAAAAGGAAAAAACAACAGATTTCATTAATATGAAGAGATAAATGTACAGCTACTTGTAAGCACATTTTTCAAAAAGAAACCTGGGGGAAAAAAGCATGAAGATTTTCTTCTTCGCAGTAAAAAGCTTGCTACTTTCCCTTGATAGCAAATTTCACTTGAACAGACTAATGTTATTGTCCTTTTTCAAATGAACCGAAACATTTCATTCCCCCAGGAAGAACTTTGTTAGGAACTACCCTGGGTTGGAGAGCCTTGAGTTGGGAAGTTTTGGGTTGGAGAACCCTTAGTTGAAAATCCCTATGGTGGGAACCCTTCATTGGACAGTCCATGCCTGGGGAGTCCTGAGTTGGAGAGCCCTGGGTTGGGTAGTCCTTGGTGGTACAGCCATGGGTTAGGGAGTCCTGGGCCGGAGAACTCTAAGCTGTGGATGGAGATATCTAGGTTGGAGAGCCCTAGGTTGGGGAACCCTTGGTTGGAGATATCTAGGTTGGAGAGCCCTAGGTTGGGGAACCCTTGGTTGGAGATATCTAGGTTGGAGAGCCCTAGGTTGGGGAACCCTTGGTTGGAGATATCTAGGTTGGAGAGCCCTAGGTTGGGGAACCCTTGGTTGGAGATATCTAGGTTGGAGAGCCCTAGGTTGGGGAACCCTTGGTTGGAGATATCTAGGTTGGGGAACCCTTGGTTGGAGATATCTAGGTTGGAGAGCCCTGGGTTGGGGAACCCTTGGTTGGAGATATCTAGGTTGGAGAGCCCTAGGTTGGGGAACCCTTGGTTGGAGATATCTAGGTTGGAGAGCCCTAGGTTGGGGAACCCTTGGTTGGAGATATCTAGGTTGGAGAGCCCTAGGTTGGGGAACCCTTGGTTGGAGATATCTAGGTTGGAGAGCCCTAGGTTGGGGAACCCTTGGTTGGAGATATCTAGGTTGGAGAGCCCTAGGTTGGGGAACCCTTGGTTGGAGATATCTAGGTTGGAGAGCCCTGGGTTGGGAAGCCCAGCGTTGGAGACGTTTTGACAGAGAGGTAAAATGAGTGAAAGTTAATCTGCCATGAAAGCTACCCCACATACAGTTACATGCATATCTATCTTTACATACATCAGCCTGGTGATTTTAGTACAACTACTAAAATTTATATCATAAAACAATAACTAGAAGTGATGGGAAATTGCTTACAATCCATCATCAATTGTTGGTTAAAATCACATATGCTTTTCAATGTATGATTATGTAATTGACTGACTGTATGTTCTATATTCAAAGAATGTGAATGCATTCTCTGTGTTAGCATTTTTTTTTTTTTTGTAAATTCACTGTGAAATATTTCACTTACCAAGAATTAACAAAGGAATGAATATTACTGGCAATTGGGAACTAAATTTTGTTTCTGCTAGAGCACAACAAAAAATAAGGCATCAATGATACAGATTATGAAAAATTACAATTGATCATCACATCAGATGAAGTTACAGGGCTAGATAATTCATCATATATCCTATTATCATCCCATCATTAGCAAATCTACCCCCTCCGCCTCTTAACTCTGTTACTGTGACTTTGACACTTATTCAGAGAATGTAAATTGATGTGAAGCATTTATCCTGCAATAAGTCAATATCTGGTAATAGGCCCATGTCTAGTAACAAGTCCATGCCTGATAATAAGCCAATGCATGATATTAAGGCCATGTCTAGTAATAAGCCCATACCATGTTGTAAGACCAACCAGATTCATCACCATTCAGAAGCACTTTCAACATTTATTAATTCAATGTCCTGTAATAAGCTTGCCATCTGACTCTGAGGCAGGGATATGTTGATGGCCTACAGGCTTATTATGAAATATAAATAAAGTATAACCTGGAAGTCTGGGTTCGGTCCTGTTGATAAGTCATGATTGAATGAACCGATGGTCATCAGTCCGGTCACTTCCAAATTGATGCATGTCTCTTGCACAAATTTGTAAATATCCACGACTTGGTCCGGAGGACAGCCAGCTTTATCTGATAAATACATTTGTATCCTGATGAGACCTTGATAGTTGAAACCCAAATGTAAGGAATTGATAAGATTTCAATAAAGTGGAAATAAATATTGAAGACAATTTAAAGATGCAAAAAGGAAGATGTCTTTTCCTGAGGGAAAGGAAAACATTTTTTTTCTTACACTGGACAAATGTATCCACCCTATACCCTAGGAGGAGACAGGGGATCCACATGTCAGAGCAACGTATGATGTCTTGTCAACAATGATAAGAATGAGAAATCAACAACATTACAAATATAGAAGCCTGAAATGGCAAGAAACATATGATCACAAGTCTTGCATTTGCCAACTTAAGGAGCTTTCCTCAAGTTGAGATCACCCTATCTTACCCCCAGGGGAGTGAAATATTCTATTGTTATTTACTAGCATTAATGGGAATGCAAATATCATGTGTGGGAGACAATATTGATCAGTGCCTAGTTTCTGTACTTCAGTTCCTGTACTTTAAGTATCTCTTGATTATTGTTTTCTTACTTTCTTCATTGCTGGTGTTGACTTGTATCATTATCTTAAGAGGGTCTGCTTTCCCCAGTCTTTTCCATCCATTATCCAGAGATTCTGCAAGCTTTGTTGAGTCCACTGTCTCTATCGTGTGCAAGTTGGGAACAGCTGGATGAAGAAATGAGAATCAGTGATAGGTAAATCCATAAATGAATGTGGGTTGTGTGAGTACGAGTGAAGTGTAGATCAGATTGCAGTGGGTTAGGAGGTGAAGTGGTGGAGGGATGTAGGCAAACAGGGGATGATCAAATGGAGTGAGATTGGGAGGCAAGACTGAGTGAGGAGAAGTAGGGGTGAGGTGAAGGAGGGATTAGAGTGATGTGGAGGGAGAAGTGGGGAAAGGAAAGGGTGAAGTAGAGAATAAACTGGGGTAAGTGTAGTGAAGTGGACGAGGGAATACAGTGAGGGAGGGGTCAATTGGGGCTGGAATTCGGGTAAAGAAGAGATGAGGCAGAGGTGATATTAAAGAGAGGTACAGGTGAAGTAAAGGTGGGATTGGGTTTAGGAAGGTGAGAGATGAAGGTGGAATTGGGATTAAGTAGAGTTAAATGTAGGTGGGTTCAGGGAGAGGAAGGGATGAAGTGAAGGGTTTGGGGTATGGGTTATTGTTGCTTTACTTACTATTTACATTTATATTTTCAGCTAAGGACATGCTGGTATGGAGGGTGGAGGAAAGCTGGATTTCCCCCCAGAAACCTAATGACCTGTGGCAAGTACCTGATGACTGTCCATATAGGCCTCATAGCTGTGACCAAGAGATGGAGGGCTAGTAATAAAGATGGTCAGATGCCTTAACCACTCAGCAACTGCATCCCCTCAACTCTAGGAAGGAGTGGGGGAAGTGGGATTAAGGAGAAGTTATGATTAAGTACAGATGGGATTGGAGTGGGGAAGAGGTATTAGGTGTATCCCTGATATATTTATTTATTACTTAAACAGAGCTAAATCCCTGCTTTTTTCAATGTTTATGGAGGAACTTGAAACTTAGTATTTAGTAACACTTAACAAAGGATGTTACATAAACACGTCTCTATTCATGGTAAGCAGATCTAGGCTGTTTACAAAAATTCCTGACATCTCTAATAATGTCTAAAAGGTCTGTTAAGGATCTTAGCTCTAGCTGTTAGGACTTTTATAGGTTCTATATTAGTTTGATCTCGTCCCTTTTCTTCTCTTTATTATGGGCTATACTGACAGGCAGATCCATCATGTGAAAATACTTCAGAGGGAAAATTTATACATGATGTTGTAAGGAATATTTTCCTCCCATTCATCTTGATAGTTTTAAATATCGCTCTACAGACAACCATTTATTAGTTATCTTGATTTTTTTAATCACTCACAAAATTAATCACACGTAACTAAGAAATCAGAAGAATTAATCACACATAACTAAGGAATGAGAAGAACCTACATATGAAAGTTAAGAACACTTGAAATTCTCTGAGAGAAAGAGCGATAATTTGAAAACAATTATATCAAAATCCAACTTGGCCACTTGTAGGAAATATTGCTTTTCCTATCAAAACTGAATATGGGTCATAAGGACATTCGAACTAAGGATCAAGGGGATCCTACAAATCCTATTTCAGATCAATCCAGGACTTCTTTAGAACCCATAACAACAAGGAATATTTAAGGATGGACGATGGACATGAGATTACTTGAAAAGCCCATTATCTGATAATGGTGTACTAATCACATCAGCAATACTCACACAGCAGTTTTCCAACTTTATTTCTTTGAAGATGTCCAATGAAATGCCATTTAATGTCTGAAAGCTTTAACAGCTGAAAGGGAAAGTAAAAATAAAAACAACAGCAACACCTTAGAATTAAATTGTCATTTCTATTCATGTGATTTTTTTCTTTATTTCTCTCTGTCATCAAATATAACAGGTATGATGAAAATGTAACAAAACTTTACCTAGCTATCTGCCATCTTGATTTTTTAAAGTAAATAGTAAATATACCATGATAAATTCTTTCAATTTTTAGTTTATTTTTTCATTCAATTTCAAATTAAAAGTGAAGTCTGAATAGACTTTCTTTGTATCTTAATAAAAAAAAATGTGAACTAATTATTGAATATTTTATGTACAATTCAATGTATACATGTACCCATTACTTACATCAGGATTTTGTCCCTTTTCTACCAATTCTGTTACCTGTAACAAACATTGAAATATGGTGCTAAATAAGTACCATTCAAATTCAACATAGATGCAATCGATAACTTACAAAATAAACTCCAACGTACAATGATCCACATTCATGTAGTCCACATTTACAATGTGGTATATTGAATAATTATAACTTACATAATTTTCTCCAAAGTATCGCTGACCACACTCATATGCAGTTATGATAGATTCTGCTGGCTTTGTTTTGGTGACAGCCACAAGTCTAGGTTGGACAGCAGGCAATGACTGTGAGTAAGAGTTAAACTAATCTTCAATGGTGTAAAAAAAATAATAAACAAGAAAATAAAAGTGTCAACTGGATTGCGAAGACTTCATATATATTGCCAGGCATTTTGCACGAAAAACAACAGAATCTAATTGATATATTGCATGAGGGTTAACAAATTTGTGAAATACTGAGTCTTTAATCCAAAAAAAGTGAATAGGCACATGACTACATCATGAAATCACTCAAAGGTTTCCAGAGTTATACTCAAGAGAAGAACTTAAGTGACCAGAATATGTAGAAATTGTTGGAACTACTAACGCTGTCTACTATGTCACATAACGTCTGATTTCAACTTTTAAGTACAACCATAGATGACAATGCATATAAAAACACTAAAGTCCAAGATACTGTGATCAAATTAATTTATCTTGAATTGTGTCTTATCTCCGGTTAAAACATCAGAGGATTAAATTCTTAAAAGAGTTCCAATGTTTAGACTAAGTGTGATGTTTGACAGAGACTGATGAGATACATCAAACTTAACAGGTTTTTTTAATCATATGCACTCGCGATAACAAGGTTCAACTGCATTTCTATAGTCCTAACACTGGATATAAATAACAACTGGATGTCACATAAAAATAGTGTAATGACAACTAATATGTCTGGTCCTGAGACTGAGCAGATACAATAAATGGATGTCATATCAGCAATATTTAAATGACAATTTCAGGTTTGGTCTGAATCACTCACCTTCCTTTTACTCCTTCTTTTATAGATTCATTTTACATGAGATGAAGTTCAGAATCAACAATGAAAACAAGCCATCTGACTCACAATATTAAAATTACTCAAAGTAGAGTTTCAGTGGTATAATATATGAGATGTGTAAAATATATCCAGGCTTAACTGCAATAGATCTAGCAATGGTACAATGAAAGTGATCCTAGTGATTGTCTGTATCTATGTCATAGATACCAATGCTGGTTTTTGTGCATCAGGAGGTAGAGAGAACAATGTGTTTATTAGCCGTGCTTGGCAATGGAAGAGTCAAATCTCTCAACTGTTGGCACACACACACAATTGTATATTCCTGATGATGCTAGTCTATCAGTTACGAAAAAAGTTCTTGTGTTGTAAGTAATGGCAATCTGAACTTGGAATGGTTTGCTAGATTACATAACTTCCCAAATTCCTTGATAGTCTTGATATTACTGAGACGATAACTCCTTAAAGATACACAGACGCATACATCGTTCTTGAAAGCAATAAAATATCACGTTATTCGTCACAGAAAATTATGTAAGCGTCAGCTTCCAAACTATATGGAAGTTCGATATCAGGCACTGTATTACTGGCGAGGTATCTATTAATTGCCTAGAAATTCATATATTGTTCCTGTAAATTTAGACAGTAGCTGTCGGCAGACACCGGCAGTTATAAACTTACCACTTGCCCCACCTTTCCCCCTCCCAAGACAACACCTTATATAATTGTATAACATCTTGAGCAGTGTTGCGTGATTACCTCGGGTCTTTTCGATGTGGCTGTCTCAATCTTACATAGAACCGACTTTAAAGCTGTTGATATTGTTGAAATCTGCGGTTGCTGTGATGATGCCATTCTAGTCAACTGTAGCTGGAAGATTTTTGACATTATCCCGTTTTTCCAGTAGTCATAGTCATTGTGACGCTTCAAATCATTGTCGTTTCAACGTTTCACATCTCATCGCAGTCGTAATTATAAATTTGTTAAAATATGAAATATGGACAAGTGATTCATCAATATTGCTTCCGGCTAATTGTTTCTCCCCCGTCATCTCGTAGATTTCCACTAATATCTAGTGGGCTATGAAATGAGAGAAGCTAGATATATTATGTAATTTAGTTGTCTCTAATTAAGCCATTTTTTTTACCATTTTCTCGCCCCCCATCCCCCTCTCCAATCGACTGTCAGGCTTATCACTATACCATACGATGTACTAAAGGAGTGAAATGAAAGGCAACAATAACTGTGAGATCGGAATGAATTTGTGCTGAAAGCTATTCTGTGACTTTTAATGAATACTCTTGTTTTTAGCCTCACCGGAACTCATCTAGGTGTGTAACGCGCTTCAGGCTTGCATTCGCTGTAAACTAAATACGAGCGCAAGTCATGTCGCTGATATCAAAAGTATGTTCCTCTGCCTCTCCACAATATGAAACTCTTTCTCGCTTGACATGTTTCCCAGCATTAACATTTGTTCGATGGCGGAAACCAAGACACGTTCCTAAAGCCCGTAGTAAGATATACGTCGTTAGGCAGCCAACACCAAGGGATGCAGAAGAAACGGAACTGATGAAAAATTGTAATAGAAATTACAACACCGAAATGAGAGCCATCAGGTAAAGATAGGATAAAATTATTACTTTAACTTGACATTTGCTCTCCGCATTTTACAAAGGATTGTGAAAAATATCATAAATATATTATGAAAAAAAATCATAATTCATTTTACTAACACATACGTTAGCTTGTGATCCATAATCCTCTCTAATTAAGCTTATGCCGCTCAACAAGTTAGAGCAAAGAAATAACCTTGGCCCATATTCAAGGTCGCAGGGGTCAAATAATTGTACTCTAAAACAACTTCCTCTGATCAACCAAAATGCTTACTGTACAATAATGACATTAGCCAAGTTTACGAAGAGAAATGACCCTGACTTAGGCTGTGTCGTATATGTCAACTGCTGAGTAACTAAAAGGTTTGGAAGCTTGCTAATTAATCGATAATTACAAATAACTGATATGTATATAGGTGAAGTTCAACATAGTTTTCAAAAAGAAATGACATTGATTCATATTCAAGGCAGCATGTTCCAAATTTATTTCAACACTATTAATAACTTATGATTAAGTGAAAGACCAAGGTCTTTATTCAAGATATTCAAGGCAAACAGCTGGCCTTCTTGGGAATAAGTCTTACAAATGTCGCATGAAGAAATGACCTTGATCTGTATTCAAGGACATAGATGTCAAATTTGTCACATTTCAGTTTTGAACACTAACCAAGGAATAGAGCCAATGCTGTTACATTAGTGCAGGTTCAGAGTGTTCATGATACTCTTTGCTCGGATACCACCTGCTACACTGGGCGATTGAGGAATAGGGACAAACTAATAAGGGATGGGTCCAGGATGAGAAATTTCTCAAAATTCCTTCTTGATATATAGAAATGACAGAATTTTGTTCAAGTTTGATCTTAAGCATAATTTGATGAATGGAACACAATTTTGTGCAGAGAGCATTTCCACTATGGTAGACAGATGAAATCTTTGAAATCCATCATGTTTTCTTGCAATGAAAGTGCTTTGCCCAAATTTCTTTTTCAAATGGGTAAAGATGACTTGGTTTGCAGTGGGCAAGGAACAATATGAGAAATGAAGCTATAGCAAATTTGGGGACAATGTATCAATGTAGTTGTAAATGAAAATGCTTTGAAGTGAAAAACTGAAATATACAGGCCACATGGGCCTCCTGTTTCAAAACTTTTTATTTAGATTGCATCCTCATCTTAATTTAAGTGTTTTCTAACCAGATTGAACCATGATTTACATGTGTTTTAGATCCCATTTGAACCAGGTAATAGAGGAGACAAATAAATTGAAGAAAGTAAAAATGCTTACACATGGAAAGCTGGATAGGGAGCGTGAGTGGACACGGATGACTACAGAGAATGAACGATGGAATATTAGAGTAGCACAAAATCGGTAAGTGGTGAAGAGTATATTTCATTACAATGGGATTGGATAGCAAGCTAGGTCTATATAAATCTTTTCCAGTTATGAACACCGGTACATATGTATAATATTTAGACAAATAAAACAAAATTGAAAGTCTATAATAAAGAACAGAAGATAAGTAAATATATTTAGATGGTCATTGAAAAGATTACCCATTGGTTGTAGTGAGCTAATAGCCTCCAGGAAATATAACAAATTATCCAAAAGTAAATATTTATCTTAACTTGAAATTTCACAGAAATATTAGCTGTTAGGATAATGGGATCCAGTCTTAAGTCCAGCTCACACGAGTTTCTGGCCTAGTATACATGTTATAAGTTACATGTCCTTTAATTGTGCCCCTATAAACCAGTTATGATTTCAAAATTTCAGTGTAAATGTCCAGTGTAAACCAAACATGATGTCTGTTGTACTGTCCAGCACTGTCAACCAAAAATTTTGTCATTTTGTCCACCACTGTAAAATCAAATAAAAAGCCACTTCGTCCAGTATAAACCAAACATATAATCACATGACATTGTCTAGAATAAATGAAATGTGATATGATGTCATGAACAAGCAAAATATAATATCACTTGTACATTTCTGTCAAATCAAACATAATGTCACAATGTCCAGTATAAACCAAACATGATGTCATTGTGCCCTGTATAAACCAAACGATGTCATTGTGCCCTGTATAAACTAAACATGATGTCACAGTATCATGTATAACCAAACATGATGTCATTGTGCCCTGTATGAACCAAACATGATGTCATTGTGCCCTGTATAAACCAAACATGATGTCATTGTGCCCTGTATAAATTAAACATGATGTCACAGTATCATGTATAACCAAACATGATGTCATTGTGCCCTGTATAAACTAAACATGATGTCACAGTATCATGTATAACCAAACATGATGTCATTGTGCCCTGTATAAATTAAACATGATGTCACAGTATCATGTATAACCAAACATGATGTCATTGTGCCCTGTATAAACCAAACATGATGTCATTGTGCCCTGTATAAATTAAACATGATGTCACAGTATCATGTATAACCAAACATGATGTCATCGTGCCCTGTATAAACTAAACATGATGTCACAGTATCATGTATAACCAAACATGATGTCATCGTGCCCTGTATAAATTAAACATGATGTCACAGTATCATGTATAACCAAACATGATGTCATTGTGCTCTGTATAAACTAAACATGATTTCACAGTATCATGTATAACCAAACATGATGTCATTGTGCCCTGTATAAATTAAACATGATGTCACAGTATCATGTATAACCAAACATGATGTCATCGTGCTCTGTATAAACTAAACATGATGCTACTGTGTCCTGTATAAACCAAATGTGATGTCACAATGTCATGTATAAACCAAATGTGATGTCACAATGTCATTTATAAATCAAACATGATGTCACAATGTCATTTATAAACCAAACATGATATCATTGTCAAGTATTTACCAATCATGACACCAGTGTAAATCAAACATTATGTCACATTGTCCAGTATAAAAGTCAAACCTCAAGTCACATTGTCTTGTTTAAATGTAACAAAAATCATGTCACATTGTCCAATATCATTGTCAAACATCAAGTCACATTATCCAGTATAAATCATACATATCAGAATATTCATGAGTGTGCCACAATAGCTGAGTCGGTAGAGTGTTTGCCTTTGTAACTTCAGGTAAATGTCCGAGGTGCATGGTTTGATGATATCTACCTGTTGTAATAGTATTTCAGCTGACAAACCCCCCTACCCACTCAGTATTCCTGATATGTCTTTGAGCAAGATGCTTTATTCTGACTGCTCTGAATGGTGATGGGCCTCCAGTATGTTGTTCAGTAAGGTAGCTACCAGCTATTACAAAGAGATCCTACCTCAAGCTAAACCTGACTGTTCATATAGCAGCATTAAACCCCATAATGTTAGTGATAGGATGAGATGAGATCACACTGTAAAATCAGATATTTTTGTGGGTTCTGATTTTGTGGTTTTATGTAAAATGTATTTTCTTTGACATTAAATTTCATAGTTAAATATTACATACAAAATCCAGCAAAGTTTAAACTCAGAAGTATTTATAAATCACTTTGTGGCATATGCATTTGTCGAGTTCCCACAAACTCAAATAAAAATAAACCCCCACAAAAATAAAGTATTTTACAGAATCAGATTGTGATGTCAAGATATGTTTTTATGATTATGGGAGGCCAGGTAGTATATTGTTAGTATACTCGCCTTCCCCTAGATGACTTGGGTTCAATTCTCTGAAAAGGTCTGGATTCACCTGCCCAACCACAAGGGTTTTCCTTTGATTTTCTCCCACAGACAACTTTTGTGCTTCAGTCAAGCTAAAAAGAATGATTTATATATGCTATAAGCTTGTTTCGTAATTGTTGTAAAATAAATAAAATTGATACATATGATGGAGTCTTTTCTTATTTTCAATAGGGAACTGAGACAAGCTAAAGATGCTGCAGTAAGATTGGAGGAGATCAACAGGATTAAGGCTGTCCAGGACAGGAGAGCCACTAGACGTCATAAAGAAGCTTCAGAAAGGGTTGCATATGAATTGGTAATTTTCTTCTGCTTCTCGTATTAAGTAGAGATATTCTCTTCATAGGTAGTACAAAAACATCATTTCAAAAAGATTTTTTAAAATGTTAAATTTTGTTAATTTATTCATAATTTGAATTGTTTCTTTTTGGAAAACCTTGAGTATTATGATTGATGTTTCTTTAAAAAAATTTCCAGTTTTTCTGTAGTAATATAATTAAGATTGAGTACAAGATATGATTTGTTTTCAACATTAGCTTAAAAAAGCATTTTTGGGATTTCAGGACCAGATTGATAAATTTATCACGGAAAGTAATGTAGACGAGGTGATTGATGATGTACTTGACACTTCTGAGAGCTACTTATTTGCAGTTGACCTTTCAGGAAATGTTATAGGAGCCAAAGCAAACCCTGAAAAATTGGAGTCAAAAGTAACAGATGAGCCAAAAACGTGATATGTTTTGATTAAAATGATATAGTCCAAATGAAGTTTGTTTTTTTCTTTGTTCAGGACAAACTGTTGTAGTTAACTGATATTTTCGTACTTAAAGATTGGATTAAAGAAAAATCGAAACATCCGACATTTTTAATGCCAAGAGTTTGTGCTATGTCCTATCTTCATATAAGGTAATAGTTAGTGCCCCCGTTACAGTGGTTAGCACTCTACATATAGTAATGTCTTTGCAATCAATTAAGTATCCCCACAATGGTTTCCATCTCCATGTCATCTAGTTTGTCTTATCGTCGTCCAAGTATATGTTTGTCTGATCATCATTATAAAGGGATAATTTGGCCAGTCTGTCATCCAAGTATATATTTATCCTATTGTCATCCAAAGTTATAATTTGTCCCGTCATCGTCATCCAAAGTTATGATTTATCCTATCGTCATTCAAAAGTTAGCATTTGTCCCATCATCATTTAAAGTTATATTTTGTCCCATCATTATCATTCAAAATTAAAATTTATAATTTGTCGCATCATCATTCAAAGTTATCATTTGTCCTATCATTGTAATCCAAGATTGTAATTTATCATATTGTCATCCAAGGTTATAAGTTGTCCTATCATCTCCATCCAATCTTTATTTATGTCCTATTGTCATCCAAGGCAATTTGAGGTTTACTACATATCTTATTTCTTAAATGAGGCAGAAATTTTTAAATGCAATTTTTCATTTATTCCCCGATAGGATGTTGTTCCAAGAGATGAGTGTTCAAAACTACAAAACATAAAATTGTAGACAGGACATTTTTGAGATACAGCTTTTCATTTATTCCATAATCAATATTTAATCCGTGTAACTACGCTGTACATAATAAAACATTGAGCACATTTGACAATAACAAATGCAACTTTGTAGAACAAATTTTAACAAAGAAATATTTCTGAACAACATAAACAGGTTACATTATCAAAGTGGACACTTAGCGGTATAAGAAATATGAAAAATTATGTTCTTTTCCTGATATCATAAGTGGATTTAACTAATGACCACATGCTTGAACATCAGGAAACATTGATGAAATCTGCATTTGACAAGTTTCTTAATAGTTTAAATGCGAATTCAGACCTTGTGGACCAACAGGAGAGTGAATATTGATTGCTTGTGAAAATTCTAATTACAGAGTATTAAAATTAATTCCATGCGATTATGTCTCCTTTGACTTTCTTTTAACAATAAAAATATGTCCCAGAAAGTGTCTGAATCGGATATATCCCCCCTCCATCTAATAATGGTCCAGATGCTGACAGTACAATAAAACAGCTTAGTCCATTTTTTTCATACCTTTGCCCTTCGACATAAATATATCTTCTATCTCAGGGCTTGGAAAAATCATCTTCAAAGTCATGCGATACAAGTGTTTTGATGTATCTCTCCACTCTATATATCTTTGACTAAAACAAAAATTTTTAACATTAACAGTAGTATTGAATCTTTCCCAGTGGAACAGGATATTTCATATACCATAAACCAACTTTCTTTTATGTGCCATTTACGTTAACCAATGAAGAAAAATCGCAAAAAATAAAAACAAGCTATCTGATGATAATGAACTCCAACTGTCATAGTTAACATTTGTTGTGTTATAAAACGACTATTTATCTCCATGCTATTCTGAATATATGTGTCCAGTACATACAACTACATGAACGACTTGCTTCATAAATGTATAGTAAAAGAGAATTAATTCCCTTGTGTTGAATTCTGAGGAGCTTGTGTAATGTAAATGAAACACTCCAGTGATGATATGGAGTGTCTTTGAATTCTATGACTTGATCACCTTCATATGAAGCCATGCATGCTTTAAAATAACTGACTGACCTCCATATTACAATTCAAACAAAAACATGAATCACTTCATGAATTTGAATGCTAATAAAATTGGTTTATTCCCCTGGGTATTATACCATGTGCTGTTAATATGGTGTCAAAATGGATTCTGGTCTATGAACAGGTCACTACCTACCTGTGCCCCTCAAACACTCTACCATAAGCTTATTTGTAGCCAATTTTACATGGGATATTGGGCTCCCAAATGGATTTTAGTGAAGACTACAAACTATGAATTTTACAATGGTGGCTCAGAATTCGCAAAAGTGAAAGACTGTGAACTTGTAATATTACTGAAATCATCAAAATTAACAGTGGTGAAAGACAGGTGATTTATGGTATGCAGATTCTGTTGTCTCTCCTGCTTCCATATTGTTAAATAACTCCAAAATTTTGACACTAGAATAAACATTTGGAAAAATCCCTAGATAAAGTGTTTATATAGTAATGACAATAATCCATCAAGAACTGATATGGCCTACCATTTAAACAGTTTTGCTAAAAGTTTTTTTCAAGTTGGTGGTGGGTTTACACATCGTACTGTTTGGGGGTCCTTATTCGTCTTGTCCGAGTTGTGGCTACATGGACTTTAGTAGGGGTTACATAAGATGTTGTGACCAATGGAGATGCTACACCCTTACTGGTCAAAGTTTTATTGGTAACCGATACACAGGACATCTGAGTAACTGATGCTTGTGTGCCACTCATGGCTATTACAGCTGCTGTTGCCGTGCCAACATTTTTAGTGTCTGTCTCACTTCCTTGTGAAGTGCTTGTTGGCTGAGAAGTACATGCAGTCATTGCCAATGGTGATGGTGTTGATCGATGAATGACTGGACTTGATTCAAGAAGAGATGAAACTTTTCCTAATGTTTCTGTTGCCATGACTACTTTAATATGTTTCTCTTGTGTCTGTGCTGGCTTGGCAACAGTTGTCATGGAGCCACCACTCATTAAAGTTCTCTCTACTGTCGAGGCTAATCCTGTTGAAGGTGATGATGTGGCTACCATGGAAACTGTCACACTTGGAGTGCAAGTGGTACTTTCTGTGACAGAAGATGACTGGACAGGAAGTGATGAGACGACTGGAGGTGTTGTTCCACTCTTTCCAGACGTTGTACTGATTGTCTGGGGTTTCATCATGCAAATTAGTTCTTGGCGTGATGATGAATGGACTTTGGCTTTGACAATGGAGGAACTTGTGTCTGTAAGTCCAGTTGTAGTGAGAGGAAAATCATGAAACTGTAGTTTCTGTATTGTCTGAACTTTATCTGACTCTGTCTGACTTCCGGCAGAAGAATGCATCTGTGTGGCTGTGGTAGCAACTGTAGTAACATTAATAGTAGAAGGTATACTGACAGCTGCTGAGGTGGGGATGGTGACGGTAACTTTACTTCCATGATGTGCACTAGCTGCTGTGGGAGAGGACAGAGTCTGCAGAAGTGTTGGCAAGTTAGAATGAGCAACAACAGGATGTGACTGAGGAGATGAAGATGAAGATGATCTTGCAATAGAGGACAAAAGTTGTTGGATCTGATTACAACCAGTGGCAGATGCTGATGTTATGTGAACTGGTGGTTTCAGACCACCAGCACGCAGAGCATTACTGAGTGTAGTGAGGGTCATTTGCAGGGAAGATGAAGAGTTTGGAGCGGAGACAATGTTAGCAGATGACAGTGCCACACCAGCTGATAATTCTTGTCTGGCATCTCGTGCAGTCTGTGAAAGGTCAGAAGAGGAGGGACCACATACACTATGGCTGGGCTTGGCTAACGGCTTAGAGGCAACTTTGGCTGTGGTTTTGTCTAGAGCTTGGTTCTGGCTGATGAGCGTAGCAAGGCGATCAGCCAGGCTCTTACTGGTTAGTGATGACATAGTGGATGCTGAATGCTGTGGACTTTGTGAAGATACAGTAGTTTTAGTCCCATCTGTACTAGCTCCAGATAAAGCGGTAACTGTGGAGGGTAAACGTGACTGTGGAGTAAGCTCACTCCCACGGATGTTAAAGGACAAAGGTCCTGGTCTACATAATAATCCGGACAGTTCTGGAGCACTCTTCATTGCTTGTAGTGTGGATGGACTAGTCACAGGTGTGGACTGATTTACTAGTGCCGTCTTCATTCGTTTCTTCGGAACAGTACCAGGAGCACTACGCACATACTTCCTCTTTGGTGCATTTTTTGGTTCTGAAATAGAAGAATACATTGTTCTGATAAAATTTTTTGTTCTCATTTGAATTTTTGTCTAAACCTGCCATATAATTTGACTGACAATACATATTAAACATTTTCACATATAAAGCTTCATTACAAATCAGTTGACCCAGGTTTGTTGATCTGTTCACATTGAGCTAAGCATCTATGCTGATTTCATCTGTACTTACTGGTTCCTGAGAAGATAACGGGTCCAGAAGCAGCACTGATACCAGAGGTGGTGGTGAAGCCTTGAGTTGTGAACGTGCCACTGAGAAAGGTGAGACCTTGTTGCCGGGCAGACTTAAGAGCTTTGGCTACAGTCAGGCCTTTAGGGCTCACAGGAGAAACAGGACTGGACCTCTCATACTGTGAACAGGAGCAAGAGAAGTTAAGGCATACAATAATAGAAAAGGTTGAACAATTCAGCATTAAAGTTCATCATATACTTTAATTAGTTTTGAATACACAATCTAGAATGGTATAGACTTGAGGCCATAAGAACCTACACTAAAATCACGGGGAAGAATTTTCTTCATAGCAAAATTGTTATATTTTTCCTTAGCTGGACTTTGAAATTGTCAAGAAAATTCTCATCTAAAGATTTAAGGTTCAATCTTCCCTTCTATACATTCCCCATTGAGTAAGTTAATCCTTAATACCTTCAAGTGAAAAATATTTGCAGTTGTAATATTTGAAGTACACTTCATGCAACCAAATGTGGCTGTCAGAGGAGATTGTAATTAAATAGCGGTCAAACAATGTCGCATAACTTATGTTGATTGAGCAGTGAATTTTCCTTAAGCAGCCAGCTGACAATTTTTTAAAATATATAATTAACTGCTTTACATCAAAACCTTTAAATGTAAATGCTAACATTCACTTGGGTTTAAGCTAGTGTTCAGATCAGAACAGAAATGATGAAAGATGGCTGTATTGATGTCAATCTGCATGGAGATTCCTTATTGACAAATTAAAGTTTTGTGAAACTTCCCTACGATATGCTATATCAACTTATAAAAAAAATTGATGGAAGTACCCTTACAATTCACATTTTGTCATGACATTATAGCCAGGGTTTACTTCTATTGGATTCATTTCAATACATGAATACAATTGAACTGATGGTAATTTTGAGTTGAGCTCTTCTTGCAGTAGCTAGTGGCTAACCTAACATAACATTTGATGGGAGGCTTGTTGCATGTTATCAGGCCTTCCCAGAAACACCAAACATCATGGGTAAGGAGTGAACCACACACCTTAGATCGACTCAGAAACACTAACCAGTAGGGGTAGGGAGCAGATCACACACCAAGGACCTTCATCTGAAGTTTCTCAAGTTTTATTTTCTACTTCCTGAGCTATTTCAGCTTACCGATAAATACGACAATGCCCACTTAAAAAAGGCAAATTAAGTATACAGGAATACAATATATATAATTTAAACTTTCTGTGATTTTAATTCAATGTAAAATATTTATTAGGTGACACATTAAATCCCCTGTGAATATTTCAAACTATACTGAAACTCCAAAAAGGGAGAACATTGAGATAATGACCTTCTTTTTCTTCTTCTTTTTCTGTTCTGCATCTGACACATCAGCATTGGACTCCATGTTCAGGTGTGCAGACTTGCATAAAATTCCTCCCAAAAAGTCGGACAATTCTTCCTATCAGAAGAAAAACATCTAAAATTGAATGTATTGCACAAATATTTAACTATACTTTTCTCTCTGTGACCTTTGATGTTTAGAAATATCTTAAGACAATCAATTGTTATGTTTTTGGCATAAAATGAAAGAAAACTTTGACTTTGCAAGTACTGTAAGTTGAAACTCATGAGAGTAGGTAACTGTCTTGTTCTGGGTAAATAGGCATACGAATAACTGTCAGAATAAAGTGGAATGCAACAGAAATCTGGCAGAGTAAAAATTTGGCTGAAGAATATCATCATGCCATTAAACTGAAACATTAACTACTAAACATCCTTTACATAAATGTGTTTTTTTTACATCCCAAACATCAAAATGATAAAATCAAGTTCTATTCAATGCTGTTAGTAGTATTTCACAACTTTGATTTATCTTGCCCTGTCAAAATATACTGGATTTTAATAGCACTTCTGGCACATCTCAGTGAATCCTACTAAACAATGCTGTCAACAGTGTAAACTTGCTTCTTCATTGAATGTTCAACACAAAATTAAAACACAAGATATGGAATTACAACTACTAAAAGATAGGTGTTCTGTATTAAATAATAAGTAATAATCCTCACATCTGACTAAAATGATGGTGTCATATGTGTATTTCATAGTCAATCATCAGTTCAAGATAAACCTACAAAATACATGTACTTTTGCCAGTGGAACAAATCAGTGAAGACCAACAATGTTTAAGAATCACATCAGATCAAAATCTAGAACTAAAACTTGCCAGGATTCGTCTGTCTACCATCACTTGGGTAATACCCTCTTCTTTTTTCTTCGCACTCCTCACACGAAGGCTACTGTCAGCACCCCCTATGACAAGGAGTCCATTTTCTGCCTTCATGCGTTCCCGGAGATCCTCCATATCATCTATGCCAGCATTGTTGCTATGCTGACCAATCACAAACAGACTTGGTGTACGACTGTCCAACAATGCATCTTCAATGTCCTGAATTTGCAAAACCAGTCATCACAATGTCAAAATCCAGACAATTTTAGATCATCATCAAAATAGATTAGTCATTTATTCAGTTTTATAAACAAGATTTATATCATAGTCTTTGATATTAACGCTGGTCAAAAACCTCCTTTCAGGTCATCCTAAGCTGGTATGTTTTCATATATTCTAGTAACATATAAAGAGCTAAACTAATGTCTAATTATGGTTTAGTATCAAGTACAAGTAAATTGTGGAAAATGTCCTGGTATCATTCTTAAGATCAGCAAAAAGATTTACAACCAGAATGAAACAAAGCACATATGAAATTTTACATTAGACATCCATGTCTACCTACTATCTCTGAGGAAGAAAACTATCTTAAAACATCTCTACTCTGGCATGTTTATTCTTGTTTCGGTGATGCATAATTCATTACCTGATTAATACCATACTGAATGGTTGTAAAAGAACTTAAAATATCAAATTCAAATACACCTTACCATTGACCTCAGTTATACAGTAAAACACTCACCCCACGACTTCCATTGGTCCCAGTAAGAGGGAAGCCTAAACAGACTACTGCACTGACTGACTCTAGCAAGGCTACCTGTTGTGTGAAACAGATCATCAATTATAGTAGCATGTTGTGGCATCTACTGACCATGCTTTACAAGGTTGTTTTCTGGTCAAAAGATCTAAATTAAATTTTTTAATCACAAGAAAAAGCTAATTGATTTGAAATTGGCTGGAAGAGGTATTAATAGCTTGAACTTTCATTACCTATTCAAATCAAGATACACTGATATAGTAAAATAATTGTACTTATTTTGGAAACATTTTCTTCATTTTGGTAATGTCAGTAGAATAGAAGTGTGATGTTTCGATGACTATACCGTCACCTTCATCAGGCAAATGACCAGTGTGAAGTGTACTAGCACTGATGTACGTAGTGTACGAGGTGGTACATAACTGACCAACTTTTTCAGCTGCACTATAATCCTATGTACACTAAGGTTGAAAATAGTGTGACATGATGGCCTACTGGTTGTGTTATAAGAACTTCTATTCTATAATTGTACTTATATAATTATTCAATGACTTGTGGATTAAAACACCAAAAACTAGATAAAAATTTCAGAAGAATTACTTACATGGCAGGCTATTAGTGCACCAATACTCCACCCTAGTAACACTATGGGGCGATGCTGGAAATGACCTTTCAGCTGGAAAATACAAATATCAGAGATACAAATTTAGATGTCTGGATACTGTAAGTGTTAAGATTGGTTACTGTAATGTTAGGAGTAAGGTCACATTGCCTTTCAGCAAGATAACTTAATTCAGCTTTGTAACTGAAGAAACAGATATAAAACAGTACTAATAGTTGGTGATCCAGGTTTTGCTGATGAGCTTCATCTTGTCAAGAGGGTTAAAAATTTAACAAAGTTTTATATCAGTGCAAAATCCTCATTCATTTTCTTCAAAAATAGGCTTTTCAAAATTCAACAAGAGATCCCAGAGGGATCTTGGCACCCACTATTTGAGGGTCTGTTTTCAGTTCTTGAAGATTTTTTTTTTTTTTGTGTTACAGGTTTCGTAAATGTTTGTGAACTGGTCTTCATTGAATGTACTCAATGATGGCACAAGATATTTCTATTAAGCACCTATTAGCAAATATCATTTGAAAAAGATCCCAAAGTATTATTAGATAGCAGTCAGTTACAGGTGGATAATGGACATGGTCTTGAATCAATATGATAGAATATCGAAGAAAATATGTGCATGCTGTATTACTGTCGACATCCAAGATGGCTGCCTGTGGGCCAACTTGATTTCAAATCAGTCCAAAAAAAGTACAATGCACAACTAGGGACCAAGGGAAACCAATACCTATGAAATATCAGAAGTATCCATCCAGTACTTTCTCAGAAATAGCAGTAACAAGATTTTACACTCAAAATCCAAGATGGCTGCCTGTCAGCCATCTTGATTTCAGATCAGTCCAAAAAAGTACAATGCACAACTAGGGACCAAGGGGAACCTGCATATGAAAATTGAGAAAGATCCATTCAGTACTTTCCCAGAAATAGTGGTAACAAACTTTTACTTCCAAAATCCAAGATGGCTGCCTGTCGGCCATCTTGAATTCAAATCAGTCCAAAAAAGGTACAATGCACAACTAGGGACCAAGGGGAAACTGCATATGAAATTTGAGGAAGATCCATCCAGTACTTTCCCAGAAATAGCGGTAACAAGAATTGTTTACGGACGGACGGACGACGGACCACGGACGCAGGGCGATTTGAATACCCCACCATATGATGATGGTGGGCTAAAAATATACTTCAGTCTAGTCTTCCTATTTTAGGTACATGATCATCTGCCAGCCATATTGACTGTACAGAATTTTATTGCAAGGCTTTTATCATCTGTACATATCACTAGGCTGTGTATATATATATGTATGTTCATGTATACCAATATCTAAGCCATGCTTCTTACCAAGTGGCTGTCTGTGACCATATAAGCTATATATTTTAATGGGCCATCATTTTACACATATCGCCAGCAGATATACTTGGTAAGAATGGACACGTTTCTATCTACAAACCTCTAAGACTTTGGTACGGACAGCACCAATCATGTGCTCCAGACACTGGGCAATACCCACACCACTTCCACCACTGACTGTGTGCATGGTAACTGGAATAACCTTCCCTAGGTGTGATAGTTGGGAGTTCCAGAAACGTGTTCGCTTGGAGTAGGCACTGTTGTGGGTGGGGCCCGAGGGAGCGATGAGTATGAGAGGGTTACCAGGTAGTTTACGCTAGAAAGTAGAAATATCTCAAATTGGAAACACAGTGATAAAGTTTCATTTAAAACTAAATGGATGATAATTTGATATTGAATAAAAAAAAAATTTCATCAATAAAAGACCAAACTTTTGACATTTTGACTGCCACAGACTATCGAAACTGATCTTAACCTTTTTTTGAAAATTAGAGCCTCTAACAATCTGTTATACTACATTTGTACAATATCTTGATTTGGAGATTACAAACTACAAAGATCAAGTTTATTTTTCTAGTGAAAAATAATTTTGAGCAGTTTCATCTTTCAAATATTGGATAAGCTAGACATACCTCCCAGGTAAACAATTGACATGACAGTACACACATAGGGAATCACAACCTACCAGTTTCTGTTGAGAGTAGACACTATACACAGGATCCCAAGGTCGTTTAAGGAGCAGGTTGAGAGCATCAACTGAGGCAGCAGGTGTCTTGCCTCCTGCTGCAGTCATGGCAATCATTTTCTCAATTAATGAAGGTACCTGTAAATATATTGAAACTACGATTTAATCCCCTTTTTCATTTGTAGAAACTTTGATAAAAACTTATTGATAAAATGCATGACATCCAATTAGAGCAGTATTTGTTTGTTCAAATAGATTGTCACACTGGTTTAAAAAATTAGAGAGTACCTTCCATATTCAATGTAATAGGAGCAGTTAGAACAGAAATAATTTCATTTAAGAAGTTGATAATTTTCAAAATGTGACTGCCATTATGACCTTTGACTTGAGAGTCTGTAGAACATCTAGGTAAGCACTGAGGACTGGCACACTGAGGCTGTCGAGCAGCACACCATGTAACCACTGGGTGAGACGTGGGTCCTAAAAAAACAAGAAAGTCACACAATCACAATACAAATAAATACACCACGAAACATACAATAATTTTTGTAGGACTTTTTCAGGCAAGTCCAGAATACCTATTCCAAAATTTTGATGAGTCTCAATACTAAGAGATAAAATGAGTTCTCAAAATTTGAGGGAGTCCCGCAAGAAAAGCATGAGCCCAAGACTCAAATATCTGAGTCCCAAAAATTACTGAGATATCAAAGATCATCACACATATTCTCATTCTTTAATCAAGAAATTGCTTTTCCATAATATATTGAAACTCAGAGACCGGGTGGTGTTTGGCTAACAAAGCTTACCCAAGACACCCCAGCCAGTGCCTGTCGGATCCTTCGTGCAGTCTTGTCTATGTGTATCCGTCTCATCACAGGTTCATTGTGGTGCTACAGAAACACGCCAATGTTTGAATTCTATCACTATCAAAGAGATGCTTGGATACAATAATGAAAAAGATTTGACAATGTTTCTACAGCTTTAACACAAAGTTTATGAATGATGATAAAAATGACTACATAACATCTATATGTAGGTTGCCTCAATAGCAATGTCCTCTCCATGTACAACATAATATAAATAACATGTTAATAAATAATGTATTACACTGTAAATTACATTCCAGTAACAAACGTTAGGCACATCTAAATATTACTAGTATTCTTGGCTCAAGTTGACTGGCAAGTTCATTTAAAGATTAACACTATAAGCTTAAGGAAATGCCTGAATATCTTTTCATATGATTTTGAACAGTCTTTATAACATTAACGTGTGATTCAGAATTCTGTTGAAATATCATTTCTAAGTTTACTCTTACCCCGTGGTAGGCTAGTCTAGACAGTCTGTCACCTTGTAATGCCTTCATTACTTTGTTATACAATCGGTTTTGCTGTAGCGTCCATCCCACTCTGCAAGTAACAACACTAAAAATCGCACCTCGTTTATTTATTGGATGAATGAAATGAGGCGATGAAATGAAGCAATGAAGTGATGACATGAAAATGAAAGACAACAACTGAAAAGTAACAGGAAGAAAAGAAAGACAAGGTGTTGAATATATGCTCCCCCGAAAAAACCAGATTTGATGATATCTACTGTATAATGAATTTGAATATCTGATAAAACTGAAAAAAAAAAGTATTGAGAAAAACAAAAGAGAGATTTTAACTTCAAATGTAAATACAGATACATCTGATGTTAAGATTTTGAGTAATGACTGCAAAACAATCAGATATTAAATGATTTTAAGTGAAACAAATCCTATAATTAGTATGTAGACTTTCATTATTTATCATGATCAAAATGGTATTTACTATGTTTGTGATAAAACTGTTCTTAGCCTATAAAGATGTCAAACATGTTTAATTCATTCAAATTCTAAATATGTAATGCAATCTTGGGTTAAAGTTAAAAATATAAAGCATAAATGTAAATGAGGATGTGTTCATTTTCTAGAAAATTTTATCTGCCTGCAGGCTGCTTTTGTGATGTCTACCCATGCAATAGGAAGAAACTGAAATACTGTAAACTTCAATTTAGTTTACAACTTCATGAAGTTAACATATCAATATCTAATTCAAAAGAAATGCACAGGTCTACTTTGGTTTGGAGTGAAGAGAAGCTGTTTATGGAGCTAAATTACACCGGTCCTGATAGGACAGCTATATTCAGACATTTGAGGTCTCCTTTATCTTTGTATCAAGTCACTAGTTTCTGTTATTCTACTTTCCATTATATACCATACTTATAGTATTACACTATAATCCCTGTCAAAATGACAAGATCCTTAACAATCAGAATAGTCTGAAATCCTTGACAGTCAACTTTATTCATTTCATTAGAATAAAGGAATGTAAACATGGAAGAAACAGTAATACAAAATGACAGATGTATACAAGCTATATATATGGAAACAAATCATTACTTGCTAACATGGTCCTCAGCATCATCAGCACAATTTTCTGTCCGGGCAAAGTTAACACTGCGATCACATTCATGCATGAGACTACGAGCCTTTGCCATCTCATAAGGAGGTGGAGGAATAACACTGTCTCCTACCACGTCTATCTCAATATCCCGGGCACTGCAAGTAAAACATTTCATGTTTACCACTTACTGTTTGCTATATTCCAAACACACACATTGTATCCTTTGAAGGTCATTGTGTATGCAGCCCTCTTTTCACTTAAAACAGAGTTCTGTAGAAGTAGTTGTGTCATCTCCACAGTGGAAGTAATATAATTCTAAGATATCAACATTATTAAGGTTTTGATTAAATTTCCTGTACCTTAGAAGTTGGTCTGGAGTTGTCTGTGTTTTTGTTGGCTTGGTCATGAAGAGGAGCTTTACTGGGCGTGCATTGCTAGCATCTGGATGAGCACTCCAGGGTTTGGAGTAGCAATGGTCTAACCCCACAAAGTCCACAATATGCATCCTGTACATAACTGGTCTTCAATCTTCTACAGATCTGTAAAAATAGTCAGAGGATTTGATGCCAAATGGCAATATGACATCATAATCTTAAAAAACCAACCAATTAGCCAGTGTTAAGCGTATATTTAATAAATTAGCAAAAAAATGGCTTTCTATATAAGGATAAAGTTTTATTCACAAGACAAGTACATCAGAGAGAAATCTAACATAATTTTATTTGCTAGAAGGCCTATAACAATTAGGACAAAGACTGAAATGATGCTTTTATATATCATTTTCTCAATTGACCTCCAAGGAAAGTCCCAAACAAGATCTTCAAATGTAGACAACCACTCCTATTGTCATCGTAAAATGTAAAAAAGTATAACAACAGACTTGTCTCAAAATATTAGTCTAATTCACAATTTGCCTGTTAAAATTGCCTGTAGAATCTCCTTATAAATTGCCATTCAGTTTAAAATTCATCAAATATTCAAGTCAGTGATATTGTTCAAATTTTTTACATTACTTAAATCTTGTAAGTTATATTATACAAGAAGACAGAATTAGTTCATTTTGTAAACTTTGTGAAAACTGTATTTTCATACACACAGTAGAACATGTTTAAAGAAAATCAAACGTTTTATGAGTTGTGATTGGTGGAAGGTTTCCATGGTAACATTATAACTGCATTTTAATCACTGTAACATCACTGAAGAGATATCGAATCAAGAAACTGAACATCATTGAATTCTGGCAAAAGTATCTAGGTTACATGATATATATGAGATTTATGTTTAGTTTAAAATTTGCTCAATTCATTTTTGAAACTTATATAAGATTGTATATTGATGACATCAGCTCCCAGCACATATCAAATCTGTAATGGTTATAAGTATGATATACAAGACATTTTCTATGATACCAATAATCATACTCTACCAGCTTTATTTCAATAATCATTATAAGCTTAATGTTTGATTTAGTTTGTTGTTGCTTCACGTCCTATTAACAACCAGGGTCATTTAAGGACATGTCAGGTTTGGTTGGTGGATGGAAAGCCTGAGCTCCTGGTGGAAAAACCCTATGTAGGCTTCAAATACACGACATAGGTGGAGGACTAGTGATGAAGATGCTCAGAAGCCTTAACACTTGGTCACTGTGGCCTTCAGATGCTAGAAAGGGATAGGCTTATAATAATTAAGGTCTCCCATTCTAGAGAAGCAAAATTACATCTTATAGTGTACAAGTGATTATCAAAATCATGAATAAAAATAATCTTATTTTCATTCAAAGTCAGATAATTAAAGTAGTTGGGAAAATTAATAGAGCCATTTACTCTGTGTAGGTAAAGTCTTTGGTATACGTCAAGCTAGAATTATGTAGTTTTAAAATTTTGGAGAAGACTCATAATATTGGAATATAGATATAGTCCTACAGATGAATTTAATATTAGGCCTAATACAGGGCCTTCATCTATACCCTTAGTTTGAAGTTTCATCTACAGTTAATATCTCTGCACATTTTACGATTTTACTCCAGTGATTATCAATATATTCTTTACCAAAGGGCAAATCAAATAAAACTTTCACTGAAACATAAACAAACTACCTTGTTATATAAATTATATAGGCAGATTTAGCTTCACAATCTAATTTGAATACATAACCAGATTTGCCGGTACTTCATGATCAGTACCTGAATGATAACCAACAAATTCACTAAGTCAAAGTGTGAACCCTTAGCATAATCAAGGACAATGTTAATATCTACCTCTAAATCGAGAATAAAAGTAAAAAAAAAATAAAAAAAGTTTTGGTTACGTCCTCGCAGAGACGTCTACGTCTCTGGTCCTCGTAAACAAATAAATCTTAATCCGAGCTAGATTTCCGGAAGAGAAAAGAATGATAGCCAACAAACTGGTATATTACATCCCATTTAAAGTTAAAAAATGTGTCTTTACAGACTATTAAAGGAAAAAAATGATATTTGCAAGACAACCATCTAGGTCGCATTCTACTCCCATATACAATAAACGTCCGTCGAAACTGGTAACGCAATCGTGGGTCGCTGACAAAGACTCACCTTTCACGTATACATACAAATAAATTTGTCTATTTCAGAGACGCAGAATTGTATTATATGTATTCTTTGGTTATATCCATCAACACAATGTGTATTTATGCGAAAAGTATGAGAACATAATGTTCGATATATTCTTCGTCAACACCAAAATGGCGCTACACCTGGAATATAATGATTGAGGCGAAAGACGGGTTGTAAAATCCGGAAAAAGTACATATACTTCGATCGTTGTCTGGATTTTTTTTCTTACAAGACCTATTTTTTTCGCGGACGCTAAAAGATAAAACCTTGCTTTTTGATATTCTTTTCAAATAAAATACAAGTCATAATCATCATTTCAACATGTTTATTCAGAAAATAATTAAAAACAAACATAAAGACACAATCACTGGCAAAAAACAAAATTCCTTCAACAAAATTAATAAAACTAATGGTATAAATATTATCATGTTTCAAATACAGTATTCACTACATTATTCTGTAAATTAGTACATGTATCTTTTCTGCTAGTCTGTGTTATTCTATCAATTTTTACATACTTTTATCTACTCCAAGCCGATATATAAAATACAACAGAATGTCAGAATAATTTGGACTACATTTTCCTTGAATTTCCATCATAATTGTCCGTTAAATTTGCGTTATATATTACTATATGTTTTGCTTTCCTATCTATTGTTTACAACATGTTATTTTAGTAAACTGAAAATGCACTATGTTGCACAAGTAGATGACACATTTGCTTTACACCCAAATCTGGGTTTAATTGATTTACTGATAAGAGCTGTATCTAAAATGGGTTGTAGTCATCTCTTTGCTTATGCAAGCTTTATTTTTGTCTGGATACAGCATATGCTGTATACAGTTTCCTACCCAACACCAGTGATTTATTGAAAATTGGATGAAATTTTTATTGTAACTGTTGTAATGCAAGAGTATCAGTAAAGTTGATGAATGCTTCCCCGGAGACAACGTTATTGGACACAAAATTTTAACAAAGGGCATTAATTCTGTGCTTTAGGGGTTTCAGGCACTTAATTTTGTACACTGTACAGCCTTTTATGTATATGCCAAATTTCATTATCCAAGTTTAAATAAAATCTTCACAAAGGGAAATTATTCTATAAAGGGGTTGTGGGCCCTGTATTTGGTACATCGCACATTTTCTAAGTTTGATTATGTATAAACCAAATTTCATTACCCTAGCTTAAATGCAAGAAATTAAAACTTATGCTCTGGACATAAAATTTTAATGATGGGCCATAACACTGTAATTAAGGGTTGTGGGCCCTGAATTTGGTATACTGGACACAAAATTTCAACAAAGGACAATAACCTTGTAATTCAGGGGTTATGGATACTAAAATTGGTACACTTCACATCACCTTAATATGACCAATGTATACACCAAGTTTCAAGATCCTTGCTCAATGGATGGCAAAGTTATGTCCTGACAAAATTAAAGAAATGATGAAAGTACAGATGATTGAACAAGTGGCAACTATACGTTCTCCCAAAAAATTCAGTGAGCAAAATAAAAAATACGAAGTTTTAATTAAGTGATTAATAGATTAAACGATTAAATATGTATATTTTAATTAACATATTTTATAAAACTATTGCTTTTGATATTTTTCATGGAATGAATATAATCTTTTTGAGATATGTAACTTTACAAATAAAAATACAAAATAATCTTTACCTTGCACAAACTAATATAAATTGTAATCACTAACTCATGAACAAGGTATCTAGGGTTAGCGGCTGTGGTAGAAGTACCAAACCCTCAGAACACTACACTGTATAGCCCATTAACCAATAATAAGACTGTGACTGGTAATAAGCCCACCCAATTTACATAGTTTATTTAGAACCAGAGGTTACTGAAAATCTGTTGGAATATTTTGACCAATCAGAAAGTAAGGATTGGTAGTAACAGCTAAAACTGATGTGTTACATTTAGCCTAAAAATGCCATCTCATGCCATATATCATTACCCTGGAGTCAAACCCCTTCCCAAACCCCTACTTTGTGTCAGAAGTGATAGCCCCCAATGGTGTTATTACAGAACATATAGTATTGTAAAGTTGATAATCCAATGACCAAATTCCAATATCCCTGTGGTAACATTTTATATACTTTTACATAAAATATACTGATAACTCTATGTAATAGACAATGAACAGATCTTAACAATTTTACCATTACAGTAAAATTCATGTTTGTACCTGTTGTTCTAAAATACATAACATATATATATACACCATTCATAAATCTTAAATAAACATATTATGATACAATTATACATATGATTACAAACTATTACAAATCATTGTTCAAGATATATATATATAAAATTATATATTGGTTTTGAGCAACAAATTACACATTAAGTTTGGCAGAAACATAATAATGAGGCAGACATAACAAAAATTGAAAATTACTTTTGGGTAAAACATAATAACAACCAAAAACAAACACCATGAAACAAATTGACAAAAATGTAAAAATAACATGACTTTGGTTAGATTTTTATAGAAATTATGTCAGTTGTCTTTCCTTGGATGCTTTTTAAGAAAATCATCTCTCATCATGTAGATACAAAAAGATAAACTAACTAACAAAATACCGTATCTTGGAATAATTTTGTGCTGTGCAATTTTGCATAAAATAAAAAAATGTATATTTTTCAATCTTTAGACATTAATTTTTGGTAATTTCATCGTCTCGTCTCAGGAACTTGAAAGGCCATCTCTGTTACTCCCCACTGTCGGGCATCGTTTCACCAACAAATGTCACTCTGTTACTCCCCACTGTCGGGCATCGTTTCACCAACAAATGTCACTCTGTTACTCCCCACTGTCGGGCATCGTTTCACCAACAAATGTCAGTGTTCTGGCAACATGTGGAATGATTATCAATAAATTGAACACAATAGAATACTCTAAAAATTTACAAGGAAAAGGCATACCAGCATTAAGGAAACACCTGATTGATTTCAGAATTATTGGCAAGTTGTAAGTCTAGGTTAGGAGATCCACAGAATTCAATCTATAAGGATATATGATTGAAAAGATTCTAAAACATTCTATTTATTCTACCTTGTCAAATGTTTTAACAGTTCTCCTACAGATTTCACAGTTCTTACTCTGTTTATTAGAAATTGACAATAACCTGAATGTATGGATGGACTGTCAAAGAATGGATTCACAAAAAAACATACATACATTGTGTAAAAAATGGCATAATAACTTGTTTACAATCTACTAATAATAGTTACAACTTTAACAAAACTTTAAAAGTAACAAAGAATTTGAGATTTCTTTTAAAACAATAAACATAAGACACTGAGAGATTTTTGAGTTTATCATATATTGCAATCTCAACAAAGACATGTAGTTATTATTACTCACATGGTTAAAATTTTATAACAAAAATCACAAGACAATTGTTGTATAACTGTTAGATGGTATAGGTACAACATGAAGACTTAGTCAATGCATATGAAACACTCGTTTATTGGATGACATGTCTGATGAAGTTTATTCTTCTTTGAAACATTTAATATATATGTCAGAATTCACAGTTGTCAAACCAATTCTTAAAAACTGATAACTCCTATCTACAAGCTATCACAGAGTCATGAGTCTCTACACAACTTCACTGCATCATCCCAGGATTTATCTGCCACCATGCTTCTAGAAAGAAACCTGGGATGTTGAACACCCCTGTATCTCACAACAGTTAAATTTGGTCCCATTGTCTTTATAGTTGTTGAACTTAGGATGAAGTTTGAGCTGAAGCCTTTATATTAAGTCTTTATAGTATATGCTTGACCTTAAAGTTGCTTCAAAATCTTGAAATAAAATCACCCTGAGATATGTTTAAAATGTTAGACCTGGAGTTTCATCTTTAAGGTCAGTAATATGATCGCTTTCCTGCATAGTTATTTAGTCAAACTGTATCATTTACAAAAAAATTGAATTAAAACAAAAACACAGGTTTATCATTTCTATTTAACAAATACAACGGCTCTGATTGAATCAATGCATAGATTAAAGTACTAAACAAGAGGTCCAATGGGCTTTCATCACGCACCTGGTTTTCAATTCTTTTCCAAGTATGTTTTCATCTAACATAATTGACAATTAGATTAAACTACTACGATTATAACACTCAAGATTTAACATTATTTATCTAGAACTGGAAAATATATTTCATCCCTGTAACATTGAGTATGGGTCAAGGTCATTTCTATTCACCAACTTTAGCAGTTTTCATCACCTGTTAGGTAATTAGAATTCCTCATATGAGAGTTTCAACAAATCTGACCTCTGTGACCTTGACTACTGGTAAACGTTATTTCTTATAGCCTCATCCCAGTAACATAACAGCCATGTATCATAGGTCAATGTCTTTAGGTTAATGAGAAGGTGGAATTTGAGTGTTTAATGAATTTGATCCTTGCAACCTTGCATATGGGTCAAAATGATGTTATTGGGACAAAATTGACAAGGCTTTAACCCAGGAACCCATATTTTGGTTAATCAGGAGTTGGTTGATCAGAAGATGTTAACTGAATGATTTAACAAAGTTGACTCCTGTCACCTTGAATATGGGTTGAACTCATTTCAGTTATGTAAATTTTGTCAAACTTCTTCCCAGGAACTTACCATTCAAATATCATGACTTTTTTGGTCAATGAGAAGAAATTTTTTTTTTATCTGTAACCTTGAATATGGATCAAGACTATTTCTTTTTACATTTGGGTCAAGGTCATTTCTATTCACAGATTTTGTTAGACTTTACCGTAGGAACATACCAGCTAGGACTCTTGGTTGTTTGGTTAGTGAGTAGAAGTTGACATTGGAATAGTTATAGACTGACAGAGATCAGATGCTGTGCCACAGCTAATGCTCACTTTGCCTTTTGGCCAGGTGAGCCAAAAAATAAAGAAAAATAAATACATATGAGTGTGAATTTCACATTTGTCAAAAAGGTAGGAATTTTCCCACAAGTGATGCAAGTAACAAATAGAAATGCAGTGAAAAAATGCGTCTATTACCTTTGGTCTGGAGTGATAAAAATCTCATCTGTCATAACATATCAATTTTACATAAGCACAATTTACAGATCAAACAAAAGCTTAATGATGGCACCTATTTGTATTTGGTTCATAACATTATGATTCATGGAAATTATAACATTCAACTGTATATGATTTAAATACATCACTATAACAACAATGCTAACAGTTACCGGTATATAAAAAAACATTTTTCACATCGTTCATTTCCTGTTCAGTTTTGTGACTTTTGTACAACAGACCTGTATGAATACAAACAACAACAACATAAATATTTGATTTACACTGGTGGCAGAACACTTTAGGTAGCGTATAATTACAGATTAGTGTGTGATTTCGCATACCACTAACACATACTATCATGATTGTTTATGTAATATAACCTCTACTAATACAAGAATACAACATTATCAATTGTACATCTCTTTCAAGCAATTCCTATTCTAATTATTTCCTTCTGTTTTATGTTGTTTATTTTCCCCTATATTTGCTAAAATAATAAACAAAGAGGTTCATAGGGCCTGTATTACTCAGATATCTCTTTCTGTTATCTTGCCCTCAACCTTCATAAAGCAACTGATTCTGAGGCTCCAAAATACAGTGATATCACCATATTCTATGTTATGATGTTAAACGTCTTGTTCAATAGGTGAAACTTAACACTCGTAGTTAATCATAATTCTTAATTACCTTGATTACACAAGCTGGGAATCTAAACATTCCTTATTTGACCAAGGGACTGTAAGTCCTAAGCAATTTTTGCAGCACTTCAATGTGTAGCCCTTCAGGAGGAGATGACTTACATATGAAGTTGTTGGACATTTCAGGTATAATTCCTTACCAAAGGGTTAAAAGAATTCATTTGTAGAACACTGTCATATTTGGTTTGAAACAGTTAAAGTCTAGTGAAGTCTTTAAAACTAAGCATAACTAACATTCTTGATTCAGAAAATTCTCAGCTCCATACCCTACAATTGAACATTCCGCAATACTCTATAATTAAACATTCCCAATACTCTACAATAAATATTTCCCATTATTACCATTAAACATTTCCCCATATGCCACCATTAAACATTCCCCATGTGTTACCATTAAACAATCCCCATACGTTACAACTAAACATTTACCCATACGCAACCATAAAACAATCCCCATACATTTCCATTAAACATTTCCCCATATGCTACCATTAAACATTCCCCATGTGTTACCATTAAACAATCCCCATACGTTACAATTAAACATTTACCCATACACAACCATAAAACATTCCCCATACTTTATCATTTAACCTTCCCCAATGCTCTACACTTAAAACATTCCCCCATACATTATCACTAAACATTCCCCAATATTTACCATTAAACAATCCCCCATAGGCTTCCGTTAAACATTTCCCCATATGCTACCATTAAACATTCCCCATGTGTTACCATTAAACAATCCCCATACGTTACAATTAAACATTTACCCATACACAACCATAAAACATTCCCCATACTTTATCATTTAACCTTCCCCAATGCTCTACACTTAAAACATTCCCCCATACATTATCACTAAACATTCCCCAATATTTACCATTAAACAATCCCCCATAGGCTTCCGTTAAACATTTCCCCATATGCTACCATTAAACATTCCCCATGTGTTACCATGAAACAATCCCCATATGTTACAATTAAACATTTCCCCATATGTTACCATAAAACAGTGTTTTATTTCTCTAGTCCCAAGGATGCATCATAGCAAATTTGCAACAGGAATTCAAGATGGATGCCATTCACATTTATACACAGGCCCTTTAAACACACAACTGTCCCTGGCCTCCCTCTGTGTTAGGTTCATTGCAATCCCTATATGTACATCCATACTTACACAAAGCACTTCACATATATGGCTTCTGTCCTTAGTACTAATTTAATATATAACATCTATGTAACTAGGTAAAATTAATTGTATCTTTAATGATAATTTGAAAATTAACTTATAAACATTTTCAAATTTATTTTCTGGATAATGAAATAATTCTTAAAACATTAACAATATTTATAGAAATACAAAACAATAACTAAAGCCCCTTCCCAGAAAAATATATTAATCCTATAGAATTTAGCACTACAATAACAGTACATAAAATGTAGATATACAACAACATGTAAAAAAAAACCTATATGCCATGTTTCAATCACCAGTTCCAATTATTGCCTGAACTTCCGACCCCTATGGTCACTAGAAACTTCATCCAATAAATAATTTTCGGGACCCAAAAATCAAGAATGCTTCATAGAAAATTTTTATTGGGGGTTGGGGGGCTTGGGGGTAGGGAGTGGTTCCACACCTAGAATAGAAAAAATCTACCTGTCAAATACATCAAAATGTCAATCTATGAAACCAAGATTTCATTAAACAATATGTTTAATTTCTATAACTGTACTGATCATTTAAAACAATTTAATGATTCTTTTCTAGTAAAAACAAAATTATTGAAAAAATTGTCCATTTAACACAATACATTTTTGTGAGTCTTGATACATTCTGTTAAAACAAATATGTAAACCTAATTATCACTGTTGCTCCCAACATTATTAATGGACAAGGAAGGCAGTTCTGTCAAAGTCAACACAATCAAGGTTAAAGGTCAATATTGCATCAGTCAAACGATTTGTTCTCACCTGCTAACACTTTTGGAGACACCAACCTTGACTTCATTGTTTGCAATCAAAGAAATTTTTTGCTGTTGTTTTTTTTACAGCAACAAACAGAAGAATTACCACGGTATTTGACCAAACAATATGCCTTCCTCTGGAATTCTGTTTCTCATGGACTGATTTCTCTAACTTTGAAATACCTCCTCATGAAGGGCCAATTTTTCTTCTAAATGTTTGATGCGATCCCCAAGTACCTGTATGGCAATTTTCTTGTTGGCTAAGGCTTCTGTTCTATCATGTAACTGTTGTAAACAGAGATACATTATATTATGTAAACAATAAACTGTGAAGCAGACAAAGATAATTTTCTGTTTACTGTGAATGTGACTTTGGAAATTACTGACACACAATACATTCCTGAAAGACCAACATTAAGTCAATCTCTAGTACCTTTTTCTTCTTTCTTATTTCATAAAATCAGTGAAAAATTTCATTTCAAAAATGTTTGATGCAGAACTTTCTGACAAAAATTGTATATCCAATGACTTGATGATACATTTTATCCATCTGTAGCAAACTACTATAACAATGAAAAGAAGACTTACTATTTCAGTGAGCGCGAGGACCAGGTCCCTGTCTGTGATGGGGGGTACACCTGGGGGTAGGGGACAGGTCCCATTACTGTCAGTTCCCTGCTCTGAAGCCTGCTCCCTTCTCATTGATGCCTTGTAGTCCTCTAAAAACCAATAACAGATAAAAAAAACTAATAATTAGTGTTGTGTGAGTTCCTATTTCATAAAAGTATGCCATACAGATTGATAAAATGAGGCTTCGGTTCTTCTATAAAGCATCTTAAACCTCAAATGGAACACATTAATTCATGCCACTAAAATATGTCTGTTTTGTGACATTATAGAGTTATGTAAAGAAAAAAGTTTTAGCAGCTTATACTAATCATTCATGCTGACCTGGATTTAAGTGTGTGAGAGGTCTTATTGTGGGAGGAAACTGGAGTACTCAGGTAAAACCAAGGTGGTCAGACTGGTGACCCCTTCCTTTTCATGTCTGTTCTGAGATTCGAACCCTTGACAGCTAGGTGAAAGGTGAGTGTGTTACCACTGCGCCACCTGACCACATCATAAGGGTGGGAGTGTTCCATTTTGGTTGGTAGTTCTTACATAATAACCCTAATATAGTGTTACTGATGTCAAAATTATCTACACTTGTACCTATACAGGATTAACTTTAGAAAGGAGAGATGGCAATGTGACTGAGTCTCTCCCCTTTGTCATCTGCCACATTCTCAATACTCCAGGGGTTGCAATCACTTTTCGCTCTCTGCACCCCTGGAACATACCATGGCAAAATTGAAGGTTACATGTGCGACGCTTTGTGAACAAGATGAAAATATAAGTGTGATCCTTTGACGTACATCAAACAAATTTAGGGGGTTGCAAAATGGTATATTGAAATTGCTTTGTAGTTGGGTGTCGCTCCTTTGTAATCTTCAAAAGAAGCTTATCTACCTGTGACTGGTCTGTTTTCTTTCTCTCCTGGAACCAATCAGATTACTTTGCTTGTGCCTTCAATTTTGCCATGGCATATTCCAGGGCTGCAGAGAGCGAAAGTGACCATAACCCCTGAAATATCGCGGATGCATCTGCCACTGCATCATTCTAACTGTGACGTCACTATCAACATATCAGAAACCTAAACGTGTATTACATTATAGTTCAGCAATAACCAACCAGGTCCCTTTACAAAACATCTGATAACGAAGTAGAATTAAGATGTTTTTGACTCCCGGGGTACTGTCTCTAAGGGATAAAATATACACACTAAAACCCCAAAATATTAAAATAATTTCCAACTCTAACAAAAACTGAGTGACTCACCATCATTGAGCATCTGTATGAATCGTTTAACAATAGCTTTCGCTTTAGTAACACGGGATGGTCCAGAGCCTGAAGTAGCAATGTCTGATATGTGGAGCATGAGTGTTTTACTCTTGGATAATTGCTCCTCAAAGGCCATGTGGTAGGCATCAGCTGTCATATAGGCCTCGTCTCTTCTCCGCAGGTACATCTCATTCTATCAGACATGAATTTTCATAACACATCTTGCAGCAAATGAGAAAATATGTTAAAAATCTCTCTGTTCAAACTTCATCCTCTGTCTGGTATTTTGAGCTATTTCAGGTATCACCTATAGATACATAGGGGATACCTATGCTTCTATACACAGGTTGATGAAAACTACCTACAATTTTAATTACACACTCTGGCAATCCTATTAACTGAAAATCACTTTTTAAACCAGAAGCAACAACGTGTATCAGTGTACCTTATCTAACTAATGATCAGCCCAGAGTGTCAACATATCACTCCTTGTAGGGGAGTGGGGTTATTGCTGGACAAAACATTATTTTTTGGCATTTCCAATATAACTGTGCATGGGTTTATATTACTGTAAATCCCTTTTATTTTCTGGGTACTTAGTTCCTCTTCAGACATATTCACGAATGCAAGACTTTATGAATGTTGATAAGCAAATTACTTTAAATTCATGATAATGAGCTGTAAGATATCTGGATTCTATAAGACTCCTATATTGGTAATGGAATCAACATGGATGCTATCCAGAATTATTTGAATTCGCAATTGTCTCTTCTTGAATATTAAAGAGAAAATAAATCCCACAAGTGATTTACCAGACATGGATTGTTAGATAAAGATATCAGTATATCATAATACAGCAACCTCTCCCTTCCTTTTAATTACTTACTTTAAATGTACAGAAGCCAATACTTTCTATTCATATTCATTTCATCACAATTGTAATCAGTACTACTCAACTAAGCAAAGATCTATTTTCTGAAATTCGGAATGAAATCAAATCTTCATTCAAAGATGATAAAGGTGACAGCTACTGATAAGAACTACCTTTTCATTGCACTTGATAATTTCTCGACGAAGATGAGCAGCAGCCATTGCACATCCACATGGTTCTGGTTCTGTGCCGCGACATTTACATGCACCAATCACTGCTAACTGTACCAAAAGAAATATTATCAGATATTGTACATGATTATAATTATCATGTTCACTTCAATTTACCAGTACATTTCAAAGCTATTTGAAAATTTTTTAAAATCAGATGATGAATTTGAAAATGTCATTAATCTGACAGTTTATGTTTTAATACCTCTATGTATTATTTAAAACTACTTAAGACATGAGTCATATAAGGAAACAAATCGAAGTTGAATCTATTTCAACATAATAAACATTGGTTGCTGTACAAATAGAGGATAATGGGTACCCGGTATTCCCAAACCAGACGGCTGAGACCCATTTATAACAAAATTAGTTATACAAAATCAATTCCCTTTCACCTAAGAATGCTTCAGACCAAATATGGGCCGAATACAATTCCTACAAGAAGAATAGAATTTTAAATGTTCTTCTTCTGGACTCCAACCCTAAGGCCAATGGGGGCCAAGACCCCCATTTATACCAAAAATTTGTTCCCCTTCCCCAAGGGATGCTTCTGGCGAAATTCTATACAACATTATCAGGAAAAAAATTGACAGAAGAATGGAAGGATGACAGACAGACAACACACTATGCCATAAGCACATCAGGGCTGAGTGAGCTTAAAATCATGAAGAGAAAGTTTTGTCCCACAAAAATTTTAATTGTATTTTAATTAAACATTCTTTCAAAGATGAAACAATATATACTTATTTATCAACTATCAGAACTTCCATGCTTATGTCTACAGTCTAAGGTAACATTTTTAATACATAGGCCAATCAAACATTGCATTAAGTCAGGCACCTACAGCATTCTTAACAAAAGAATGATTATGTGCATGCAATTACAGCCTTGGATCTCAATAGGTCCACTCCTCGTCTGATACTCATCCAGATAGTCAATTAAGAATTCCAGTGATAATGATCATGTCCTAGTAATAGATTTTATGATATATTCATTTATCTTTTAATTTTCCTGAAAAAAACCTTTCTTATACATGGAGATTGCACCTTCTATACCATTTTAACTGATCATTGTATTTGTTAGAGTCTGTCCCCAATGATGTGTGACTTTATCACTATTGAGGGTGTCCTCTAAGTTGTCTTAATTTGCCACTAAAGAGTTTGTCCTTTATGATGGGTAACCTTGTCACTACTGAGTTTGTCCTTAAAGTTGGCTTTCTTTGTCACTAAAGAGTTTGTCCTTTATGATTAGTGACTTTTTCAGTATCGAGTTTGTCCTTTAAGTTGGCTTACTTTGTCACTAAAGAGTTTGTCCTTTGTGATTGGTGACTTTTTCACTATCGGGTTTGTCCTTTAAGTTGGCTTACTTTGTCACTACTGAGTTTGTCCTTTGTGATTGGTGACTTTTTCACTATCGGGTTTGTCCTTTAAGTTAGCTTACTTTGTCACTACTGAGTTTGTCCTTTGTGATTGGTGACTTTTTCACTATCGGGTTTGTCCTTTAAGTTGGCTTACTTTGTCACTACTGAGTTTGTCTTTTGTGATTGGTGACTTTTTTCACTATCGGGTTTGTCCTTTAAGTTGGCTTACTTTGTCACTACTGAGTTTGTCCTTTGTGATTGGTGACTTTTTTCACTATCGGGTTTGTCCTTTAAGTTGGCTTACTTTGTCACTACTGAGTTTGTCTTTATGATGGGTGACTTTGTCACTACTGAGTTTGTCTTTATGATGGGTGACTTTGTCACTATCGGGTTTGTCCTTTAAGTTGGCTTACTTTGTCACTACTGAGTTTGTCTTTATGATGGGTGACTTTGTCACCAGTGAGTTATAGATTTTCTTTTGATTATGATGGTATAATGTTCAACTTACCTGAACTTGGCCCTTGTTTATCATGCATATTGTTTAGTAACATGCCTCATGCTTAAACAAGAGATATACACATACCTCAGGTGACACTTGACCTTTACTATGACCTTCGACCTTTACCTCAGCTGATGTGTATTGGCTGTACTCCTGATCATCTGAAGACGTACTTTTTGATTTTGAATATTTCCCTCTTTCCTGAACATCTAACAAAGCGATAAGCTCATCTCGCTCCCGGCACAGACCTGTATGAAGAACAAGCACTGATCAGACACCACAATCTATTCCCCAACTACCACACAATGAGAATGAGAAATTTGTCTGTTTTCAAGGATGGTGAACTTATAGCCCCAACCTCCACACTTGTCTATCTATCATTTTATTACTTTGAAGACAGCAAACCCATTTTTTACTTGTTATGATTTGTAGTGAATTATGATCTTTCCCTATACAACGTATTTTTTTAAATTGTCAGTTTTACATATAAATTAGCAGCATTTTACGACAGATCATATAATCAAGCCCCAACTGATTCAACAATTTATAAAACACAAGTTGGTACAGAACAGGTCCATTCATCCCTGAACACTATTTGTTTCACTCTTATTAGTTATTTTTTAAAAGTTATAAAATCAATTGCTTTTGCTTGTGTTTTAGAAATAGCTTAAAAAAATTTTAGAGAAAGAAATACCACAGACAAAACTACTCGTTGTGTGACCTTTATAACTCAAATGTTTGTACTTACACAGATTCTGTGAACCAGCAGCCTTTCATTCAAACATTTGTACTCACACAGATTCTGTGAACCAGCAGCGTTTAATTCAAGCATTTGTACTCACACAGATTCTGTGAACGAGCAGCCTTTAACTCAAACATTTGTACTCACACAGATTCTGTGATCAAGCAGCCATTAACTCAAACATTTGTACTCACACAGATTCTGTGAACAAGCAGCGTTTAACTCACACATTTGTACTCACACAAATTCTGTGATCAAGCAGCCATTAACTCAAACATTTGTACTCACACAGATTCTGTGAACAAGCAGCCATTAACTCAAACATTTGAACACAGATTCTGTGAGCGTTTAAACTCACACATTTGTACTCACACAACATTCTGTGAACCAGCAGCCAAGCATTTGTACTCACACAGATTCTGTGAACTTTAACTCAAACATTTGTCTTTTAACTCAAACATTTGTACTCACACATTCTGTTAAAGCCATTAACTCAAACATTTGTATCCCTGCACACAAATACACTGAAATACTGTTAAAGCTACATTATCCCTGCATACACTGAAATAGAAATCATGTTACCATGTTGTATCAACACTTTGTTTATAACAGGTCAATGTGTATTGATTGTGGTTAATGTAAAATATTTTACCCTTCCTACAATTATGATAGTTATTAATATTTGTCATTGTTATCCAGATATATATTTAGGCAGTACAAACTGTTACCTTTAACAAAGAAAACATAAAACGAAAGTGAATATTTATTCTTAATCCTATTTGAAATTTTTTACAAATAACGATCATACCAATGATGACGAGACATCAGATTGCCTGATTATACAGGATACAGAGATAACATGAGGAAATCAAATAATTCTATAATAATTGTTCAGAAATAATTGTAATACTATATAGGCCAGGGCATTAGATTTATCAGTTCTGTAGGACTATGTTATATTAATATTTGAACCGACCTGTCAAAGCGAACAGCCCACATCTGTTGACTATCCTCCAAACTACTGCCCTGTTTATCCAGTTCAAAGTGCAGCTTGTTAACCTCCTACAATATAGTTATCCTCTATTACTTATCTTATGATGTCTGCTATGCATATAATAAATAACCAACTTATTAACTGAGTCTTTATATATCAAGATATTTTCATGCATCAAGTTTAAAATACCATATTGGTGCTGATCAGGTATTAGATAGCAAATCGATAAGTGTTCCTCACTTTAAATTCATAACTATACATTCATAATTTCTATTATTGTCCACTTTTTTCCTTCTCCATGCCACTATATCATACAACAGACTCAGGTCAAAGCCAGAGAGTTGCCTTACTGAAGGGCAAAGAAAACTTTTTTTCTTTATTTGTTTTTTTTTCATAGGGATGGGCTTATTTGCAAATTTTTATTCAAACTTTCGCAAAAATTGTTTGTACATCATAGTCAACTTGCGTGAAGTAGGTTATTGTTAACAAAAATGGTTTATTGTTTTTATATACTATTGTTAGATCATAGTAACTATGTAATTTACCTTCTCAAGTGAATGACTATAGCTTTTTGTCTTCTGATCCTTTTCTTCAATTTCTGAAACCTGTTGTAAAGAAACAAATTGAGAAATTTTTTTTAAAGCTTTGCATATTCCACACTTTTTATCAAATTACTGTATTTGATTCCAAGTTCATTACTTTTTACAGTAAATAAAGTACTAGTTTCCATTTCAGTTATTACTGTACATGCATCGGTCTTGAAAAATTTCAAATCTCAAGTTACTAAAGACAACCATCATGAAAAAATCTGTTAATACATCCAACATAGTACAGTGTTGGTACTTTTTTCTGGAAAATTGTGAAAAATGCAAATTAAAAGATGACCAAAACAAACTAAATAAGAAAGGTGACTTCAAGAATTAACTACATTTTCAATGGACGGCTCTATACAATACCAGAAATGTGGGTATTTATCCTACATCAACATTTGTTTTGTGTGAGTATTTTTCGATTAGGACCTGTTTTTACTCATCATTGTAAGTACAAAAGGTAGGATCATTTATTATATTACTTATCTAGCAGGTTTTATATCTACAATTATTTTGACCATTCTGCTGATGACACTGTGTTTTACTCCTACACTTTCTAGGGATATCAAAAATCTAAATATGAATAGAAGAAATGATTTGTGTAAAGTTATGAATGTGTGGAGTAAGACAAGATCAGCCCTTTCCTGACTTTATATATATATATATAGATGTATCTTACCTGTGTTTTTAAAATAGCAATAGCTTGATATTTTGCCTCCAGTCGTTTGTGATATATTTCCAAATCTATCTTCAGTTCTTCAACTTCCTATAATTGCAAAACAAAATACTTCAGTTTTCCATGTTCAATATCATCATATTTACTATTGAAGCATATCTACTTTTGAATTGCATAACCATTTTACCATTTTTTAACTATCTATATTTTTCTAACTTTAACTTTGTGCCAAGACTTAACATCACATTTAGGTCAATATTTCTAACTAACACTTTTTTCTTTAAAGAATTTTTTTTTTCATTAACTGGTAATGATTTCTTGGCTGATAATTAACAGGATTCCATGTGAACAAGCATCGAATTGAACCCCTCTGACCTACAGCAAGTGAACCTGTTTATTTCTTAATAAGTTTACAAAATATTTATCCTTAAAGAAAGACAAAATTTTATCTGAGTCATCCTTATAATTGATAATTTCCCAGTGACTAAGACTTTACATTTTGTCTTTAGCTGTGTTTCATAACATAAATTTATCAGTTTTAAAATAATAAAAAAAGACTACTTTCTGTGATTTTGACCTTTGGCCTGTTGACTTTGTCTTTCAGTCACATGCTTTCTTGTGACTCTAAACAATTCAACATCAGACTTACCAGATTACATACATTTGACCTCTGTCTTTCTCCTTTGACCTTCATCTTGGTGAGGTAATAATCTTTCGATTGTGGCCAAAACTGCCATGTTTAGAAAATATGTCCAATATGCAGGCCACAGCCATGATAAGCTAATATCTATTTCTACCTGTTATGACTTCGATTTTGAGGTGATTTTTTTACTGAAACACCAACTCCTTCTTTTACTGAAACACCAACTCCTTCTACATTAATCTAGTTCTCAATCCATTTACAAAGTTACAAAGTTTCAGGTCAGGGGCCATGGTATGACAAGAAATAGAACACATACAGACAGACTGTGATATCATATGAGCTGTAGAAGATAGCATTTTATTAGTCAATTGAAACATTTCATACAACAATAAGTGGCCAATTGACTGTATTTCTCACCAGATTTTTTTATCACTCTTCAATGATTTTCAAAATAGGTCAAGGTCAAATCCATTCCAATAGCATTAATATTATCATCTTGTTCAAAATAGATCTTTGTCATAAGTTATTATTACATATGTCAGTCTACAAATTAGGAATTTTGATGGAAGAAAATAACAATCAAAATTTAATTTATATCAAAATTAACACAGGTTCAGTCTGGTGGTCAATGCTCCAAGGTCAATCTGGAAAACACTTCTTTTCAAGGTAAATTTGGTAGTCCCTGCCTCACAATCAGGCTAGTGGTTACTGCTTCTAAAACAGTCCAGTGGTCAATGCTCCAAGGTCAGTCTGGAAGTCACTTCCACAACGGCAGTTTGGTATTCACTGTATCAATGTCAGTCTGGTGGTCACTGCTTCAAGATCAGCCATGAAGTCTCTGCCTCAAGGTAAGTCAGACTGGTGGCCAATGTCTCAATATCATTTTGTTTTTGTGGGGTTCATGATCCTTCCAACAGTCAACGTTGTAGTGAAGCAAATGCCATGAAGGACATAATGAGGAGGGAAAAGCACAGAAACAGAATCAAGATCCCAAGTACGATAACCTTATTTGGGCTGTCTGATGTCCCCTTATCATTGGAGAAGAATGAAGGCTAGTTAAGTGGTAAATACCTTCAGGCCTGTCTAGTAGTCTATGTCTCAAGGTCATATTGTTTGGTGGCAGATGAATCAGGACCAACTTATTTATAACTGCTTTCAATAAATTATACATTTTCTATTTATCCTAAAATAAGCCCCTCCCCTAGTACACAAAGTTCAGCATTTTAGCTTACTATTCTAGTATTAATAATTCAATAAAAATCAGAAAAATGAGGAAGGGATTATTTGTGGGCAAAGGCATCTTTGCGGATGAAGATGGTACGATTCCAGATATTCGGTTTTGTGTATATCTATATAGGCACATAACACAGATTTCCTGTTATTTTTATTGATGTTAAATGATTGCTGGGTATTTAATATTGTGCTATCTTTGATGACTGTTAAAATTTAACCCTACAAATACTATCAATTATATAGTTGTTTTTGGACATTTCAAACATTTAATCTACTAAACTGAGTCATTATTGGAATTTTTCAGTGCCAGGTGTATTTTTGTGAATCTAGATAGTAACAAATAGTGATTGATATAATTGTGCAAGTCACAAGAAATTCTCACCTGTTCTGCCTCAAATAACTTTTTTTCTATTGCATCTCTACTAAGACTTCTCTGAAGGTTTGCTGAAAAAAGGAGCAAATAATAATGTAAAATTCTAAAGCTACAACTGATGACAGCAATACATCTTGCTTAAATTTTTTTTTAAATAATTTAATCTTATTTCATCTATGCTTCAAATTCTTCTAATTCTATAATTACTGATGGCATCCTCATAGCTTGGCGACAATAGTGAAAAAGAGGATTGTTTCTTTATTGCAACACTTTGAAATACATGAGTTTTGTTGATTATGCCTCATCACCTACAAGCTGGTTAAATGGGTACAGGTGTATAAAAACAACAGGAATAACCACTGGTGTGACTAGGGAGTGAAACAGGAGCAACAAAAACTAAAAAAAAAATTAATCAACCTAAAAATACCTGTTTAAAAGTGGTATCTTTAGTACAAAAAAATCACAACAGAACGACCATGTCTTCTTTCATACTACTTAGGAGCAGCTACATTATCAGACGTATGCCCTATTTCTGAAGTTGACACCAATATTTTTTTGGTCAAGGTGGGTTAAGGACAGATAGAATGAACCCAAAATTTCTATGACAAACCAAGGCAATGGGAGCTGATTGTGCCATTTTCCATATTGAAAGAAATGACATTTCATCTTCATCCAAACCCAGAGACATTTTCAAGAGAAATGTGAAGTTGGAAGCGACATTTAAAGCCGGAAGAACCAAAGAAGTATGGGTTGCTGAAATCATCACTCAGGAAGACTTCAGCAGTTTCAGGCCTAACCATGAAGGTATTTGACAGTCAACTAATATGGATCAACAAACTCCTACACAAAAGATTTGGTCACCATGTTGTGAAGTTTAGGAATATGAAATATCCAGTGAACTACCTCCCTGACTTATTTCACCTTCAAACCAGAGAGCTGGCGACCCTACCACACTGGAATGCTTTTGCAGTACATTTGCAGAATAAGAAGAATTGTTGCATCTGCACAGAAGAATTAGAAGTCTCTGAATCGGCACACGCAACGGTCCTTTAAAAGGTCACAAACCCCCACAAAAGCATCCAGTTGAATGCCCTGAATTACGTAAAGCAAAAAAAACAATTTTGAACTTTTGAAAAAGAAGAAAAACAAAGTTTAAAAAAAAAAGAAAAAAGAAATACTGTAGTGAAAAATGAACACATGAAGCTAATTCCATGTAGTTTTCCATAGAACATTATCATCTAAGGGGAATAACTCCAGAAAACGATAAAAAATGAGACAACACAAAAATCAATATAATGCTTTTTATTTCATACTCTTGAAGTGAATGTGACCAAAACATTACTTTTTTGGGTATCTGATCGCCTCTCAAGCCTTTAAGAACCTTTTGGTGGTCTTTGGGGAGAGGTTTGAGGTGGGGGTTGGGGAGGGGTAAATAATTTCAGAAAATACATCCACACATTTGTCACTTTCAATATTTTTGTAACATTTTCAACAAGTTCCAAGGGTTCAATTTCCAAAACTTGAAATTGCTGATATCCATGTTGGAGGGGATTCTGGTGGTCAGCATCAGACATAATATTACTGTACTAACAGCAAAAAGTGGTCAAGAATATTACTGCAAATACAAGAGAAATGGACTTATCACTACTTACTTTTTGAATAACCATCAGGAATAAACATCTGTGATGAGGAATCTAAAGAAACACATCTCTGTCTTATATTGGAGAGATCTTTTGCAAAAAGCCTCTTTTGTTGTTTAAGTGAAGTTCCATAAGGAATATCTGCAAACGTTGGAAAGTTATCGTCATTCCCATTTTCACTCACATTATCAGATTCGATTGAAGATTGACTAAGTGTTTTCGTTCTTTTAGGAAATATCAGCCGTGATTTACTCTGAATCGGCGCATGCAATTCATCGCAGTAAAAATCATCTGGTAAATATTTCTCCGATTGTTTCGGCGTTTTCTTCACCTTCCAATCTTTTAATATTTTTGGGAGGGCTCCGGGACGCAACCCTTCGCCAAGCCCCAAATCACCATTTTCTGAACTGTTTTCTTCTGAAGTTGCATCAAGCGACATGACGATGCCTCAACACAGTCGTAGTAGTTAATTTCATTTGTAAACAACGGCAGATTACATATGGGAAATCGGCAGTCGTGGAAGACCGAACAACACCTGTAAACAGGAAGACCTTACAAAAAATATAGTTCTTCAAAAAATACAAAAACAATCAGATGATAAATCATTTTCCTGATAAATGTCTAATATATACGTCAGACTGAATTTATGACATGATATTTTTAAGCGCCATTGTTACGTTTTAAGCGTCAGTATTAAAATGCGTATGGATTTCATCGATTTTCAAATGTAAACAGTCGAGGCTAATCTAGTTAACAAATCAGGATGAATATTATCCGGATATCTAATAATATCTGATCTTTTTGTATCCGAATCCCTTGATATATTATAAAACTATTTATGTCTGTGAATGAATGATATCCATATAGCAAACAATATCTTATGTTCATATTTATAATTATGATAGTGAAATAGCGGATTCTTACATTCAGCATTTAGACCATCCAATCATCTCAATCAGATATGGGTTTGTTTTGGGCGGATTTTCAATACATTTATTTGAGAGCGTTCATTTGACGCAGAACACCAAAAATCGCAGCATGTCGTTCGATTTGGAAGGATTGGTAAATAACTTTCTTAAGTTATATTATGGATTGATATGTCTGAAACTTATTACCTAACTTTCTGACCGTTCTTACGACCACATGTCAACGTTTAATAGGTTGACATTCGAAAATCTGGCACCTGTATACAGATGCACACATAAGTGCCTCAGATACTATGGGAGTCGGACACGTGCTTGTATTATAGTATTCGGGTTGTTTCTATACCAATTATTTTATATTCTGATTGACAGAATGTCAGACTTTTATCGAAAAAATGAAATTAGACTGAAAAGTCCTGTCTTTAACATTCTAATTTAACGTCAATATTCACATTCGAAATGGGCATTATAAGTGAAAATGTAATGTAAATAGCATTTAGCTTGAATATTGACATCGAACATTTGAACATTTTAGAGACAAAACTTTTCGGTCCAATGCAAAATAGACTTAACATTGGGCTACTTATAACTATGACTGTTCACATGAACTTGTATCATGATAAATAATCAGGGATGTTACATTTACATATGTTAGTGATATGAAAAAGGCAAAGCCTAAAAAGAGCGTAGCATTTGCTAAGTGAATAAATTTACAATCACTGGAGCAGAGAAATCGAGCAGAAACAAGGTAAAGATTCAGCATACTGTATTTATTATAAAGCAAATAAAAAGTAGGAGTCTTGTCGTAGATAAAAATCTAGAGTTGGATTTAGATACTGATTGGTCAATTTTTTTTCTACTTGTGTCTTCTTTACTGTATTATCTTCTCACAGATGATAGTCAGTATGCAGTTGACATGATTCTATTATAAAGTAATATGTGGTGACGTAATAGGTTTTCGCGTAGTCTGGATCAGCCAGAGTCTTGACACGTGTAAACAAGGATACTACATCAATGGATTTAAATTAGTTTTAAGGGTTGATAAACATAATTTTTTATGGAATATTCAATAGTCAGAACTACAAATTTCACTCGCCCGCCGGACAAGTAGCTGAAACAAATCACTTGCCCGCAAGTAGCTTTGACTCATCTAGAGGAGTGGACGAGTGGATTTTTCTAACCCTGAAAGATTTAAATCACAAATTGTGTCAAGCAAATATTGGAACAAAGCATACACCACAGCGATAATTGTGGTATGTAGGTAACACATATCTTTTCCACACAGTCGCTTGATCTCTTCATAAATGCAACACATGTGGGAGGGATGGTAACTCTGCCCAGTCACAAATTTTAATTCCCAAACTCTAGCGTTTGAAGAGCTCCACTCAGGCATTCAGGAGCTACACTTTTGTATATGTTTGTGAAGCTTCGGCAAATCAATGTGAGTTACCTAGCATTGTTGTGTTTACATGCAATTTTTATCATGAAGTTCATATGCTTAATTTTGTTGCAAAATGAATAGTAGTAGAAAGCTGGATAATTTTCAAATTGAAAAGGGTTACTATTGTAACTGATAATTTTTATTATCTTTATGTATTTTGAAAACAAAAAACACATATTGTATATCACTTTTAGTCCAAAATTATAAGAAATTTGTTTTCAAATGAATGGCAATAAAAAGCTGAGTTATTCTACATTTAACATAAGTAACTTAATGATACTTAGTTTTAATTTATTTTTATAATTGTTTTGTTAAACAATGAGTTTCACTTTTCACTTGTCAGACCTAAGTTTACATAAATAATACCTTAGAAGTGAAAGGGGCACAGGTAAGGTAGATAAGATTGAATAACAACAAATGGGGGCTTCGATGATATCACAGTTTAGTGATCAAACTCTAAAGCATACCAGGTACATCACATTAGCTTCCACTGGGCATTATTCCATTCCTTGTATGATACATTCTAGTGCTGTGAAATGAACATATTTTAGAACTAACAGACCCATACATCATTATTTTAGTCACATAGAGAAAAATGGCATTGAATTATTTTGTATGTTGTAATTTTGACAGAATGTGAATCAGATGACAGCACCAGCTAATGCACCAAGTACTGATGCCTCAAAATATCAGAACGATGTAAGTATATAACAGTTGAATGTTTATAGATTGAGAATTACATTTACACAAATCTTTAATGGATTAATGCATGTTGAAATCGTTGCAGTGACATAATTAAAGTAATGTGATTCTGAATCAGTTGGAAAATTATTAATTCATTTTATGACAAAAGGTCTTAAAATTTTCATTGTTATATGGTACATGTAATAAATGTAATTTTTTTTTTAAGAAATATCTATATTTGTAGTTAATACATCTTTGTATATGATGATGTACAAATTTAAAAAAAATATATATATATTTGCTTGTTAGCCCACCATCTAATAGATGGTGGGTTATTCAAATCACCCTGCGTCTGTGGTCCGTCCGTCCGTAAACAATTCTTGTTACCGCTATTTCTGGAAAAGTACTGGATGGATCTTTCTCAAATTTCATATGCAGGTTCCCCTTGGTCCCTAGTTGTGCATTGTACCTTTTTTGGACTGATTCGAATTCAAGATGGCCGACAGGTAGCCATCTTGGATTTTGGAAGTAAAAGTTTGTTACCGCTATTTCTGAGAAAGGACTGGATGGATCTTCCTCAAATTTCATATGCAGTTGTCCCTTGGTCCCTAGTTGTGCATTGTACCTTTTTTGGACTGATTCGAATTCAAGATGGCTGACAGGTAGCCATCTTGGATTTTGGAAGTAAAAGTTTGTTACCGCTATTTCTGAGAAAGGACTGGATGGATCTTCCTCAAATTTCATATGCAGTTTCCCCTTGGTCCCTAGTTGTGCAGTGTACCTTTTTTGGACTGATTCGAATTCAAGATGGCCGACAGGCAGCCATCTTGGATTTTGAATGTAAAAGTTTGTTACTGCTATTTCTTGGAAAGTACTGGATGGATCTTTCTCAAATTTCATATGCAGGTTCCCTTTGGTTCCAAGTTGTGCATTATACCTTTTTGGACTGATCTGAAATCAAGATGGCTGACAGGCAACGATCTTGGATTTTGAGAGTAAAATCTTGTTACTGCTATATCTGAGGAAGTACTGGATGGATCCTTCTGATATTTCATAGATATTGGTTTCCCTTGGTCCCTAGTTGTGCATTGTACCTTTTTTGGACTGATTTGAATTCAATATGTCCGACAGGTGGCCATCTTGGATTTTGGATGTAAAAGTTTGTTACTGCTATTTCTTGGAAAGTACTGGATGGATCTTTCTCAAATTCCATATGCAGTTTCCCCTTGGTCCCTAGTTGTGCATTGTACCTTTTTTGGACTGATTCGAATTCAAGATGGCCGACAGGCAGCCATCTTGGATTTTGGAAGTAAAAGTTTGTTACTGCTATTTCTTGTAAAGTACTGGATGGATCTTTCTCAAATTTCATATGCAGTTTCCCCTGGGTCCCTAGTTGTGCATTGTACCTTTTTTGGACTGATTCGAATTCAAGATGGCAGACAGGTGGCCATCTTGGATTTTGAATGTAAAAGTTTGTTACTGCTATTTCTTGGAAAGTACTGGATGGATCTTTCTCAAATTTCATATGCAGGTTACCTTTGGTTCCAAGTTGTGCATTATACCTTTTTGGACTGATCTGAAATCAAGATGGCTGACAGGCAACGATCTTGGATTTTGAGAGTAAAATCTTGTTACTGCTATATCTGAGGAAGTACTGGATGGATCCTTCTGATATTTCATAGATATTGGTTTCCCTTGGTCCCTAGTTATGCATTGTACCTTTTTTGGACTGATTTGAAATCAAGGTGGCCCACAGGTAGCCGTCTTGGATGTCGACAGTAATACAGCACAAGCATATTGTCCATTATCCACCTGTAACTGACTGCTATCTAATAATACTTTGGGATCTTTTTCAAATGATATTTACTAATAGGTGCTTAATAAAAATATCTTGTGCCATCATTGAGTACATTCAGTGAAGACCAGAACATGAACATTTACAACACCTGTAACAAACAAACGAAAAATAAACAAATCTTCAAGAACTGAAAACAGATCCTCAAATGGTGGGCGCCAAGATCCCTCTGGGATCTCTTGTTTCGAAAAGCATCTCCTATTGTTTTCATTATAGTCTAGAAGTTTGTTTCAGTTTAATATGAATGGAAAAAAATAGCAGTCTTGTAGGAATGACCCTTTTTTATCTCTCAGTTGAATGAATGAAAGGATAAAGTGAATCCTCTTTCTGTCCACCTTTCATTCCAATGTTGCAATACCAACTCCTTTTGCATTTTTAACCACATTTGCTCATTATTATACAGCAGATACAGATGTATATGACCCTTTTGGAATTTTACTGATAAAAAGCTGAATAAATCAACTCTTTTCACAGTTTAACTTTGGTCCAATGGTAATTGGGAAGTTGTTAAAAGGAAAAAGTTAATGCCAGATGAGGTTTTTAAACTAGATTCACTTCACATTTGATATGCATCATCAGTATGACATCAGGACATGCACTGTTGTTTCTTTCTCATTTCAATGGAGTTATGGCCTTTCTAAATATTTCAGTTACCCAGTTACTTTTCAGGCAGTTAAAACAACATCGTTTTCTGAGCAATAGTGCGCATTCAGCCGAAGCCAGGTGTCATCAATCTGCTCATACTCAACATGTTTGTTACCTGTTAAGAACCGTTAAATATCCAATTAGCCAAGCCTTTCATGCTTGTTAAGTCAGGCACCGGTGTGAATTTGTTTACATAAGGTAATTAAATATGTTGGGGTCAGGATGATTATGGTTTCCTAATTATCAATGGATCAAACCACAACTGTTTCATCGCGGTAACCAGTAATCAATTAATGTTTCTGTAGAATTTTTTTTTTTTAATCTGACCCCAAAAAAGTACCTGCACACTATACCCGAGTGCACACTATACCCACAAATTTACGGTAGTACAGATAAAGTTTGGTAAACAGTTTTATTATGAGCTGAGGATGCGCACCTGTTTTTTCATACAGATTATTAATTGTTTTAGCTCTTCTTTTTATGATCAAAGAATATGATGTTTTTTTTTCTTTAGGTAAATCTTGAAATGCAGTGGGCTATGAAAGCTTACAGTCATGCAGAAGTTTATTTTAATGTAAGTTTAATATCAAAGAATTTGATATCGTTTTATGAGCCTCACATTTCCTTACGATATTGAAAATATACAATAAGAAGGTGTATAATGAATTTCATGCAACTTTGCAAGGTGTTTTTAAATTTCTGTATGCTTATTTCTAAAGTTATTGGTTAATAAGTGAACTTTAGTGATAGTATTATATGGTTATAGCTATAAAGTGCAGTGTTTTTTGAAATTTGAATGTGGTGGTGCTGTTAATTTGACAAAATAAGAGGCTTTAAATATATTTTTGATCTGACTTTCGAATTATGTTTCTTAGTCTAAATGTAATATTTTGAAAATAAATTCATTTTCCTACATTAACCTGATATAGTTGCTGTGTTCCGTTGACACTCCCTTGCTGAGACTGACAAACAAGGATGATGTGATGTATGAACACTTTCGGAAAACTTTCCCAGACATGGCGATTGATGTCATTGATGAGACTAGTTTGAAAACAAGTGATGCAAAATCTGTATGTTAACATTTACACTTACAAGAATGATATACAAGTGAACCTGTTTACTCATGAATAATTTTCAATTTCTATTCATACTGTGATGCAACCTATCAGATTCTAATTATGAATTAATCTGCACTTGTTTAAATAAGATAATAGATAAATCTTTTCGTAAATTATATTTTACAGGTATGGCGTGAATTTGTACAGAGCTATGAAGGTGAAGTAGAAGATTATAATTTTGGAACACTGTTACGCAGAGATAGTTCTGGAGATATCTCTGATAACAACACAATGCTAGGTATACACATGATATTCTTATTGATAATGTGCCGTAATATATCAATAATGCTTAAATATTCCAATATTGATGAGGTAGCTGAAGCCACAAATATACATCTAGATATTGTGAGATTTCAGTTAGTGAATGAGAGGATAAAGAGAGATAAATGTCACATTGACTGAGTCTCCATTGTGTACTCATTTCAGGTTTTTCACTGCCTACTAGGGTCTTTTGTGTAAAGTATCAACTCTGTTATTGTTCAGACTCAACACTGCCTAGCAGTATCCTTTGTGTAAACTATCAAATCTGTTATTGTTCAGGCTTCACACTACCTATGAGTACCAATATCCCATGGGTAACCTATCAAATCTGTTATTGTTCAAGCTTAACACTGCCTAGCAGTATCCTTTGTGTAAACTATCAAATCTGTTATTGTTCAGGCTTCACACTGCCTAGCAGTATCCTTTGTGTAAACTATCTGGACTCAGATCTGTTAGTACCAATATCTCAAATCTGTTATTGTTCAGACACTGCCTAGCAGTATCCTTTGTGTAAACTATCAAATCTGTTATTGTTCAGGCTTAACACTGCCTCAGAGTATCTTTGTGTAAACTATCAAATCTGTTATTGTTCAGGCTTCACACTACCTAGGAGTATCTTTGTGTAAACTATCAAATCTGTTATTGTTCAGGCTTAACACTGCCTAGCAGTATTCTTTGTGTAAACTATCAAATCTGTTATTGTTCAGGCTTAACACTGCCTAGCAGTATCCTTTGTGTAAACTATCAAATCTGTTATTGTTCAGGCTTCACACTGCCTAGCAGTATTCTTTGTGTTCAGGCTTCACACTGCCTAGCAGTATTCTTTGTGTAAACTATCAGATCTGTTATTGTTCAGGCTTCACACTGCCTAGCAGTATTCTTTGTGTAAACTATCAGATCTGTTATTGTTCAGGCTTCACACTGCCTAGCAGTATTCTTTGTGTAAACTATCAAATCTGTTATTGTTCAGGCTTAACACTGCCTCAGAGTATCTTTGTGTAAACTATCAAATCTGTTATTGTTCAGGCTTCACACTGCCTAGGAGTATCTTTGTGTAAACTATCAGATCTGTTATTGTTCAGGCTTCACACTGCCTAGCAGTATTCTTTGTGTAAACTATCAAATCTGTTATTGTTCAGGCTTCACACTGCCTAGCAGTATTCTTTGTGTAAACTATCAGATCTGTTATTGTTCAGGCTTCACACTGCCTAGCAGTATTCTTTGTGTAAACTATCAAATCTGTTATTGTTCAGGCTTCACACTGCCTAGCAGTATCCTTTGTGTAAACTATCAAATCTGTTATTGTTCAGGCTTCACACTGCCTAGCAGTAAACTATCAAATCTGTTATTGTTCAGGCTTCACACTTTGTGTAACACTATCAAATCTGTTATTGTTGGGTAAACTATCAAATCTGTTATTGTTCAGGCTTCACACTGCCTAGCAGTATCCTTTGTGTAAACTATCAGATCTGTTATTGTTCAGGCTTCACACTACCTATGAGTACCAATATCCCATGGGTAACCTATCAAATCTGTTATTGTTCAGGCTTCACACTGCCTAGCAGTATTCTTTGTGTAAACTATCAAATCTGTTATTGTTCAGGCTTCACACTACCTATGAGTACCAATATCCCATGGGTAACCTATCAAATCTGTTATTGTTCAGGCTTCACACTGCCTAGCAGTATCCTTTGTGTAAACTATCAAATCTGTTATTGTTCAGGCTTCACACTGCCTAGCAGTATTCTTTGTGTAAACTATCAAATCTGTTATTGTTCAGGTTTATCCTTTGTGTAAATGATCAAATCTGTTATTGTTCAGGCTTAACACTGCTTATGAGTACTGAATACTATCTAGGAGTATCCTTTATTTAAGCAATCAAATCTGTCATTATTCAGGCCATAATGCTTTGTCTAAGATCGGTTATTGTTGTTGATGGTATTATGTTATTAATTTTCAGTTTTAAGAGTCCAGTTTCTGGCCATTGAGATAGCAAGAAATCGTGAAGGTCACAATGTAGCTGTAAGGGAAAATGCAAAGAAACAGAAAGAAGAATCAAGTTCATAGCACAAAAATTGTTACATTTTCATTAAATTGAATAATTTGAATGACATTTGCAATTGACATACAAATTATAGTGTTATTGCAAACATATGTAGTTTGATATAAACATTGTGGTCCTAACAAAAGAGAAGTAAAGACTCCTTTTCACTGCTGTATGAAACATGGACTACCTGAGAAGATGTGCCTTGGTACTGAATCTCAACCCAACAGATGTGAAATGCTAACAAACTGAGCCAGAATGGAGCTACTCCAAACATATTTGTGTCTATATTAGAACACATTTGTATGACTTCGATTCCTGCTGTTTTTTTAGGGTTAAGACTTTACTTGGCATGATAATGACTTGATTTATCAAATATGCTGTAACTGGTTTATTGTCAGTTCCTATCTTTGAAAGCCTTCCCTTTATTTGTGGGTTCTGTATTTGGTTCCTCTCCGAGTCTCCATACACAGGGTTTCTACATTTGTAGGCAATGGTGTCCTATACAGAATAGTTTTGGTGTGTAAAATTTCATCTGAAAATTTTTATTATTTCACTGAAATCAGAGGACATATTATTGGCTACACCTAAAACACCTGTGATAATTCTACATGTCATGAAGACTATGAATTGTGTTGTAACTTGATACATTTATTTCCTATACTTGAATGTTCATAATAAACGCCAGAAATCTTGAACACTTGCATTCATTTGCATGTGATGACTTTTTGTAGGGTTTTCTCTATGGCTTTGTGGTATGTTTGATGCAGGAAAACATACTGGAAACAGTATGTTTGATGATTTATAAATTATCTCTAATTTGCCTTATTGCTGTTGATCTACCAAAGATGGAAAAATAGAAATAAAATTTCCAGGTCAGTCAGATAATCTATTATGATAGAAACTTTTTTCTGACATAGATATCAAAACAGAAGAAATTATTTTTTTTTACAGAAACTATTTATAACAAGTTTGAAATTTCCTATTTCAAGTGCAGTTGCATCAATGTCTTCCCAGCTTCCTTCCATCCTTATATAGCAAGAATTTGTGTCACTTCCATTGTCATTCATTGTTCATGATTGTTGTTTTATAGCCTGGAGGCACTTAATGGTTCAGTGGAGTTCAGTTTTTCGTTTCAGATTTCTGTGACATTTGACCTTGTTTGGCCCTAGACTTCAGACTGATATTTTCGTAGATTTTTGTTTTAAGTTTCATTGCAATGAAAATTGCAGTCGAGGCATTCATGTTTCGCAAACCTTCTCTAGTTGATGGTGCATTTGATGTGTTAAAGGGACTAAATGGTAAGATTTTATTTTTTTCTATGCGTATTATTTTGGGTAAGGGTTGCATTGCCTAAAGTTAGACTATTCACAAAATTATAGCAATTTTAAGAAAAGTCGATAAAGATTATCAGCTTCAAACTAACACTGGTGAACACTTGCTGTTGTGTCTACTGCAGTTTGCTGTATTGATAGCAGAGTTCATCATGTTTACACTCTCCAAACGATAATGATATAAATTAGTGTTGGATTGCTTCTATTTCATTTTAATTTTTTGACGATTTGATTTTAATTTGTTGATGTTTTAATAGAATGGTTATCCAAACTATTAAATATTATAATCAACAGGAAGTGCACAACTTTTAACAGATATTGAAATGTTGCAATGCTTTTTACAAGTTATGAAATGAAAATCTAACCATTTCGTCCCTTTAAGTATAATGCGACATGCTTTGAAATAAAGACATTACTTTTACATTATAGTCAAAATATAAAAAACTGTGCAAGAAATATCATGATTTTGATATTTGTATGTGCAGATTGTTTCAAAGTTTTCACCGACATGCTTTGAGAGCATGTTCTTTTATTTCAATATAATAATTATGTTGTTATGATATGTTGTCCTTGCTGCTATGTGCTTTGATATTAAAAAAAAAAGATTGTACATTGTACGATTTGTTTGTTGTATGTGACTGTCTGTATGGGTATTCAGATTTAGTTGTATGTGATTGGCTGTATATGGCTGTATGGGTATTCAGATTTAGTTGTATGTGACTGTCTGTATTGGTATTCAGATTTAGCTGTATGTAACTAGCTGTATGGGTATTCAGATTTAGTTGTATGTGACTGGCTGTATGGGTATTCAGATTTAGTTGTATGTAACTGGCTGTGTGGGTATTCAGATTTAGTTGTATGTAACTAGCTGTATGGGTATTCAGATTTAGTTGTATGTGACTGTCTGTATGGGTATTCAGATTTAGTTGTATGTGACTGGCTGTATGGGTATTCAGATTTAGTTGTATGTGTCTGGCTGTGTGGGTATTCAGATTTAGTTGTATGTAACTGACTGTGTGGGTATTCAGATTTAGTTGTATGTGATTGGCTGTATATGGCTGTATGGGTATTCAGATTTAGTTGTATGTAACTGACTGTGTGAGTATTCAGATTAAGTTGTATGTAACTGGCTGTGTGGGTATTCAGATTTAGTTGTATGTAACTGGCTGTATGGGTATTCAGATTTAGTTGTATGTAACTAGCTGTGTGGGTATTTAGATTTAGTTTTGCGACTGGCTGTATGGGTATTCAGATTTAGTTTTGCGACTGGCTGTATGGGTATTCAGATTTAGTTGTATGTGACTGGCTGTATATGGCTGTATGGGTATTCAGATTTAGTTGTATGTGACTGGCTGTATATGGCTGTATGGGTATTCAGATTTAGTTGTATGTGACTGTCTGTATTGGTATTCAGATTTAGTTGTATGTAACTGACTGTGTGGGTATTCAGATTTAGTTGTATGTAACTAGCTGTGTGGGTATTCAGATTTAGTTGTATGTAACTGGCTGTGTGGGTATTCAGATTTAGTTGTATGTAACTAGCTGTGTGGGTATTCAGATTTAGTTGTATGTAACTGGCTGTGTGGGTATTCAGATTTAGTTGTATGTAACTGGCTGTGTGGGTATTCAGATTTAGTTGTATGTAACTAGCTGTGTGGGTATTCAGATTTAGTTGTATGTAACTGGCTGTGTGGGTATTCAGATTTAGTTGTATGTAACTAGCTGTGTGGGTATTCAGATTTAGTTGTATGTAACTGGCTGTGTGGGTATTCAGATTTAGTTGTATGTAACTAGCTGTGTGGGTATTCAGATTTAGTTGTATGTAACTAGCTGTGTGGGTATTCAGATTTAGTTGTATGTAACTGGCTGTGTGGGTATTCAGATTTAGTTGTATGTAACTGGCTGTGTGGGTATTCAGATTTAGTTGTATGTAACTAGCTGTGTGGGTATTCAGATTTAGTTGTATGTGACTGTCTGTATGGGTATTCAGATTTAGTTGTATGTAACTGGCTATGTGGGTATTCAGATTTGTTTACCATAGTAACTAATACTATGTTGTTTTGCCATAATAAAACAGTTATAAAGTCAAATGACATTTACGCTACATATGAATTCCATGTTCAACTTGTTGATATTATTTTGATGAGGACCCCGCCTTGACGGACGCTGCACTGAAAATTTAATAAGAATAAATGTACTCAACATCAAGAAACTAAACTTCATAGTAGATTCTGTATGATGAACCTCATTGTTTTGTATGCAATCTTTATGACAAAAACGGGGAATTAAACTTCCAATAAGTGCATGAAAATCCTAAAAAGATGAAAAGGATCAATGGAAGGGATTTTCTATCCTAGAACATCATGACATGACTGACTAAATGGACAGGCCCCTGAGGTGAAATGATGGATCCACATTTCATCCATAATCTTAAATCTTTGCAGAAAGTTAGCTGGATCTGCCTTTGTAAGGTTCATATTAGCATGCGCCAAAGTCTGTGCTGCTGATAAACTGTCAAAAATCTTGGGGACCCATCTGGCGGAGAGCTTTCTCATTGCAAGATCTTCCGTAAAAATGGACTGCACTTCTTCCTGTGAAATTCCAACTGTATTGGCTATATATCTCTAACTCACCTGTCAGCCACAGTGACAGGCCTTTCAAGATGGGCGTCATCCCCAAGGCTCTGCCTGCCACCATTCAATTCTGCCATCCACCTTTTCACTGTAGCATATCATTCCCTTGTGTTGCTACCATATCAGTATGGCTATCCTTAGGTGCTAGACCTTTCTTATGCAAATATTGAATCACTGCTCTTTCAGTGATTTTGTCCATTTTGCAAAAGTCAATTGTCTTATTTACTTTGGAGTGCCACTTCTTTGAATTTTATTGACCAAATTACACCAGTCTTTGGGTACACAACCTGAAACAGTCAGGGAAAAGTAGAGTTGAAAAAGGACATCCCTGCTCAATTTCTTCAATACAAGGCTCACAACTTATCAATCAGCCCTCATACTTTCTAGAAACTTTGGTGGCGAGATAAGTAAACTTGTGTTAGAGGTGTAGTGTTTTGTGTCTTTGGAGCCAAAGACTTTATGGTAGGATGGGGTACCTAGTAGCTGACTTATAAGGACTGGTCTGGGTCAATCATCTGTTTGAGTTTGTAGGTCCTTGGTTCATTTTCCAGTCTGTCCATTCCTGCCACAATGGTACTTCAGAAATCATTTTTTTCAAGAATAAGAAATGAGTACTTGACTCCAATCTACTTGCACTTGGCAGGGACTATTCTGACCAATATACATGTACATAAATCATACTTGATTTGTGAGTTTTGTATATGTAGCAGGATATTACATGAATATTTAACAAGATACCATTCAATTCTCAATTGATGATCAGTATGTTGGACGTGCTTTTCTACTGTACAAGATCATATGTATTTGTAACTGTTGTAACAAGAAGTGATACCCACCAACAAACCGCCTCACCAAAATGAACCCATTTCCCATGATTAATAGTGCAAAAGATAGGGCCCAGACAACTTTTTTCTTAGATGTAGGTCAAAAATCAAAATATAGGTCAGAGTGACCTATTTTGATATGTGACACACCATCTCACCAAGGTGAACCCATATCCCAAGTATAAAATTCCTGTGATTAGCATAGTGTAGAAGATAGGGCAAGCTTTTCTTTTCATGTGGTCAAAGGTCAAAATATAAGTCAGTGTGACCTATTTAAGGTTCCTGTGATTAGCTACGTAAAAAAAGCTACTATTGATTTGCAACATGCTGTTTCACCAAGGTTAACCCATATACCAAATATTAAGTTTCCATAATTTGTTTTGTAGAAGATAGGGACTTGACATGATAGCAGAAAGAAAAACTGAAACAATGCAAAACTGTAGTCCCCTCTGGTTCCAGACAGGGGACTGAAAAAAGGTACCACACAAAAATTCAACCACTTTCTTTAAAACATTGTTAAGAATTTCATGAAGTGTTTTCATACACTTAAAATTTTCAAGACTTGCACTTTTCCATCAGTACATTCACTACTGTTTTCACCTCCTTAACTTGGATCCGTTTATCTACAGAAAACTTGTAGATACCAGGATAGTTTTGAGGACTTCTGTCTACCAACGGTAATATCACTCAGATACTCACTGATCTTATTTTATTTAGTGCAAATGTTTACATTCCCTCAAGTCATAATACTTAAACTTCCACAGTACAGGAGCCGTTTGAAAACAACATAGTTTGCCTGTTGATGACAAATTTTTAAGTGAATACCAATTGATACACAAAGAAGCACACGTCTGGAAAAAATTGCAGTCAGATGAAGTCAAAAAGATAACAAGGATTTATAATGAAGATTTTATTACATGGATAATAACTCACTCAAACTTAAATAGACAACAACTATGAATACATTGAAGAATTTTCAGCTTTTTCTGACATACTCACACCTGTATTCATTCATTCATTCATTCATTCATTCAATTCCATTCCTGTGTTGTTGTATGATGATTAATTAAACAGTACTGTTATATGTGTATAATAGTATTACATAAGATATACACTCAATATGACAATACAAAACTCAATCCCTCGTGCGATTTATCACAGTTTTGTTCATGGTTCTTTTTATAACATGTTATAGTAGTCATTTTGTTAATGTTTTTTAATATATAATAAACACTAGTCAGAAATGTCAATTTTTTTTACCCAAAGCAGGTAAACCTAGCTACCCAAAACATGCTGTCAACAATAAAGCATCTAGTAACAGATTCCAGGGTATTGTTGCTCTTTCGTTTACCTTATTGAATTTATTACTCCTAAATTGAGGTCTCCTTGAATATCCTTGTGATATTTACCTTGGACTCCGATACCAGACAGACCACTGACCATTGCCCACAGAATCTTCATGCCAGAAAATTGTGTTGGTTTACTGATTTTTTTTCTACTTTTTCATACCTGTTTTTATATATATTTCTTCTTGTTCTTATTTTAATCATCCAGTAACCAGTCTTCGTTTGCCTGAATAGATTTGTTCATCGATAACAGTAGTGAAAAATCCAAGATGGCGACCGAGGATATCGGTCAGGTATAGGCTCTTATCCGGCAATAAGCCCACCCCCTACTCTTTACTCAATTTCATGCACAGGCCCCCTGGGCTTATTGGCGGAGAAATACGGTAATTGACAATTAGTTGATACTATATCTCAGTCTCACCAGTATTTCTTGACTTATTTATAATTCATCTTAACAGTAGCACACTTATCCTTTTCTTGAGAAAAGTGGAAGTCAGTACACAGTCTGAAGTTAATGTAATGGTGTTTACAATTTTGTTTGTTTGTTGTTTTTGGTGAGACAGAAAATTGTATGCACTGTTCACAAATGTCATAAAATTCTGTTTCAATTTTAAAATTGGTGACACTAAAAAGAATGTGCATCCTTTTTCTGGAAATTGCTTTAAGAAGTATCTTATATTTGAAGATTGGGAAATAAGTTGGAAAATGTTTGAGGTTGATTCTGAAACCATTTTTCCTTCTCTGACATTGTAATAATGTCATCAGCCCTGGTAGTTGATGACACCAAAGAGTGTCAGCACCATCTTGAGAGTGTCTGTCTGGGAGGAGAGATTAGCTCCAATAGCTTTGTGATTAGCAGTGTCATCCTCTAACTTGTTCTGGTAGATCTACAACAGGAACCAAAACACAGACAATGTTATCAAAAACAGGAACAAAAACGGCAACAGTTTTTAAAAACAAAACGAAAAAAAGTCCATCAGTGAGATGATCATTGTTAATTACCTTCATTAAAAAGTAGCTAAACCAAACAAGACCAAAATACCTTATCTATCCTTTTATAAACCAAGGGGGAACAACTCAACAGCTAAACTTAAGGAAGTGACCTTAATACAAAGGCAATGATATAACATTTCTTCACATATTTACTGAAACCAATAGAAGTGGCAGGGCTAGCATGCTATGACAAATACATTGTGACAGGTACTTGTGGCTGAATATTAGAACAGTATAGTGTGTATGCCTATATACAGAATCAAGTTCCTCTGGTGTATTCCGGGAACTGCTGTGTCCTTGAGTCAGACACTTTGCCAAGCTTGGACACTGCTCTGTCACATTACATAAGATCTAGGCTGGTTGTCATATGCTCTCTCTTCTGCAGAGTCCTGATCTTGTACACAAATTACACACAAGGGGACAGGCCCTTCTCCAACACACAACTCACACACGGGTGGACTGGTTCTTCTCTCATACACAAGTCACACATATGGAGACAGGTTCTTCTCTCATACACAAGTCACACATATGGAGACAGGCCCTTCTCCCACACACAAGTCACACATATTTAGACAGGCCCTCCTCTCACACACAACTCACACGGGTGGACAGGTTCTTCTCTCACACACAAGTCACACATATGGAGACTGGTTCTTCTCTCATACACAATTCACACATATGGAGACTGGTTCTTTTCTCATACACAATTCACACATATGGAGACAGGCCCTTCTTTTATACACAAGTCACACATATGGAGACAGGCCCTTCTCTCATATGCAAGTCACACATATGGAGACAGGCCCTTCTCCCACACACAAGTCACACATATGGAGACAGGCCCTCCTCTCACACACAACTCACACACGGGTGGACAGGCCCTTCTCTCATACACAAGTCACACATATGGAGACAGGCCCTTCTCTCATACGCAAGTCACACATATGGAGACAGGCCCTTCTCTCATACAGTAGTCACACACAGGTGGACAGGTTCTTCTCTCAAACACTAGTCACACACGGGTGGACAGGCCCTTCTCTCATACACAAGTCACACATATGGAGACTGGTTCTTTTCTCATACACAAGTCACACATATGGAGACTGGTTCTTCTCTCATACACAATTCACACATATGGAGACAGGCCCTTCTCTCATACACAACTCACACATATGGAGACAGGCCCTTCTCTCACACACAAGTCACACATATGGAGACTGGTTCTTCTCTCATACACAATTCACACATATGGAGACAGGCCCTTCTCTCATACACAAGTCACACATATGGAGACAGGCCCTTCTCTCATACACAAATCACACATATGGAGACAGGTTCTTCTCTCATACACAAGTCACACATATGGAGACAGGCCCTTCTCTCATACACAAGTCACACATATGGAGAAAGGTTCTTCTCTCATACACAAGTCACACATATGGAGACAGGCCCTTCTCTCATACACAAGTCACACACAGGTGGACAGGCCCTTCTCTCATACACAAGTCACACATATGGAGACAGGCCCTTCTCTCATACACAAGTCACACATATGGAGAAAGGTTCTTCTCTCATACACAAGTCACACATATGGAGACAGGCCCTTCTCTCATACACAAGTAACACATATGGAGACAGGCCCTTCTCTCATACACAAGTCACACATATGGAGACAGGCCCTTCTCTCATACAGTAGTCACACACAGGTGGACAGGTTCTTCTCTCAAACACTAGTCACACATGGGTGGACATGCCCTTCTCTCATACACAAATCACACACAGGTGGACAGGTTCTTCTCTCATACGCAAATCATACACTGTTAGGTTTGACTGTCAGTTTACAAACAACAGCCTTTAAATAATCCTCTTATTTTATAACAAGAACAGAACTAACACAATGAATTATGCCATTATTGGAAAAAACTACAGCCTAATTTTATTAAAAGTCTTGGATTACACATATCTGCCTTATTGATATTATGTCATGGCTATTTCTGAAAAATGTCTATCCCACGAAGGACTCCAGAAATAAGCATATTGCTTCAGTTATTGGTTCTTGTTGGGAATAATATGGAGTTCTACATGCAGTTAGATAATTTACTGGAATAATCTAATTAATTTGATATCCATTACTCACCTTTAATTCATTAATTTGTTTATAAAGGGATAAGTTTTCTTCCTGAAGATTTTTCAAGGATTTTCTTATTTCTTGTAATTCTAATTCACGTTCTACAAAAAAGACACAAGCTTTAATTGACATTCTTATAATTATCTGTTTAAAAAAGATCGACAGATCAAAAGAATACTCTGATTACCCTTAAATTTAAGAAGATTTTTACAGATAATGCTTTTGTCAGAAAGTATTGAAAAAAAAACAACAAAAAACAACACTACAAAACAAACAATAAAAAAACAAAAACAAAAAACACCCAAAAAACAACCACCTCCGAAAAAAATAAAATTGCATATAAGTCACGTATAAATTAATCTAACAATATGCTCAATTTTTGAAAACTTTGAAATATTATGGTAGTCCTATTTTTCACTAGGTCATTTCTCCATGTTTATATCAAGAACTGCTCTTTATAGCATCATGGTAGTCAAACTCACCATAATTATCATGTATAAAGTTCTGTATAAATCCTCCAATATCTAGTGGTGGTGATTCCTTGTCACCTACAGGAAGGCTGTCTGATTGGTTACTGTCAGTACCAAGATCAGGTGGAACTGGGCGTTGTGTAGGTGACAGAGTTGCAGGCTGGGATGTACTAGCAGTGTCTTTATGCATCTCACCTGCAACATAAGTCTCTATTAATATGAGGTATAATTATAATGAGTATCAGATTAACTTCCCTGTGCCATTATAAACTCTTTGATCTTGCAACTAGTGCTGCCATTGTCAGAATACACCTGCCACATATATTTTTGCATCATTCAGCAGTAACAAAAAACAGCTGTATTTTACCACATACATTAATTAGTCAGTACGGTACTTTCAGAATTTATGTAAATATTATGCTTAACAATATAAATAACTGTTGAAATAAGTTATTTTATATGTTGTAATGAACAAGTTTATTTACAAAAAAAATCTTGAAATTGATGTCATATCCTCTGAAGTTTGGAACTACATTTCTGCACAGAGCAATTATTTTGGCGTACATCACCAGGCTAAATTCAGCATAATATCAACGTCAGGTAAACAAAGATTGAATGACAAAACTGTTGAAGTTTTGAATGGTCTGATTTTTTTTACCAGTGTTGAAGGATAAATAGAATACATGGTCAGTAACTTAAAACTGTATGCTGCATTTTGGCTCAGAACAGAAAGACAAAAGTGGTTCACAAGAAACTGGCTACTTTTGTCTTTCTTCTCACTCGCCAATATACAGGTTATATTATAAGACACTGACCATTCATACTCTCTATTTATAACATGCATATTCACCTGTAAAACAGTGTTTGTAATCTGCCATGTTGACAAACAATATACACACTCATATGTTAACTAGTAACTCATCATGAGTCACCTGCCATGTTGACTCAGTTATACAATATACAAACTCGCATGTTAAAGAGTAATCTATCATTAGTCATCTGACATGTTGACTCACTTATTCAAAACACATACTCACTTGTTAAAGAATAAGCTATCGTGAGTCACCTGTGATGTTGACTCACTTATATAATATACATACTCGCTTGTGATAGAGTTGCCTATTGAGACTCACCTGCCATGTTCTGCACGTGTTGTCGTCCCAACATGTGTTCCTTTTTATTATGTAGAGAACTGAAGTACTTGTCACATATTCTACAGTACAAATCATTCAGGCCATCCTCCTGGATCAAAATAACATGATCAAATATTGTGCAGTATGTATGGAGGTTAATCAAATCTACAAGTCTATCAAAACAATATTTAATTTATATGACCCTGACCTTTGAATAAAACATCTTTAACACTTCTTTGCGAAGTAAGCATTCAAATTATTAGAATTGTATCCTTGTCTTAGATTTGATGTGGTCAATACACAAGAATTGCATAAATGTTCCATGTGTTTGGAAGTCTTAATAAAATAATTCAAGGAAAAAAATGTAAGCCTTCTGAAATTGTTATACAGAATACCACCTGATGGCTGTATATGTTGTAAACATACAATTTAAATACAAGTGAAATGTTTTTATCATTTGGTCTCTAATGAGAGGATATTTACCTCCATATCAACAGACATCAGTTGGGAATAATTCTCTTCGTTCTCCCAGTCACCTTCTTCCCCTGATCAGTGAAAACAAGTTCTTAACAAATGTTATCACAATTTATTTCTGTTGGGGCAATACTATAATTACCTCCCTTGCTGGATACATGTTGTTGATTCAAAACAAACTTGTCTTCTAAACCAGTCATTTGTAAACATGTATAATAAATATACCCGATTAGCTCCTCATAAACTGGAGATTTGTTTATATTACAGATAAAGTTTAAAAACATGGTGCACACTATCAGTGCTTTGATAATATTTACTGAAAAGCTGTATTTTCACAATTATGAAATGCTTTTATTCACAAAATGAATAGATTTTAGGATTCTATTAAAATATCTGGTGACCTGACATATATTGGTTCTGTATAGGATGAATGAAAATGGATCAGAAAGTATGATATAAGGTGCGCTGGACCTTGGTCTGTATATATATTGACATGTTTACATGTCAACCCATCCAAAACAGGACAAAGTACTGCAACCAATGTTTAGTGTACAACCACCTGTCAAACATGGGCAGCGACATAAGAAATCCACAACCCGCCATAAATATGAATACTGAGGTGATATAATATGATATATTCAACATGTGAAAATTTGAAATAAGCTCTGAAAAAAAAAGTGATGGCACTACAGAATTTCGCTATTGAAGATGAAATTTAACAGTGGTGTTTAAAAAATCAAATGATGGTGCATTGTCATAGTAACGTGAAGAACAGGGAAAACACACATTTCTGTCGAGTGCCCCGCCCTGGAATAAAACCTAGGTCTCTGGTGTGATAATCAACTGACTCTACCAAGTCACATTGACCTGCTTCTTCTACAGTAACTTAGGCTTTGGTGATTACTGCCCTTCTGGCTGTACCACGAAGGGAGTAAACAAACAGTTGTTTGTGAACAGTCATTTGTAACAGGCATATCTGTACCTATATTACCATGAACAATAAGTGATTCAGAATGAAAATCAAATCCTTGTTTACAAACAGAAGAAAACTTTGTCAAAATCCTTTAATTTTTTTTTCAGTTTACCTCTGATGCCAGCTTTCATTTTCTTCTTGACTGTGTTCTGATAAGTTTTTAGTTCTTCAATGTATCTCTTCTTATCATTGTCTGCTTCCTCCAGGTATTTCTAAACAGTGAAATAACAATGAAATAAGTAAACTAGAGCTACATCCCTGTCTCATGCTGCATAAAATATTTGTTTATGAAATAGGTATATCATTGGATAAAATATTCCTGCCAAGCCTTGAAAAGACTTTCAATGTTTGTAATCATAATAGTAAACAAATCAACATGACTAAAGCCGGAGGCTAACGTTAATATCGCCTAATATCAGAGCCACGTAAAATCCTCATACAGATTCAAACAAAGTATCACAAATGTTTTATTACATTTCAGTATCAAAAGTAGCACACAGAATACTTGAAGAATGATCCCAGGTCATTTAAATTGCATCTTATTCCATAATATTCATCACTGCATCATCAATATTATGTCTTTGATACAAGAGGCCCATGGGCCTTAACGGTCATCTGACAAAAAGCAAGCCAAACCTAGAAAGTGGGTTGAGGTCATTCATTTGAACAAACTTGGTAGCCTCTCCTCCAAGCATCTTACAGGCCCAATATCGGCATTCATGGACTTTTGCTTGTTGAGAAGAAGTCGTTTGTATATTTTAACATATTTGACCCCTGTGACCTTGAAAGTGGGTCGAGGTCATTCATTTGAATACACTTGGTAGCCTTTCCTCCCAGCATGCTACAGACCCAATATCGGCACTCATAGACTTTTGCTTATTGAGATGAAGTCCTTTGTATATTTTAACATATTTGACCCCTTTGACCTTGAAAGTGGGCCAAGGTCATTCATTCAAACAAACTTTGTAGGGCTCCATGCCAGCATGCTATGGGCCAAGTATTAGCCCCCTAGGCCTTCTAGTATTTGAGAAGAAGTTATTTAAAGATTTTAACATATTTGACCCCTGTGACCTTGAAAGTTGTTCAAGATCATTCATTTGAACAAACTTGATAGCCCTTCATCCCAGCATGCCACAGGCACAATATCAGCAATCTGAGCCTTTTGGTTATTGAGGAGAAGTCGTTTAAAGATTTTAACATATTTAGCCCCTGTGACCTTTAAAGTGGGTCAAGGTCATTCATTTGAACAAACTCGGTAGAGCTCCATGCCAGCATCATCTGTGCCAAGTATTAGCCCCCTAGGCCTTCTAGAATTTGAAAAGAAGTTGTTTGAATGAAAAGTTTACGCACGGCGGACAGCGCACGGCGGACGACGACGGACGAAGCACTATGGCTATAGGTCATCTTGACCAAAGGGTCAGATAACCTAAAAACCCAATATTGCACTTTTGCTCAACAAATCTGATTGACTGAAATTATGCAACAACACAGAACACTTGCACAAGCATACAACATAATGTTTTATCACTGTCACAATGTGCCATTCCATGTAAAATTGAAATTGATCGGACACAGACCATTTAGCTCCTGATACAAAACTGAAAATGAAGTAAAATTACATATTTTCAGAATGATTTAACAGGAAATATAACATCATCATTTAATTTACTTTCATCATGAATGAGAGATATCATTCTACTTTTTATTTTATCTTCACAAAACAAACTGTAAATCATCCCCTATATCATAAGATAAATCATTACCAGGTTTTCATCTGTCCTACCTGTTTCTTGTCTGCTGACATGCTGGACCATTCCTGACCCAGTATTTTTGTCACCTCTGAAAATGGAATTTCTGGGTTGCTTCCCTTTATTTCCTGTCGACGCTCTATAGCATACAGCAAATATCTGGAAGTACAGAACAATGTTGATTAGTATTATACAAAGCAAATTTCTTGAAGTAGAATTATGGGTATGCAATATCCTAGGCTTCATGGGGAAAAATCCTTCACTTATACAAAACTGATGTCAATTCTCCAAAGGATGCCTCCAACCAAATTTGGTCAAAATTTCTTCATGACTTGTTGCGATTTTAAGAAGAAAATGATAGATGGAAACAAAAGATGCTGGACAATGGATGGCTGTCCTTTAAACCAGGTGAGCAAAAAATCCAGTGAGAAGTCTTTAAAGAATTTGAATTCAAAACTTGTATTATCACTCACCCAGATGCAGGTGCCCTAGGAGTACTGAAATCTGGTGTTGGTTTACGTCGCTTACCCTTGGGCCATCCACCTCTCCTTTTCTACAAAGATCAATGAAAAGAAGACAATATCCAGATGTATCTTCATGGAATATGATACAATGGATGATGACACTACCTGGTATATTATGGTATATTATGTACTTCTTGCATGGAAGTGATATGTTTCCACAAACTTTCCTTGTCCGAATCAATCAGACTGAGAACTGAATCATTTGAGTGTCCACTTGTAATAAAGAACCATTCATTTCATTTTCAACTACATGCCTAAATAACAAGAGAACCAAGAAATAAGAAATCATACACTTCAGTCAAATTCTTGGAACAAAATAAAACAGTACTGTTATACAAGTTATCTGTAATCTTAAACAGACTATAATGGTCTACAAGTATGGCAGTGAGTGGAGCTGTAAAAACCTGTGTGTTTCCTAATGTGCTTAACTGTAGACAGTCTAACAACGGATCTTGCGCTAATGTCAAGCAGCGGCCGACATGCCCTTGAGCATCTCGGTTTTTACAAGACAAGTTGCCCAAATGAACTGTCAGCATACTGTAGGGGTATACTGCAAGGGAGACCCATTTCACTACAGTACTAATCATGACAATACTAAGCATTAAACTTACAACATGAAATTTTGAATTCTGATCATTTGTCAAACAAAACTTTATTACTACAACTTCATACCTTTTCTGTGGACTGGTCACCACTGGATGGAGTATTTGACAGTGGGGACTTTGAGGTCAGCAGTTGGTCAGTCTGGAGCGTGGACACCGATGTGTCAAATGTGCCCTCACATACAACAGCTCCATCTCCTGGGGTGGATGGTTGGTTGATAAGTAGAGTTGTTCCTTGTGACTCGACCAGACCATTCTGGGTTAAGATTCCAGTCACTGAACAAAACAAACATTAAACGTTAGATGGCAGTTTGTGGAAAATATTTGTAACATAGTCTGTCACTGATCTACTGATTTATTTATTATGAATACATGTCGATAAGTACTCTTAAGTAGATCAACAAGCAAAGTAGGTAGAGATGTACACAGGTATATCATGATGTAGAGATATATTAGGTTTCTAAAAGGATTTTGGCCATGATTTTTCATAATTACATATTTCAGACTAAAATGGCACAATAATGTATATTTTGTGGTATCCTGTCTCTCTCAGCACACGAGACAACTGCAAAAGCTGGTCCCATTCCCTTTAAGTTAATCTGGTGAAAATGCATACTTTGAATATGGAACAAGGTCATGTGATACATGACATGAAAGTTTTGCTTCAATGAAAGTGAGATTATGTGTACTCTATAAGACACCACAACATGTCATGCAACAATGACACTATAGTGTTTAACTTACATAATGATGTATGGCAGTGGAAAATAAACGAGTTCTTTCTTTCATATGGGAAGCCTTACAGGGACATGACTATATGAAGTTACATACCTTGTCCAATAGGCAATAGTAAATGTCATAAATACCATGACTGAGTGATACATCACATACATTTATTATTTTGTTGCAACATTCCACACAAGGTCCGATTCAGAGTTGGGATGGGCTTATTACCATACCGTCACAATCTAACTAAATTTGATTTAATTTAACTCTGTATGAACACAAAATTTAAATTCAATTGCTTTCACTAATGACTTAATGAGGTGTTTAACTTGCTATTCTGTTGCACCTCTGTAAGTATGAATCAAAACCATTAATTAGGTCATGAGATATCATGTGAATAAAGTTTTGGTTTCAAAAGTAGTTGAATATCATCTTTAACACCTTAACCTTGACTGATGACCTTTAGTCTCATCAAGTGTACATTTACTAAATCTAGTAGGGGATTTAAAAGACAAATATACAGACAAATTACTATATAAAGCTAGAAAACATCTGTAGGACATGAATACCCTTGCTTCTGTGCATGGAAGTATACTCATTTGACGAATTTGCAAATGTAGTGACATCCGACCTCTTACCCTTGACCTTCATTATGAAAAGGTGTAGAATTAGACTTTATGATGATATGGGGTACATTATGAACTAAATCTGTTGAGCGGTTCTCTAAATATAACTGATCATTCAGAACAGGATGGGACAAAATAGAATGGGATGCAATAGATATGGGTAACATAACGTCAACTATAAAATGGTAGGACATCCTAAAAATATTTCTGGAATCTACACTGGGTCAGCCATCAGCTAGGTACCAATTAATCAAGGGAAAACAAGCATGTTTTTTCTTTAATACAATAATCCATTAAAAATAATCCTGTGTGCCCTGTCACAGCAAGGTCTTTGAATAAATTCACATGCAGAATGTACAGATTAATACAAATAAAATACCAAAATATAGTAAAAATAGGTACATATTGCACTTATATTTTAATTTTGCAATTTAGGGAATACTCAATAGAATTACTTGGTAAAGCTGTTGTTAGGATTTGTCTCCCCTGGATGTCTGCATCTGTATAGCTGACAGTCCCTAGAGTATCACCATTCACTGACAGGAGCAAATTCCTGGAGAAAAACACAGAAACTCTATCATATAAATAGCAAAAAAATTCTAGAATTTCTTCTGATATATATTTTTTGAACCACTTACATTGAGCCTTGATTCTAATACTGTCTATTGTCAATTTCCATCAACATAGTGGTAGAGCATACATTTCACATTGATAAGTTGATAGATGAAGAACTAACCAAGGTGCAGGGAAGAACATATTACTTTTTTTTTTAATTTGACTTTGATCTTTGTAAATCTTACTGCTGATCTAAAAAGTAATATCATAAATGGTTACATTACAGATCAACAAAATATGAACAATCACAGTTTTTATCTACTGTTTATTATAGAAATGAGCATAACTGTATGTTAAGGTTAGCATTAATCGAGAAAAATGCTGATATCTAATGCTGAGGAATGTCTTATTACAATTTCTTCAATATTGACCTGATATAAGGGAACCACATAGTTGTTAGGTAACTGTAAAAGTCTATAATAAAGAAAATTTTTAAAAGATTTACCCTCGTGATGTTTCGACCAGAACCAAGCCCCCATGTTCTGGAAGGAGAGTGGCAGCTGTGGTTGTAGAGATGAGTGTTTCTCCTTGTTCACCTTTAGAAGTGGCTCCCAAAGCATCAATTGCCACAGGTTCAGTAACAGCCAGGACTGGGTGGTGTGCAGAGTTCCCGTCTGTTATGTTCAGCATCTCATGGTGATCCATATTAACAATTGATTTTCAGTTTACTTAGGGTTATATGACTACATTCCACTTTCTGACAGCAAACTGAAAAGTAACCATTGTCCTGATAATTCAACTACAAATCTGACAGTTTTATGTATTGCTATTCCAACCATGTTAGAGGTTTACACAGTGACAAATTTATGACAGGTGCCTCGTAACTCAACATGATGCCATCCAATAATAAATCAGCTGACAAGCAGTCTCATATATTACAAGAGTAATGTAATCTATAATTTAGATGTCACTACTCTCCAAATAATATCTTAACAGAATATTTGCTGCAATTCCTTGTAAACAATTAATTTGTCAGAAAGAAATGATATTTTAAAAAATTCTTTGCCTCTTGAAGCAATAGGGAGGGTCTAGGGTGGGACATATTTTCTTATAGGTCCAAAAAATGCGTTATTTATGATCTTAGAAATGTTTTATCAGACCTCATCACATGTGACTGTGCTCTAAGGTGGGTAGATTTAGTCTCTGCAGACACACTTGGTTTCTCATCTTTGAACATTTTTAATTACATAAATATCCTTGCTCTGATATGGACTCCATACACTAGAGGAATACTCTATATTTGGTCTAACAAAAGTCTAAACAAGTTTTCATCCAGATGGGTGAACATTCTTCTGATAAAGACCAATGACAGTGTATGCTTTGTTTACATTTCTTTGCATGTATTTGTCTTAAAATTTAGATCTTCATCCACAGTTACTCCAATATCTTTTTCAAAATTGTCTTCTAATTCTATTCACCCTCCTGATGCTCCAAGCATAAAATATTATATTGCTGAAATAAGAAATCCAGCTCATATATAATTGACTTTGTTACATACAGCCGTTATAATTATCTTATAAACATACACACATATAGCTATAATAAGAAAAACAAGTACAAGAGCAGACAAATCTAGAGCAAGAAGAACTTTGTGGTGGGATTAGAGAATGATTTGGTTTCTTAGTCGAAACACACTGCATATATAGTTCTGTAGTGTCACACGCTTTTGACAACCTGTACTTCGGGTTCACCAGTATGGCCGCTGGATTCACCGCAGACCAGATTCATGCCCTCAGAGGTATCAACTCTGAGAGACTGTTGCTGGAGACGTATGCTCCATACTTCACCAGGCCAGGCCTTAAATGGTGTGCCCCCAATCAACTGTATTGGACGGCCGAAGCTGTAGCACAGCACCTCAAGTTCTTGGTGGATTCACTGCTCAATACAACTGTGACCAATGCTCACCGACTGTTTCGTTGCTAGAGTGTCTTGATTACCTTCTAGGCAAAACCTTTTGGGACGGGGAGCACCTAGTATTTTACTGGGCTGTGTTTCCATTTTGGGCAGCCCGTACCCACTTTACTGGATTTGACTGTGTGAGGTTTTACCTCAAAACCCTCCCTCATTTTGGGGGAATTAATCACCAGTAGTACTGGACTTCATTGTAAGCAATGACTTTTAGTGTGCGAAGTCTGGAACTCTAAACTCGATCTGGATACGGAAGACCCTCTACCTATCACTGCATTCCACCCTCAGCAAGAGACTTTCATTGTAAGGTTGGGAGGAGTGTAGTGTCGCTGGCGATGTATACCTTTTAGGTTACACCGGAAACCACTCAACTGTGAAACTGCCCGTGCAGGGACCGAGGCTCTCTTCTCATGCGAATACTGACGAGTACGGACGTGTGTTGGGAGCTTATCTTCTGCTTCTAGCGGATGGCAGTATTGCACACACTCTACTAATATAATATTAGTAGTGACAGTTTCTCAGTATACCTGACATTTTGGAAGGTTACTGTGACAGATTCTACTAGGATTGGAATCTATTTATATTAAATAGATTCAAATCAGAATACAGACCACGTGCAATAGGGACCTACAGGTAAGCGGTCATTAGTCCTCCCACCGCCCAACACTTAGGCATAGTGATACGCTTCAGTTCTGTGGTTGCAGTAGCAAATGTTTTAGAGTAAATTAATTATTTTTATTTTTCCATTCTCCTTTCTTGTATAATTATATTTGATAAACTCGTGATTGTCATAATGCCTCTGTTTTACCGGTACTGTGATATAGATATATCTTTGATTTGGTATGTATACTATTGAATTAACGAGATAAAAAGAGGAACAGAAATAGAACTTCAACTAGGGTGCAAGGAGAGTATCACAATGCGGACTATCATTTACAGATAGTGTTGTCAGTTGCTTCAATATTGGCACAGAAAAGCAATATAAAAAAGGGAAAATGTTAATTAAAAATGAGGTATTAATTAACCAACCTGAGCTAAGTGAAAATCAGTAAAAAAAATCCACATTATAATGCAGCAGCCATCAGCAGTTCACATCTCGGTGACAGCAGTCGAGAAACCGGAAATACTAATGGAGTTATATCCCTTTAAGTTGTTAAAAATATCTTAAGGTAGAATGTACCAATGATTAAAGGACCCATTTTACTTTAATATGAAATAGGCAATAAGCGATCCAAATGTACTCAAGAAGATACACAATGGGATGAATTGAGGTCCTTAAATTAAGTTATGAAATATTTTGCCCTTTTCTCTAGAGATACCACAACCTCATAAATACGTCCTAAACACCACAAAGGGATGTTATAGTTTCAAGCTAGTATGAAAGAGTGACCTTTTCACAAACAGCGCATTCGTGATAAGTTGCATATATATTATTTTTCATACTAGCATGAAACTAAAGATAATCCTATCAAAGCTTGTTAATTTATTTCTTAGTTACAAAACGACAATATTACATAATTTTATTAATTTGATTATTTCATGGGATGATAATATAACAAATAACTAGGTAGAAGAGCTGGCGTGATATAACGTGACGTCATTGACAGTTAATTTGCACCATTTTAAGTTATTCAAAATTTTATTGCTGAGTGGTCCCATGCCAGTCTAAATGGAAAAGTGTCGCGAAAAAAAAAACCAGGATACTTCATGATGTTGTTGTCCATTTTTTATTTTTTGTTTTTTTGTTTACATCATTGAATAGCAGCAATCCACACAATAGATGAATGTTAGAGAATGCATGGTCAGAGTCTGAAAGTATCAGCTGTATTTTGGTGAGAGTGAAGGTGCATTTCGACAACGGTAGTGCCAGTTGCAGGATAAAAACTTATTCCTTTCATACAAAAAGTAAGTTCCCACTGAAACGCCTCAAAGTGGCCTGTAACCATTGACTCCTCCAATCATTATAAAGCTAGACGGCGATTTTTCATTGAGAAACGAAAAGAAAAAAAAGACGAATCAGTGCATTTTGCGTACAAACAACGAAATATTAATTATCACGAATTGAAGCCATTTACGGTCAGATTGTAGTTTAATGTCATAAGAATGATGAAGATGTGACACAATCTACATTTTAAATCCAATGAATAGTTTTGGCACAGGGATTTGGCACGGAATCTCGACCAACGATAATATACATGAAAATGTGTTATAGTGACTATAGTACATACATATATAAATCGCCGTAGGTCGAAAATTCCTGCCAAATCTCTGTGATTTTTAGGAAGACGAAGAAACACTAACCTTACATAAGACAGAACAACAATTCATCAGTGATAATGTTTATTTAAAAAGTGCCGGTACATATGAAAAGGACTCCGTTGAACCTATCACAATTATCATTATAACTTTACCACCATAGCTAAAAGAAATATCATAACAGAATGGATATTTTGGTTGAGAAGTATATGGCACCGTGTTGATTACCAGGTTAGATCATCATTCTAAATTCTTCGTTATTCTGTGTAGGACCCTGCTGGGTGAGTGGTGTTTGACTTCGGTATGATATTAGCAATATATCTCCATTCTGTCCACGCGTGACTCATCCTTCCCAGTTTCGACTCGCATTTGGCAATCTCTAAGCCGTGATTTTGTTGAGAGGAACATGACTTTACCTGCAAGAAGTAAAACGAAATGCACATCAACAATATATCTAGCTATCCTCCTCGAGAAGGGTGATTTACAACATATTAAGACGGATATTTGCGTCGTGATATACACAGGCGGAGATTCTACCGCGATAAGCACACACAAGTAATGACTTATACAGGATCAAGTTTTAGGTTTTTGCATTTCATTGACAATCTGGAGCTGAATGCATAAGGAATCTACAATACAAGACTATGTAGACGAATCAGTGCCTATTGCTTATATCTTTGCCAAAGAAAACTTTCGTCATCGATATGAAAGATATTTCCATATTAAGGGGTAACTCTCCAGCAGGAAATGTTTGTTCAAAAGGTCGATTCATACGCTAAATGAGGTTATGGAACTTAGTAACATTAAAACAATGTGAATTTAAAAGTAAACCTAAATCTTCAAGAGTTTATCTAAATCAGAATAAAGACACGAAAATTGAACGGATCAGCAGATTTTGTTCACAAGTAAATTATAATTAAAAAAAACATTCAAGAGAAGTTACTGGGTCGTGTATTGCCGATTGATTCACTTCAGTGAAATAACTACCGGACTTTAGAACGCGGAAGAAAATTTAAGTTACCTGGTCTTTGTTCCTGTACAGTAATCTGTGTTTTCTCGGGATCAGTGCCAGTCTATCTCGCTGCTAGAAAGCTTTCTTGTCAGTTCTTATGTGACATCTACCTTCACTTGGTTAAAGACTAAAAGGTAAGAAAACTGCAGACAACAACAGAAACACACTCTTCTGTGTCGTCCAAGACAGTAAAAGGACCTCTTTGATTGTGAAAGTAGACATCGACAAAAGTACTGTATCTGCTGACCGTAAGAAACCAAAATTCTCTTTTGTGATGGTAGCATCCAAAACTGTTCTCTCTTTCGTGACTGAAGCAAACTACAGATACCCGGTTCTGTAAACACAGCAAAGATAAAACTGTTCCGTCTTCATCATCGAACGCAAGAAATCAGAGGGCACTGTCTGCTGTGACACGATCCACAATGCAGACCATGACAGGGCGTCTTCCTCGTCATGTACAGCTGGACATTGAAGCCGCCTCGTCTTATACCCTATGAACGCCTCTTTGTCCTCTACCGCTTGACATGATAGTTCCCTCGTGTTGTGCCTCTTGGACATATTTCTACCTCTTATTCATTATTAGGACACGATTCTCCCCTCATCCTGTACATATAGGACATGCATGTCCTTTCCTGGACCTGATAATAATGATATGGCATTTACCCTTATCCTTTAAGTGTAAGACATGTCTACACCTCGTCCTGACTAACAGGAAATGATCTTTCTCTTGTCCTATACATGTAGGACATCTCTCCCTCGTCCCGGCTATTAGTACATGACTCTTTCCTCGTCCTGTGACTATAAAACATGTTGCCTCCTCATCCTTACTCCTTGTACATCCTCATTTTCTCGTCCTATACATGCCTCTTCGTCTCATTATCATATGATCCTCCCCTCTACCTTTTCGAGACTTTATCATGATATCGTCCTGTACCTCTGTTTTATTATCCTTCCCTTGTACTGCACCTCTGTTTCACTATTTTCCCTCGTCCTATCCCTCTGGTTCAGTATCCTTCTCTCGCCCCGTGCCTCTTGTTCACTATCCTTCCCCCGTCCCGTACTTCTGGGACTCTATGCTATCTTTGTGTGTGTTTGATGATCTTACTCCTGTAAATAAACAAGATAAAGATACATATGATATTAGATTTGTAATACTTCATTTCCGTGTAGATATCATTCCTCTCTTGAATATCCCTATATCTTGTTCTATAGTAGTGCTACTTTTTATGGTTAGTTTTCATTGACTTTATGTTGTATCTCTAGTTATAGGAAAAGACAGAGCTAATGTTTCATATTTACATAAATACTAAAATAATTTGTATCTTACGTCAATAAGAAATAATTTAGAATATGGAAGCGTTTGTTTCTCAAGTGTTACAATGTGTTACACTTACCTCATCATAGCCGATCAACGCGGCGCTGTATGAGAAATTGGTTCCACACTGTATAATTAGGTGCGTCATGAGGGCGTCAAGATTCCGAAACGAACGCATGAGGGCAGCACCTGGGTCTGTCGGGATCACATTATTATCTCCCCTTGGGCCCCTCCGGTGGCTATCAAAGAGCCACAGTCTGTTATCGTCCTTTCTTCGCCACACTGCCATTGAGTACTCGCCAATAGTAAGAACCATATGGACGGCTGCCTTGGGGTTTGATTCGAACGTCTTGGCCATGAAAGCAGGAAATTCGGGAGACACAGCAGATAATGCTTCGGCGAAGTCCCTGTTTTCGTACTGGAAGCAACCGTCAACACTTGAAAGCATCGTAGCGGTGACTCCTTTTCGTTCCAAGCTGCTGCCACAATTTCCCATGGACAGAAACGTTGGGAGATTACGCACTTGATATTCTTCAGGAAGTTGATAAACCCCCACTTTTTGATCTATGTGGGTGCTCAGTTTATCAACAATCCGGAATTGACTGTGTTGGCGGTGCCCAAGGCGGATGATATTGTCGATATCCATGGAGGTCCAGGTCTCTGGATGTCTTCGTCTGGCTTGGTAAGCCAACGCCTCGTATGCCATGGTTGTACATTGACGGTTAACGAATAAGGGCCCAATGCTGTCCTGACACAGTGTTCCTCTGACTATGACGTCTGGAAAAAAAAACAAGAAAAAATACAAATATGACATATTCTCAATTCATGTGTTTGTCCAACCATATAAATGGTCGAAACAACCAGAGACTCAGATAAATAAATAGACAATAACAGGTCATTTCCCACCACAACATTACTTTGACAACATAAATCTGATTTGATGCGGATTGGATCTACATCGGGATGAGTGGGGTGAGGCATTTTAACAGGTGAACGGTGACAAATTGTTTGTTTATTTGTTGAGTCAATGCTCAACCGACTGAGATATTGCTGCCCTCAAGCTGACGAGTTTGGTATTAAGGCATACATTTTTAATATATATGATATACTTTGAAATCTGCAGGAAAAAGTTAATTTTAGAATTGAGATTTATGATATGACATTTTGTTATGAATTGCGAGTTTACATAACAAAGACCAAGTTATGTAAACTTACCTTCCATTCCCTCAAGCTGACGAGTTTGGTATGAAGGCATACATTTTTAATATATATGATATACTTAGAAATCTGCAGGAAAAAGTTAATTTTAGAATTGAGATTTATGATATGACATTTTGTTATGAATTGCGAGTTTACATAACAAAGACCAAATTATGTAAACTGACCTTCCATTCCTTCTGGCATCGGTGCTACTCTGTTTCGACGACGAAACAGGGAAAATTTCTTCTGATTACGTGCTACAGGAACAGGGTAGCTTTCTGGGCATGTCACGTGAGAAACAGTGGACAGGTCGATCCCAGAGATATCTCGAATGCCTACGACCGACTCGGCTGTGAAGTACGGTCCGCTGTGGATGAGAAAGCAATTAGGCGAAGTGTACTATGAATTCGAAATAAGGTTCATGTTTGGTATTAGATGTTTGCACTGGTGTGTGTTGCGGTATAAGATGTTTGTACTGATGTTGGTTGAGGTATTAGATGTTAGTATCGACTTTGGTTGAGGTATTAGATGTTAGTACCGATGTTGGTTGAGGTATTAGATGTTTGTACCGATGTTGGTTGAGGTATAAGATGTTTGTACCGATGTTGGTTGAGGTATTAGATGTTAGTACCGATGTTGGTTGCAGTATTAGATACTTGTTTCGATGTTGGTTGCGGTGTTAGATGTTTGTGTCAATGTTGGTTGAGGTATTACATGTTTGTACTGATGTTGGTTGCTGTATTAGATGTTTGTACCGATGTTGATTGAGGTATTAGATATTTGTACCGATGTTGGTTGCAGTATAAGATGTTTGTACCGATGTCGGTTGAGGTGTTAGATGTTAGTACCGACTTTGGTTGAGGTATTAGATGTTTGTACCGATGTTGATTGCAGTATTAGATATTTGTACCGATGTTGGTTGCGGTGTTAGATGTTTGTACCGATGTTGGTTGCGGTGTTAGATGTTAGTACCGACTTTGGTTGAGGTATTAGATGTTTGCACCGATGTTGGTTGAGGTATTAGATGTTTGTACCGATGTTGGTTGAGGTATAAGATGTTTGTACCGATGTTGGTTGAGGTATTAGATGTTAGTACCGATGTTGGTTGCAGTATTAGATACTTGTTTCGATGTTGGTTGCGGTGTTAGATGTTTGTGTCAATGTTGGTTGAGGTATTATATGTTTGTACTGATGTTGGTTGCTGTATTAGATGTTTGTACCGATGTTGATTGCAGTATTAGATATTTGTGCCGATGTTGGTTGCGGTGTTAGATGTTTGTACTGATGTTGGTTGCTGTATTAGATGTTTGTACCGATGTTGATTGAGGTATTAGATATTTGTACCGATGTTGGTTGCAGTATAAGATGTTTGTACCGATGTCGGTTGAGGTGTTAGATGTTAGTACCGACTTTGGTTGAGGTATAAGATGTTTGTACCGATGTTGATTGCAGTATTAGATATTTGTACCGATGTTGGTTGCGGTGTTAGATGTTTGTACCGATGTTGGTTGCGGTGTTAGATGTTTGCACCGATGTTGGTTGAGGTATTAGATATTTGTACCGATGTTGGTTGCGGTGTTAGATGTTTGCATCGATGTTGGTTGAGGTATTAGATGTTAGTACCGATGTTGGTTGCAGTATTAGATACTTGTTTCGATGTTGGTTGCGGTGTTAGATGTTTGTGTCAATGTTGGTTGAGGTATTAGATGTTTGTACCGATGTTGATTGCAGTATTAGATATTTGTACCGATGTCGGTTGAGGTGTTAGATGTTAGTACCGACTTTGGTTGAGGTATTAAATGTTTGTACCGATGTTGATTGTGGTGTTAGATGTTTGTACCGATGTTGGTTACAGTAATAGATGTTTGTATCGATGTTGATTGCAGTATTAGATATTTGTACCGATGTTGGTTGAGGTATTAGATGTTTGTACCGATGTTGATTGCAGTATTATATGTTTGTACTGATGTTGGTTGCAGTATTAGATGTTTGTACCGATGTTGGTTGAGGTATTAGATATTTGTACCGATGTTGGTTGCGGTGTTAGATGTTTGTACCGATGTTGGTTGCGGTGTAAGATGTTTGCACCGATGTTGGTTGCGGTGTTAGATGTTTGCACCGATGTTGGTTGCGGTGTTAGATGTTTGTACCGATGTTGGTTGCAGTATTAGATGTTAGTACCGATGTTGGTTGAGGTGTTAGATGTTAGTACCGATGTTGGTTGAGGTGTTAGATGTTAGTACCGATGTTGGTTGAGGTATTAGATGTTAGTACCGATGTTGGTTGCGGTGTTAGATGTTTGCACCGATGTTGGTTGCGGTGTTAGATGTTTGTACCGATGTTGGTTGCAGTATTAGATGTTAGTACCGATGTTGGTTGAGGTGTTAGATGTTAGTACCGATGTTGGTTGAGGTATTAGATGTTAGTACCGATGTTGGTTGAGGTGTTAGATGTTAGTACCGATGTTGGTTGAGGTATTAGATGTTTGTACCGATGTTGGTTGAGGTATTAGATGTTAGTACCGATGTTGATTGCAGTATTAGATATTTGTACCGATGTTGGTTGCGGTGTTAGATGTTTGCACCGATGTTGGTTACAGTAATAGATGTTTGTATCGATGTTGGTTACAGTAATAGATGTTTGTACCGATATTGGTTGCGGTATTAGATATTTGTATTGATGTTGGTTGCGGTATTAGATGTTTTAACGATGTTTATTGCTGTATTAGATGTTTGTACCGATGTTGGTTTGTACAATTTTAATGATGAATTAGTGCTGTTTAAATAAAGTTGTAAATTGCATTGACCAACTGTCCGTTTGATGTTATTAACATTGCTGGATTTTGTACACTAGTTATAATTACTATACGTTCATACAAACGGTTCCACCAAGAGAACTAAATCATAATAGTTTGGATACACTTCTATTAGCTAAGATAGCAATAAAGTAATACAAGGCTAAAGGAATGAAATTCGAGAAATCAAAATAATAGAAAATAAGTGATTTTCAAACACCAGATGCAGAACAGTAAAAAATGCGTGATTACAGCATACATACCGTAAATCGGGATAATATGGTGGCGAACTCACAACTTCTTCTGGTCGTTTAGGCTGAAAAAGAGAATTATATGTGATTCACATGTTTACAAAGATTCTCAGTACCTATTTTGTTGTGATTTAAACTTTAAAATTCGAACATAGAACTCTGTGTTACCATCTGGGTTTATCTGCGTTTAAAATGATATAGTTGCCTCACCTGTTGGCAGATTAAATCACCTCTGCGAGTAACTTACTTAATGAAGTCTTTTGTAGATTTTCATCAGCTTTGGCTTACACTTTATGTAAAAAGTTCAATTTTCATTTCCTTACCTTGATTGAACAGCAGGAAAACAAATTTTGAATTCTCTGCTTGAAGGTTTTTCCCATTATCGGTTAGATAAAAGAGAGCAATGAAGAAAGCTACTAATTACTCGGTAGTCAACTAAGTAACTAAATGACATCACAGTAACTATGACGTCATAGTCACCATCACGTGATATCATACATGGGTTATCCTTATTTTTATTGTGATGTCATAACCAATTGAGATTGAAATAACGTTACAGTGCATGAGAATTTCAGGGATGTGGATAGAACTTTTTAATATTGATACCTCTATCAGTTTTCATCATTAACGCTAAGTTCTCCCTGCCGTTTCTTTGCCCTTAACGTTCGACAGTTTTCTTTCTGTTTGACAAATCATCAACTGTAATTGAAACTTTAGCTTTTTAAGCAGTGTTAACCGGCCATGGTAGGACAGAACGGTAAATTTCATGCTCCCAAACATCACAATTTTGTAAATACTGCCGAGACTATTTTATCATACACAGTAATTTAGAAACTCAGTATAAATGTTGTATTTTTTAATTAATTTGTCATGAGAAATTCTTAATAAAGTCACCAATATTTCATTAACCGCCTTTTTCTGAAAAACCCCCCCCAAAAAAACAAAAAAAGAAAAGAAAGAAAACTATCTCACCACCGATAGTTATCATATCATTGTGCAATATAGGTATTTACGAAACATTCAAATACTTAATCACAATCAAAATGAAACATATATTGTAAGTATATACAAATATTGCAGTTTTAATGCAGTCAGGAGATGAGACAGGTTTCATGCCAACTCAGGACCTTTCAGCTGCTTTCGTTTAGGAGACGATGTTTTTCCTGTTTACGGAAAGTGACTAAAAATCCCGAACCTTAATTCAGAAATCAGGTGATCAAACATACTTTTATGGTATTTTTGGTGTTTTAACCCGTCAGCGTATATGTTTAATAAATCTATTTTAACTGTGTAAGTGTCTTGGTTTGATTTCATATCCAAATGAAAAATGAAAGATATTTTGTAATCTATTCAACAGATTGACAGTTCTCATTGCGTGTTGCAGTAAATGTATTGTGGGTAGTGAAGTTCAAGTCACACTTCCTTTTAAAGATTTGATTGTATGAACAGTTTAGTATTGGTTTGAATTACCATACTCACTACTATAAAGTGTTCGATGAACTTGCCACTAAATGTGTTTGAACCGCATTAAGTGATACATATGGAATCTTTAAGATGCAGTTTTCCGTGTCAAACGAGCGTATTTTCATTAACATATAGAATAAAAAGCAAAGTTATATTTTGTGGCACGACTGGGAAAAATTGTCATTGAAAATCCAAAATGTAATATTGTCGTGGCAAATTAATTGAAAGAGCTTGAGAAATATGAAACGTTTTACTCAGCACTTGCCTCCGAAGCCATCGCACGGTATGTGCAAACCATATTACCCACGATACATATAAATAAGTTACACCCCTAGATAACACCTAAAGGATTCGTTCTCTGTTGTTTTAAATTTCAGAGTTCATGCATGCGTGGCGAAGTATGATTGAAAAATAAAAGATTACAATGAAAATATTATTCTAAAAAAGTACACTTTGAATTACTCGTAACTAACGTCTTAGAATGTACCATGTACATTTATACAATACACCTCTCCCATTGTGAAGTCCTGTGGTTAACCGCCTAGTCACATATTCCCATGTCACATCTACCCTAAAGTGTCGACACAACCAACAGGTCGCATATTCTGTCAAGTTGAATCTCCCGATAAAGTACAATTGCCAATAGCTATATAATAAAAAAAATCAACAAAAACCCATTAAAGAATTATGGCTTCTGCAGATCACACCCACGCTTGAACTGAGATGTGTTCCTTCCTCAAGCTACATCCCTTTTTCAAGTATTGATGCTTCGTTCGGTTACAGCATAAAGTATCCTGGCTACTGCAAAGTCAATATCAATTGATCTCATTAGAGTATTACGGCGACAGCAAAGTCACATGTTCTCTCGAAGTGTTGCATATGCCTCAAATGTTCATTGAAAGTGTTGCGTCTGCCTCGCATGTTCATTGACAGTGATGCACATGCCTCACATGTTCTCTTAAAGCGTTGCGTCCGCTTCACGTGTTCTCTCGAAGTGTGTCTGCCTCAAATGTTCTCTTAAAGTGTTGTGTCTGACTCACATGTTCCCTAAAAGTGTATCTGCCTTACATGTTCCCTCAAAGTGTGTCAGCCTCTCATGTTCTCTCATAGTGTTGCGTCTGCCTCACGTTCTCTCTAAAAGTGATGCGTCTGCCTCACATGTTCTCTCAATGTGTTCTCTCAAAGTGTGTCTGCTTCATATGTTCTCTCAAAGTGTGTCTGCCTCACATGCTCTCTCAAAGTGTGTCTGCTTCATGTGTTCTTTCAAAGTATGTCTGCCTCACATATTCTCTCAAAGTGTGTCTGCCTCACATGCTCTCTCAAAGTGTGTCTGCTTCATGTGTTCTCTCAAAGTGTGTCTGCTTCACGTGTTCTCTCAAAGTGTTGCGACGGCCTCACATCTTTTCTTAAAGTGTTGCGTCTGCCTGAGTTTACTGTCGTCATCCATTCCAGTAAGTATTGAGATTGCCGCTAAATTCATCACAATTGTGTCACGCCCCTCCCCTTATAGTACGGAGGTTACCGCAAAGTCAAAAATCTGTTATAGGTCACGTCTGTGTTATTGCGTTGAACCTGGTTGGAACTCTATGCTCAACCAGAGAACCGTTCATGATAAAGTCACTATATATGTAGCTGCAGGTAACAGACATTATTATCTCATATGGTAAATTTGCAGGACCTAAATGAAACGTTGTCCGAATTATTTTGTTCCGCTAGTCTGGGGCCCTGCTTCTCGTTTTGTTCAGGAACAGTTCGTGATTGTCATGGATAGTACGCAGACTGGTGTTTTAGGCATAAGTTACATGGAGAACAGTGTTGTTTGTTGACAACGATATAGGGACGTTTTGATTTTGTTCCCGCGTGAGCAAACAAACAACAAAATCCATATCAAAATGTCTGCTGACAGACATGTGTTCATATAAAGACAATTTAAGTTGGCATTTCACTCCTGTTTTAGATAACCTGTCCGAGAGGTCATAATCAATCATATACAATAAGTTTGATACAAGTGGAACGTCATTTTTGATAGAAATTTTATTTCAAGATACATGTATATCATTCCGTAGTTATCTTATCATATCATCATGTAACACTATATTATTGTGTTGATACATTACATTATTTTATGGTAATTTATCATATTATTGTGTTGATAACTTATAATATTATATAATAAATTATTAAACTATTTTGTCGGTAACTTTTTATGAAATACTCCATCACTGTCGATTTTATTATATGATTTTTTTATTGTGCCGATAACTTATCATTTAATATATATGTAATTATTTGTTGTACAAGAAAACATAAAAAAATCAAAACACGAAACGCATTGTTTTGAATCACATTGTGTATTTGAATGACATCGACCTTAAGCGAGAAGGAATTGTTAAACACACGCCCTCTTGTATCGTACATTACGTGCAAAGAAATAGTGCTTCATTGATCATGTTAAGAATAGGGAGTTCTTTATTTCTGCTGAATTAAAGATGCTAACCCTTCTCTGTTTCTCTGTCTGTTCGTCCGTTGCTCTATCTTTCTGTCAGAATGTCTCGCTGTCGCTCACCCTTACCGCCTCTGTCCTTATTTAGCATTTGATATGGGCACTCAGGCATTTATTGTGTTCCAAGCAGTGACACAGATGAAATAACTTCACAAATGTTTAATTACGAGACCTGTAAACATATCTGGTGAGTTACTGCTAGTTTTCAGCTTGATTGACATATCTTTATTTCTTAATTAAACGCCATAAAGATACAATTCATCTGACAGCATTCATGAAGCATTTATCAACATAATTTATAAAAGTTCACAATATCATGAACACCATACCATGAACATTATATCATGAACATCTTACCATGAACATCTCTCAGTGAATACCATCATACCGTGAACATCATATTGTGAACATTATATCGTGAACATCATACAGAGAACATTATATCGTGAACATCATCATGCCGTGAACCTCACACAGTGAACATCATCATGCCGTGAACACTATACCGTGAAATTCATACCGTGAGCATCAAACAGTGTACATCACACAGTAAACATCATATCGTGAATGGCATACAGTGACCATGATACAGTGAACATTATACCGTGAACCTCACACAGTAAACATCATATCGTGAATGGCATACAGTGACCATGATACAGTGAACATTATACCGTGAACCTCACACAGTAAACATCATACCGTGAATGGCATACAGTGACCATGATACAGTGAACATTATACCGTGAACCTCACACAGTAAACATCATACCGTGAATGGCATACAGTAACCATGATACAGTGAACATTATACCGTGAAATTCATACCGTGAACATCATATCGTGAATGGCATACAGTAACCATGATACAGTGAACATTATACCGTGAAATGCATACCGTGAACATCATACCGTGAACCTCACACGGTGAACATCAAACAGTAAACATCATATCGTGAATGGCATACAGTGACCATCATACAGTGAATATCATACAGTGAACATTATACCGTGAAATTCATACCGTGAACATCATCCAGTGAACATCATAACGTGATCATACAACGAACATCTTACAATGAACATCATATCGTGAGCACCATACATACACTGAACACTGTGTCCGTAGGAGCCTGTCATCATCATCATCATCATCATCATCATCATCATCATCATCATCATCATCATCATCATTTCTTTATTTCCTCCAAAATTAAAGAGCAATTACAAAACAAAAAAAGATAATTATGATAAATGTAGGTGAAAAAAAAAAGAAAAAAAAAGTGCAAGAATATATGTATATAAATATTAAATATAAACTTCATTTATTTTACAACAATTGCGAAACAAGTTATGTCAGCTTATACTAATCACTTTTGTTGGCAATGAATGTGAATAACCAATCCATCAATA